TTCCCCGATGTGATGATCGTGTTAGGATTCGGATGGTGGCCTGTAACTGATTACCGCGTTACCCTCAATTTGCTGATTGGGTTCATTTCGGATTCTCCGGGCGGCTTTGCCTGTGCACGGCGGTCATGCGTATTTGACGTTTTCAAGTTTTCAAGAATTCAAGTTTTACGAGAGGCCAGTATCCCTATTACGCTCTATGCGAGCTTGGCCTGAACTTTATCGGCTGCAGCCGCCATCCATCCGGGGATCAAGGCGAATGACGTGACGCAGCAAGCTACTGAGTCGTATTATGTGACAGTTCCACAGCTACATAGGTATAGCGTCCGATGGCGGGTTGATTGGGGCTGGCTTAGGAGTAGAAGCTAGTGAGCAGAGGAGGTGGCCTTGAGGGTTCCGGTCTGGCCGCCTCGAGGTCCCTGGTCCCGTGGTTGACTGCATAGTGGCGAGCTTGGCCGCCTTGATAGTCTGTTAACGTGTAGTGTGATGCTGCGTAAACTCCGCCAACGTCTAGTGGTCATCAGTCGTAGTCGCGAAGGCGGCGCGTATGATGTCGTGCGCCAGCTTGCAAGGGTGCAGCTTTGTATGAGCCGCAGGAGCAGCTTCCTCCCGGTGCCGCAACTGCTGAGCTCCACTCAAAAACAACCCCAAATCAAATCACAACTCTTCGGACAATAGATGATGCAAAACAAATCATGATCTTCGGACAATAAAGCCCTGCATCGCAGCAAAGAGACCCCTTTTGCGACTACTGCCAGCCATGGCTCCACAACTCAATCAAGACGGGACGTCATGCATTCGCATTTTTAAGGTTACGGGTTCGGTCGCAGTACCGGCAATGTGTGGCTGATCCAAAACGTATTAGGCCGTTGACATGCCGTGCAGCACGAGCAAGGCCCAGAAACCTCGTACCCATGTCCTGGGACGAATCTCGCATCAAAGGAAGATGCGCATGTACGGTATATGAGAAGATGCCCAGTTACGCAAGCTCGCGAGTAATGGGCTTTTCAATAGGGCAATACTGACTCATCAACGGGGTCGGCCATCTCGATCGAATCGCAGTTCAGATTAGCAAAATGCGAAAGCGATGATGTAGTGGAGCATCTGGGTACACATGCACATGCAGATATGCCGCTAGCAATAGCTGAGTAGGTAGGATTGGTACACGCACAACTCTGCCAGTCACTCTGGCGAACGTACCCCGTTCCCCTAGCGCAGGGAAGCGACTGACAACTGACAGTGACAGCTGGCCAGCATCAGAGTACGGTGCTTCGGCTGGAGTCCCCATCAGGAGAAGACCCCCATGCCCCATCCCGTTGCAACCGGCACGGGCAGCAGAGTCGATTGGGCTTTTGTGGACCTACACCACCACGCCCACTTGGGCCGAAACTTTGGTGTTCCCTCAGCGTGATACATGAAGAACCCGAGGACATGACTTGCAATACTCGGCTGTAGATACCGACCAACCACACCCACACGGAACGTCAGGATGGAAGGGCTTGGCAACATATCGAGAGCGCAAAGACCACAGGATGGGAGACGCAAAGCATGCAAGAATTGGCTGGCGAGCATGCTTCGGCTGACGTTGGATTTTATTGACTGCTTTTGGTGCACGATGCAAGCTCGGGCTGGCCGACGTCCTGAGACGTTTGTGACAACAGTCAACTGCGACAACCGGTTGGAGACGTTGAGGAGACAAACAACGACCGACGATGATCACAGATCTCTGGCAGATCCCAGCCTGCAACGGCGCTAAGCGGTGGAACGTCGACTTTTTTTTAAACCCCTGTCGCAATCCCCGGCGCTATTTGAACACGTCAAGCCTCAAACCTTGGGTCGTTAGCAGCCGAGGGCAAAGTTGTACGATCGCCGGGACTACATCCCAAGCGTGCCTTGCAGTAGCTTACGCTATCCGTGCAATCGCTATCCATGCCCTCCCCAGACATTAGCCTACCAGACGATAGAAATTATTCTAACGCCCGAAGCGGATGTCGGCGAGTCGACGACGTAGCCAGTCACTGCCACGCGCGCGCACTAGGAGCCCACCAGCCAAGGCAAGGGACCCATAGAACGTGGCACTTTTGGCTGGACTTGTCGGTATGTTTACAAAGTTCCTCCCTTCGTCATTGATCTGCATCTCTTTTTGAATTGCGCTGTCAGTCTCCAAATCCCCAGTTATCAGCCTTCGACACTTGCTGCTTCAATAACCCTGGCATCGTAGCCCTCCACCGTCTCAATGCCCATGTTTAAGAACAAGATGCGCTCGGCACACGAACTCTTGTCATCAAAAAGATCGTCTGACGTTTCAAGGTCCTGGTATTCCGCTACCGAGTCATCCAAAAAGGGGAGTTCAAGCGAAGGGGTCCCGGCGTATGTCGATAGCGTCATGGCACCGGATACGGACGCCCATCCAGAACATAACGGCAGTGGCGGTGCGTTTAATGAACCACTGGTCCTCGATTTCGCAACCATGCAAAATGGTCCTGATTCAAATTACAAAAGTGCCCCTCTTACACCCGTCACTAGCTCTGCCGATCCAGAGCGCAGAGGGAGTTGGCTCTCGGATGATGAATACTCGGCGCCCGCACCAACGATAGACTTTGCAAGACGGGACATTCATATTCCCTCAAGGACCAGGTACGTCGCCCTCTTCTGACATTACTCCTTCACTCCTGCTCTTGGCCTTGCTCTCGCCTTTGCTCTTGCTCATCATCAACTAGCTCGAGTACCCCACACGCCAATCAGCAACGCATAACATTGCAAAGGCGACTGAGCGAAGAACCAACGTCACCAATCAAGTCCATCATGGCAGAAATGCAACAATCGCGTACCCGGAGCAGTTCCTATGTATCGAATGCAACACTATCCAAGTTGCAGTCTTTGCATGGCGCAGGTAACGGACCGACAGCAGTGCGAAGTTCGGCCGACTCTGTCATATCATACGAGTCTGTGGCACCGTCCATAGTAACACAACATCTTCCACCACTGCAGCAGAAAGGCGGCGTGCTGGACGATGGCGACCGACTTTCGCCATTACTAGAAGATGATCCTCAGTCGTTCGACCTGGTCTGTGCACCTATGGAGAACCATCGACAGTTCTCGCTTGAGGACAGGTCCGAACAGCTCTTCTCGAAACAGCATCTGGAGGCCATCTTTGCCGATACTGCATCTTTACTTCGCTTTTCGTCTTTCCTTAGTGTCGCTCGACCCAAATCAGTCCCTACGCTGATATATTACCTCGATGCCCTGAAAGCTCTACGCGCCATCAGCTACGCCAATGCAGTTGCCGAAGCATTAGAGCCCATTGAGGGCCTTGACTTCACTGACACTCCAGCGCGAACTACCATCAACACCGTGTTGGAGGAAAAGGCTAGTCGGGCCTTTGATATTCTTGTCCGGGACGACCTACCGGCATTCATTACTCATGTCTTCATTCAAGTTGTTAGCGTCAGCATCGCAAAGCGTGTCACAGGAAACCTGCCTCCAATGCTACGTGAAGCCAGTGAGGGCTTGGCCGAGGTTTTCTGTCTTACCGACCCCTCAAGAACTGACAATCCCATCATCTTCGCCTCTGAAGGTCAGTTGATTCTGCACATAGAAAGTTCGCCTCGGCTGACAAAGAAATAGAGTTCCACCGGACAACCCAATACGGCGTCGGCTATGCAATTGGCCGCAACTGTCGCTTCCTCCAAGGCCCCAAAACAAGTCGGAGTACTGTAGCTCGCTTTGGTAAAGCTGCACGCGAGGGTAAAGATCATAGCGAAGTTCTGCTGAACTAGTAAGACAACCCGAAAATGATACCGATAACATTCAACTAACCACCAACAGCCGCCGTGACGGTTCTCCATTCATGAACCTCTTGATGATGGCACCCCTGCTTGACTCGCGAGGAAACCTCCGCTACTTCATCGGCGCTCAAATCGATGTCTCTGGCCTTGTCAAGGACAATACCGATCTCGAGGCGTTTAGGCGTATGCTTGATCAAGAAGAAGGCCGCGAGGAGAAGCCTCAGCAGAAAGACGAGTTCCAGGCGCTTAGTGAAATGTTCAACAACACAGAGTTGGACACTGTGCGTAAACATGGCGGCAACATGCACAGGGAACAGATAGAGGAACAAGACGATGCAAGCATGCATCACAAGCCTAGATTGCTGATTCAGGATCAGTCGACGTTTGATGTTGACAGGGCGGAGACACCAGCATCGAAGCCTGACGGCAGATTGTCTGGCCCTTACAAGCATGTAAGTCGCGTCTCTGGCGAATGATGGTGACAGCACTAACATACAAACAGTACCTTATCGTCCGCCCAGCACCCTCTCTCCGCATCCTCTTCACATCGCCATCCCTTCGCGTTCCAGGCATTCTGCAATCGCGTTTCCTTGACCGCATCGGCGGCAGCAATCGCGTCCGTGACTCGCTCAGCGATGCGCTTGCAGACGGTTCACGTGGCGTTACAGCAAAAATCCGCTGGCTACCGCATGCGGTCCCTGATCTCGAAGATTCAAACGAGGAGGGTCGGCCGCGATGGATTCACTGTACTCCTTTGCTTGGGCAGAATGGAGCGGTGGGTGTATGGATGGTAGTCCTTGTTGATGAAAAGGAGCATTCACATCCCAATCGCCGCTTCCGCCAGGCACCGCCCATCCCGAACGATATCCGCGGCAATTCGCTAGCTCAAAACTCGTCAAGACGCCAAAATGGGCGATTCAATGATTTTGACGATAGGGACACACACTCATCGCGCGGGGGTTCTCCTTTCATGAACGGTCATGGTCACAGCAACGGCGCACCGCGTGTTTCACACCTCGAAGCACTGCGCAATCCTTCCAGTCCTCGTCGAGCACAGAGCCCGTTGGCGTACGAACAGCGAGGCCTCACTTCAGCGTCCTCGTCGGTCAAGGACTATTTCAACGGTGCGCAGGCCAGTGTAGACTCTTTCCGCATCTGATGTGGGCATGTCGAAAGTTCGTAACTTGTCCGTATCTTGACGTGAACAAGGTGCATACGATTTGGCCTGGGGTCGTTGGCTTGGAGAACACGATCTCGTTCGTAATGAGTATTGGACACATGGAAGTCGGGCGGTAATGTGCTGCTATTGTTTGCTATATACCCAATCTGCCAGTGTAATGTAATTGAAGCGAAGAGCAATATTGGCGTTATTTCATTTGTACATGGGAAGGCATACACAGGAAGTATATAGGAATGAAACACGATACACACTCATGTTGTCCCCGCGCTAAATGGCAAGGAAGGTGACGCGCGCCTGTGCAAGGGTGACCAGCGATTGCCCACTCTAAGCGAGTTCTGGCCGCGGGAGTGCCTCCAACTTTCTACGCCATCAACACTTACAATTCATTCATAGAGTTTTTAGTTATTTTTCCCACACATCACAATGGCAACGATACGACCCATGTCCCCTGACGATCTCTTGAAGATTACAGTCACAAATCTCGATCCGCTCACTGAAACATATAACATAGGTTTCTACCTTGAGTACCTGACCAAATGGCCCGAGCTATGCCAAGTTATAGAAGGATTCAACGGGAGTATTGAGGGTTACAGTACGATGTCTCCCCGTTATCAAGTCTCAGCCGGAACATGAGTAAATACTAAATCCACGTGTGGCAACAGTTCTAGGCAAGCTCGAGTCGTCGCCCTACGATCCCCCCATTGCACCCTACAAGCCTTCCACCACGGGCGTCAAGTACCCCAACTACCTGCCCTGGCACGGTCATATTACCGCTCTCACTGTCGCACCCTCCGCACGCCGGCTTGGTCATGCGACGGCCCTATCTTCGGCCTTGGTACAAGCCTCCGATGCTGCGGACGCGTGGTTTGTGGACTTGTTTGTGCGCAAGAGCAACGAAGCCGCCAAGGACCTGTATCGAAAGATGGGGTACAGCGTTTACAGGGTGGTCAAAGGTTACTACAACGACAACGAGGATGCGCTGGACATGCGGAAGAGCTGTAGCAGGGATAAGAAGGGCGAGTGTGTTAGAACAGATGGGGAGAAGTACATGGTGTCTGCGGAGGACGTTTGGTGAGAGGGATTGAGACTTCGTATTCGCAATGGAACGTCGTTTGAGTGATGGAAGGAACGGAAATTTATACCCAGGTGGAATGAAACGAATAATGAGAGAAGTACCAGCCATTGGTACTGGGCAGTATTGTTGAGTAGGGCATTCGATCCTGTATCGTAGATGATTGCGATAATCTGATTAATGGTATTCATATCATGTTGTCAGGAATGGCCTCCTTCAACTATCGCATAGACCAGGGTATCCTTCTCTCCACGTATTCTCACAACTTTCGTCCATCTGGGATTGTAGAGCCAAGGCACACTCTGGCGAATCACAACATGGGAGTTTGGTGAGTTCAAACCGGTGCCATAGTTGAGATCAGACCTAATTCACCAACCACAGATTTTACGTCATGAGCAGCCTGATATTTCCGAACTATCAACTGTGAGTCGATCACGGAAAGTTCCAAAACATGGAACATGCACCTATTATTACTCGGACCACTGTGTAGTCTTCCTCGACCAATGCCATCCCGTCGCTTGAATCACTTGAGTATGGCGAGTTCGATATTCTATAACAAGGTGAACGTGAATGCGGGCGGCAGTAGTGGGCCAACCAGTTGTCACCAAAAGGAAGCTTGAGCACGAACCCATTGTTTCTATTGTCTATCACTTGCTCTTATTATAGGCTGCGCAGCTCTGACTAGTGGCTTGACTGTTCGCTATTGTTGGAGCCGTCCTCTCACCGCTGACCCTACTGGTCATCAGAACGCTATGCTCAATGCGCTATTGTCCTCTGAGCTAGCCAATGTAGCCATATCAAGGCCCACCAACTTGGCAAATGCAACGAGATCCTTTACTCTCTTCTACTCTCGAACATTGTGACCTACACCGTCAAACTCAGCACACATCACACATCTAGCCAATGGTAACACTACGACCATGAGCGACCATCGTCAGATACCGCGCGCACCACACACTCAGATCAACATGAACTTCAATTTCAATTGCTTCGCCAGCGACTGGCAGGTTCCAGTCTCGTATGAGCACCCATTCGTGGCCCACATCCGCAAGGTCGTCCTGGAATACCGCATCCAATCCGCGTCTCATTTCAACATTACCATCGAGGTAGCCCAGGCTATGCACGACAAAAACCCGCCTTTGAGTTCTCTCTTGCACCCTAGCTTCCTACCGTACGTCGGGTTCTACAACTTTGGAACCGCTCCCATTATCGCTCTTTGTCGCCCGAGGGCCTTGCCAAGCGGAAAGAAACAGCCGAACATGTCCTCTAACAGCGTCGAGGTGCTACTAAAAGACAAGTTCGTCCCGTTGGCACGCTTTCTGGGCAGGAACTTCCCCAAGTACAAGACGCCTGTTGGAGCCGAGGCCTTGGGCCAGTGGTGGCAAGCTAATGGGAAAACATTCAACTGGACCGGTCTGCCTACTGAGTTGAAAGAGCGCATTGTCCAGTTCTGCATGCATCGCTCTGAATTGCCGCCGCTATCCAAAAAGTCCATGTACAGGACCAGAGGCCCACACGAGGTGACTGCACACCTCGGTAGCTGGTCAGCTTTGCTTCGAGTGTCACATCAAGTCCGGGCCATCAGCCTTCGTCTCTGTCTCGCAGGCAGCAGCGATCTGAAGTATGACAAGGGACTATGTATTTTCGCTGAGGGCGGTGGGGACCTCAAGAATGCGATTAGACGCTTGACAAAGTTCCCGCAGCTGCTGCAACCCAACAACGCCAGCATCACGACTGACGAGAAGACATCGATGCTTATCAACACCTACAAGTATTTCCCGAAGATCTATCCACATCTCGAGCGATTCGCAACCTTCGGTCACGGCATCCGCAAGGTCTGCATCCGGCTGTCCTTCATCGATACCATGCACTTCTTCAAGGTCGAGACTGCAGGATTTGCGCAGTACCGGAAGCCCTGCCATATCGACTTCGAAGTTTTTGAGCGCCTTCCGCGTTTGAATCAGTTGATAATTTTCCTGCCCGGGAGGAATTATATACTGACGGACATGCCGAGACAACAAGGTCCACCGATCTTTGGTGACGAGCCTTGTCCCAGGATCTTGCATCGTCTCATCTATGAGCGTGTAGCTGAAGTTTTGGCCAAATATCCATTTGTCACGTTGCTTAACTTCATGGACGAGATTGAAGAGCTGAGATACAAAACACTGCGTAAGGAGGCAATGAACAGTCTGAGGTTCTCAGAAAAAGACCTCTCGGAGTTGTACACGGAAGATGGAGGAGGTATTGAGCTTGAAGAAAGTGTTTGGCCTGGTGTGTACAAGAAGAACGTTGGCCAAGTGAACCGAGCGTTCGTGTTCGACAGCTTTTGGCCTCCTCAGTGCAGGTGCCAAGTGCGTTGCAAGGAGATATTTTGATACTCTTTTGTGTCGCACCATAACAGCCTGGGCCCTAAGAAGAAGCTCACATCCGGCTGGACTTAGATCTAGGCAGCAGATATCATATTGCCTTACTTAGTATAGGAAAAGGTAGCATGTAATCCATATATCTACAAATACAATCATGATCCTCAACTCGTCCCTGGGCTCGGTATGCGCACACTTTTTAGATGCCTATTCACCACTTCTTGCGAAGATCTTGAGTATGTAGCAACCGGCTGGCTAGCATGAACACTGAACCCAAAACCAATGCAGTTCCCTGTATTGGATTAGCTACTCATTTTATCCATTATCCGAAACAACTTACCGAAAACAAGATTAGCCATCTATACCCATCTCTACTGTTTGCGTCACTGATCAGCGCACCCGCAATTGGTGTTCCTCCTAGACTTGCAGCAGAAATGAGGCTGAAGAAAGCCCCAGTGCGAGCGCCCAATTTATCGTCTGGTGTAATTTGGCCGATGATTGACGCCGGCAGAGCTGATACACTACTGCTGAAGAAGCCGTACATGCTGATAAAGAGAACTAGAGTGGGCATCGAGGTGCTGAGAAGCCAGAGGAAGAGACATAGGCAGCCAGACATCAAGACCATAGGCCATAGGAGGTTCAGACGGCCGATTCGATCGCCCATGGTACCAGCACTACTGAAGTCAGCTTTGGCACGTCTTCTGGGGTAATTGGGACATACAATATTGCGCCAACGATGCTGCAGCCATTTATTATGCATAAGAAATACTGGCTGATGTCGTTGTTTCCATATGCGGCAGCCGTGTATGTTTCTATGTGTGATCAGAGATTGCCTTGCTGGGATTTTGTAGTGTGTTCAACTCACTGATATAGTATGCCGGAATCCACAAACCGAGGATAGTAAACCACATACCCACACAAAGTACTGCATATCGAAAGTCTCGAAACCCCCCAAAGTCTATCAAAGGCGTTCGGCTCTTACGCTCAGGGTTATTACTGTGCTTACTCGTAGAAAGAAACAGCGCAATGGAATAGCACAGTGCAATCTTCAAGCAAGCGATACGAAGAGCGTTTGCGAAGCCCAATCGGGGAACCAGTTTGTTGAACATGAGTGGAAAGCCAATACCGCCCAGTGAAGACCCTATACAGACTAGACTCATGACAAGCGCGCGTTTGTCTTTGAAGTGCTGGCCCACGACAGTGAGTGCGGGTTGGACGGCGAAGGCGGTTGACAGACCAAGCATGAGACCTTGGGTCATGAGGACTAGCAGAAATTGGGAGGTTGGTATGTAAGTCAGAATTAGAAGGGAAACCACCATGCCGGTGCCTGAGCCAATATAGAGGTACTGGGATTTGGTAAGCTCTCCGTCTGCGGAAGGTTGATGGAGGATACTGACTTTCACGCCGTACCGATCGCATAGAGCGCCAGAGATTGATGCAAAGATATTGCATAATGCCATCTGCAAAGTTCCAATGAACGCGATGTTTGGTGCAGGGATATGATGAAGGAGCTCTTTGCTATAGTAATCCTGGAAGAACCCGAAACTGTTCATGAGACCGGAAGCAGCATAGTAAATGAGAACAGAGCCCATGACTGTGGACCAGGCTGCGTAGCCACCCTCCTGCTGTCTTGGCTCATATGATTCGGTATCTGTGGTGCTCTCTGAAGGACGGCGGTCGAGATTGGAGATGGTCTTCTCAGCCATAATGATAGCTGTATGATGAATATGCTGTGTAGTAATGGATATAGGTCATATTATCTGCCGGTGTCGGAGCTGTTGTTATATGTGGCATTTCAACTGATACTGCTGATGAAGCAAGACAGCACAGTCGACTAGACTTGGTCCTCGCCGACAACATGATTGCGGGAGGGAAGACTACGGGTTGTTGCATCTGGTCGGCTTTCCCTATTTCCCCCCCGTGTGTACAGTGTACGTTGCCTGGTGCTGAACAAAACCCTTGGCCCGTGATATCAAATTACGAATAACAAAACTGTCAGCCTTTGATGCGGGGGAAATGAGGACTAGATCCCGTGTTGCCACTATAGACGGGAAAGTGTGTGGTATGGTTGTCATAATTGACACGGGGAATATGGGTACTGACAGCTGGGATGCGGCTCGCTAAAAATGGCACTTTCTGTGCACAGGATGTCACTTCCGCTCGCGAGCCGTTCGTGACACCTATGACATAGCGCTAGATTCATTCACCGCGTACAGCTCCACATATGATTCATCGAAATGCTTTAGGAGCGGGGTATATGCGAACCATGGTGGTATGATACGGGAAAAGGCAAGTACAACATGTGGAAAAAGAGTATCGAGAACGGACTTCAAAACTTGATGAAGACGATCGGGCCACCATAACCTGACGACTGGCTTCGATCTGGAGCTCTGCGAGTGCCAACCGCGTCCCATATCTGTCTAGATATATAATGGTTTCTGGATAGATCACGGTGGTCACCCTTTAAATTCCCGGAGAGACTTCTGAAGATAACCCCTTTATTCACCAGATAAAGCGCTGTGAACAAGTGGTTGCGTACCGATATTCGCCTAGCTAGATCATGAGACGAACCACTGAAAGCGCGCAAATCTTGTGCTCACTTAACGCGGAAGCAGGGTAAATGTAGTAGCACAGTCATTTCTCTGGTCGGCCCATAGTTATCGGCATATGACAAAGCATGCACTCGGCAACAGCTATCTTCCAGCGTTTTGGCCAAAAGCAAGATTCGATGGTCATTCATACTCTTCGATTGATGTAAACGCAGATGGAAGCTGGGCTTCCTCTTGGAGATTAGAGCATGCCAACGAATACACAGGAGCCTCGGAAAAGTCTCGAAAGAGTTGAGTAAATTGATTCATCGTATCTGCAGACTGATTCTTTCTTGTGTTCTCACGAGCCTCTACTCATGGTGCAAGAATATTGGCAGAAGCCAAGACTGCTTTTGCCACCCTGTCAATGTATTCCGTTGCCAGGGTGAAGTTACCCGCAGCAATAGCCTCTGTCACACCCGGATAGGTGACAGCAGCATAACCACTGTCGATACCAGGAGCAAAAATTTGGTGCTGGTAGAAGTCTCTTCCAGGAAGCCCGCCTTGGCTGATGAAACCGCGTCCAAAGTCCCGTGCCTTCAGGTTAAGCTGCCTGACCTGTAGCTTACTCTCCGAGCTAACCGCCATCTGTCGAGCTGTATTGAATTTCTGTGCCGCTTGCTGGAAGGTGGCAACCGCACCTTCAAGCTGAGAAAGATCGACTAGCCTAGTCGCATTTGCTGACGAGACATCTCGGTGAAGCCTTTCGAGCCACGCATGCATCTCCACCCCATAGTTCGAGGGCTCAAGCGGCACAACCTCGTCATCCACCAGTCGATACAGCATCAACGTGAGAAACTGCCCAATCGACTTGTGCATATCAAACTCCGGATCTGCAAACTTGGTCATCCAGTGAAAGCTATCAAAATTCGAATGCGTATGGTAGATGGGGTCGAGGGGCGTTCGCGTGGTACCTATATCGATAGCAGAAACTCCTGCGCGGTGAACAAAAGCCGTGTAATCACTTTGTGCGCCTAGAGGGTCGATTTCGCCAGCCTTCTCTTCCCAGATATCGTACATTGTGCGGTTTTGGCCATGTGGCCAGACCACCTTTCGCGCGGTCGAGGTGGTGAGGGCGTAGAGATCGGGCGTTGCACCAAAGTCGGGAACAGTGCCTGCGATTCCGACATCGATGTTCAGGTACGACACTACAGAGTCTTTGAGCCAGGGTGTATTTTCTTCGACCCATTCGGTACTAGAGAGGGTCAACATGAGCTTTTCTGGGAAATGCATACGAGCATGTAGTGCTCACCTTCCTACTAGGCCGTATTCTTCGGCATCCCAGCTACAGAGCACGATGGTTCGCTTTGGCTTCCATCCAGTTTTCAGAAGAACGCCAATTGCATGTGATAACTCGATCAGAATTGCTGAACCGGAGTGAGGGTCCGCTGCACACGTGAGTGACTCTATCAATGCATGAAATTTTGCGCTGCTTACCAGCGCCACCAATCATCCACGAGTCGTGATGATTTCCAACAATGACTGCCTCGTCTTCGTTGGTACCATTAATAATTCCGATAGCATTATGTATCCAATTGATTTCATCTTGCATGATATTGCTCAGGGAAAGTGTAGCTTTGGATGGGCCAGTACTATACTCAACCCCATCAATCGCACCGACCCAATTCGCGCGACTAACGGCTTTCGCATCGACACCATGCCCATTCAACGCAACTAAAAGCGGTTTCGCCTCAACCCATGAGATAGGCAAGCTTGGAATACTAGGCACAGTTTTCTTCCCCATCCTCAGCACATCTTCTTTCGAAGGATATCCGGGCGTTGTGGGATCCCCTGGATACGTGCTAAGATCTACGACACTGCCTCTCTGAATACTGCTAGGGTTTCTTGCAGGACCTTCTGGGTAGGCAGCGTAGCTCTTCGCTGTCATGTTTCTATCGTCGACCGGGTCCGTGAAAATGACCACGCCGATCATACCAAATATCTGCGCATTCTTGACTTTGACACCCCGATATGGGCCACCATACTTGGCAAGCGCGATTTTACCCTTCAGGTCTATGCCGAGAGTTATAAGGCGTTTGAAGTCTTCTTGCGATGCCCTTCCTGTGTTGAGGTCAGCTTTGAGTGTATCTCGTATTCTTGAACGGGGATCACCTACCAACGTAGACGTACGTGGCGGACGCATTGCCGGAGCCTGAATATGCGTGGAACGCAGGCACCCTGTTGGTATATCCAGTAGTTTGGTCCTCCTCAACTATTTCCTCTTCCAGCGTTGCGTGATATGTGCTCCCGTTGCCATAGTCAAGCGCGATTGATCTGTGGACAGGATAGTCAAGATAAACGTCTATATCCACGGGTCAGTTCAAACGTTCAGACCCATGATTTGCTCTAGCGAACAGCGTACGATAGCTATCCAATCTAGTATCAAACCCATTTTTGGCCCACTTCTCGGCAGTCCATTTCGGCACCGCGTCGCTTTCGCCAGCGAGATTTCTCCTATGGGCTGCGCTGATTGTAAGTGATCTGTGCTTTGCGTGTCAGGGGCAAAGTGTTTCTTACTGTAGTAACTCGACCATGATGCTATCGACGTGTTATCGAAGGATGCCACCAATAATTCTTCATTGGGAGTCAGGATCGGTGGGAAGACGGGCGTGGTGTCGCGGCGTTGCAAATGGCGGTCATGATGACGGAATAGGTTCGGTTTGTTGCAGTCGCATGCATGAACAGTGCTCGAAGCGAGCAGGGCCAAGACCAGAAGCATGATGTTTACATTCGCGTATAATATTTCACAAGTCGTCCAACGTCGGTAGGACAGATGCTGTTATAAGTAGTGCCATGTGGCACCACATTGGTCAATGACGGGATCAAACAAGTCCCTGGTCGCGGTACTTTGTGCCAATATCGATTGTGCGGGGTCTTATAAACAGCCATGCTCATAATACACAGTTCTTAATCAGACGTCGGGGGTGATGTCATGCTAAACTGCCTCCTTGCTCGAATGAGCATCTTCCTAGTTGCTCGCATTGGTATCACAGAAAAACAAACAAGAGAGTACATGGCACGATTCTGGGACGAAACCAAATGTGCTCTGGTGTGTTTGTAATTTATGGTAAAGACTGGGAACAATGAATGACTCCGAACACAAAACGCAGATATCCCATGCAGCAGCTAAGCGCTGACCTCAACAGCAGCCACTTTGACATCGTTATTTCCCTTCTCCACAGTGACAGGCTTCGCCCTGTAGACATCAGTGTCATCCTCCTGCATGCCTCCCAGTAACAAAGAACTTGGGGCAGCTGCCTGATCCGCAGGCGACGCAAGGAACGCCATAAACTTCTCGTCATGCCACTGACGCGAAGTAACGTACCTGCCTTCGCTATCTTGAAACATGGTCTCATCCTCGGCACGGAGAAAGTATGCAACCGAGTAACGGTGCTCCGTGTAGTCGTATGGTACAACACGGTGGATGCATGACTGGAAGGTGTGTTCGCTAGCAAATCGTAGAGAATCGCCGACGTTGATGATGGCCTGACCTCGCTTGGGCTCGACAAAGCCGAACTCCTTGGTACCAGGTGGGCGGATCTGAAGACCCCATTGCTCAGTGAAGAGAATAGTGAGCGAGCTGATATCCGTGTGCTTCTGGTGACCGACGTTGCCATCTTTAGAAGGGTTAGATGGAATGTAGTGCATCATGGACAAGGTGCTGGTCGAAGGGCGATGGTTGCGATGCAAATTCTCGAAGCGCTTCGTGCCTGTGAGACCGGAAGCTGTGGAGAGAGCTGCCAAGATGGCTTTGCCAATGATGTTATTGCCAGAGATGGCGTTCTCGAGGGTCTTTAGGTCGGTACTATTCTTGATGTTGCGTGGAATGTGGGGAGATTCGCGCTGAATCTCATCACGCGAGACCTTGACCATTTCATAGCCGTCTCTTGTGTCCTCGAGTACTCCATTTCGCGAGCCAACAGGTTCGTATCTTATTTGTTCTCAGTAATGTTACTTTTGCAATGATATATGAAATCCGCTTAACTTACCCAAGATGAGGGGAGATGAGTCCGTATTCGTTCTTGACTTCGATGGGAGCTTCGAAGAACCGATGCATGAGCTTCAATAACTCTTGGTGGTCGTCGATGAAGCGACGCCCATCGACATTGTTCAGGTCAAGGTAGAAGAAACCTTCGTCTTTGCAGCACTGGAGAAGCTTGTCGAGCTCGGCAGGTTCTTGTGAAAGGATGGCCGAGAAGTCGATGGTTTCCATATCGTAAACTGGGACCTGTTTCCCATTCCACTCAACCCTACCGGTGACCTCTGTCAAAGGAGCCATGATATTAGCTCAGGCGATGAATGCTTATGAGAGACCGTGGGAGTATTGGAATTGAAAACGTTGATAGTCTGTTACCAGTGTTCTTGCGCTCCTTCGTGCTTTATACAATGCTCAACTATAGGGTTCTCTAACATTATGCAAGCTGTACATCTGATTATTCGTTGATTGACCTTCGGCACGATCTGTTTCTTCCCAGATACAGATATGCGCGTAGATTGAAGCTTGTTGCTCTTCTCTCGAATCTACACGAGGGGTATCTCTTACCCCGCATCCTGTATAGTTACTTTGCTTGCGACGAGATCGGCATATACTGGCGATGATGCAGCTTTAATGGCTGGCTATTGCACTGACCAACGGTCTGGTCCACCTGTCAATCGGCCTACTTGCTCTTGCCCCCACATATTTTCCTTTACAAGTGCATCGAGAGAAGATATATTATGCCTATAAATGAGGTGCACTAGTGCGTTCGTTGTTCATACGTGATTTGGCTAAACCCCAAGGTCAGAGTGCCGGCGCATCTCCGCGATGATGACATGGTAAGCTGTCTTGTATTGGGAACTGCCATTAGCAAGCTCATGTATAGTAATTTGGAAGTATTCATGAGTAGTATCAACCGTAGTATCGGGAGCTGGGCAACAACTGCCGTAAATGAAGTTACGACTGGTGGGGCTTCCGCGGGGGTCGCAACAACCGGAGCTCTCGACTGACTACCGAGCATGCATTCGTTTAAACCCCGGAGTTATACACGTATTGACTTGTAGAACTCTATCTCGAGCTATCACGGGACATGATGGTACCTAGGTTTGGGAAACCTGCGGAGAAACCTACGTTATGATCTGGGACTTGCTGGTGATAGACGGATTTATCGTTGTTAGTAAGCCAACGATGGCATGCAAAGTAGCCAGAGCTGTGTGATGATAGTTCCGGAGCTGGATGGATAGCTGTCGCGGTTGCAGGTTGCAGTCACTCAGCCACGGGCCTCGTCTTGTCTCCCTTCCACCCGCCAAGCACCCTAACCCTAATTCACACTAGCGCCCATAGCTCAGACCTGCAACTAACCCACTTCTATCACCTTCAACTTCCCCAGACAACCTTGAATTTCGACATTCAACTCCGCTCTCAACAAAGCTGGACTTGAATCCATCGACTACCTGCGTCGCAAGAACTTTTCAATCCCTAAGAGGAAAAAGCTACCATCACGCATTGAAAGAGCTAGCAGCACGGGGACAAAGATGAATCAAAACTTCAAGGGCGAGCCGGATCGAGATGATATCCGAATGCTGGAGAATCTGCGCAACCAGCTGGTACCTATGATTAAAAAAATGGATCGCCTGCAAGGGGAGATGGAATTCAAGCTGAATCGGGGAGAGGTAGTTGACTGGTAAGTGAGATTACAAATATGGCGGTCTGAAACTAGCTTGTGAGGTTTACCCTATTGACCTCGTGTCGCTCAATTGATCTTTCTATGATCTTGCATGCTCTACATCCGGCCTTTGATGTTATTAGTCATGTTACTACCTGCTGTATCGCTTCTATTGTTATGGTCTATCTATCACACTCGACGTTGCCATGCTTATATTCAGGATATCAGCGCTAATAGACGGATAGGCCACAAATTCACCGCATAACCACAGTAGTGACATCCTATCTAACCTCAATCCACCAACACATAAGTGGTGGGTATCGTCATCAGTCCAAGCTTGTCACCCAAAAGCACCGCATTCCTTCCAAAGATGCCAAGGGAAACATCGTCCTCGATGCATCCGGCAAGGAGGTCCTTGTTGACCGCGACATTCGCCGAAGAATCGCTACGACACAAGCTCTACCGACCAACACTAGCAGATTTGAAGCCCTCCATCCGTTTCCAAATCCGCTATTTCCGATGAATGCAGGTGGTGGTATGGCAGCGGGTATGGCGGGCACATTGCTAAGAAAGAGACTGGAGCCGATGGAGGAAGGATGGGTCGAAGAGAGGATCCGAAAGGCGAGCGAGTGGGTTTATGTACCAGAAGAGTGGGGAATCGAGCCGAAAAAGCCTGACGCGGCGGCTATTAAGCAGACAGAGGACGAAGACGAGGATGAGGTTCCTGAATCGGAACGCCTAGACTCCGAAGCGATACCAACGACGCGAGTCAAGGATGCACTTTCCGCGGACGATATCAAGAAACTTTGGCAGCACGCCCATCAGGAGGTATTCGATATGAAGTATCTCCGACAGCTGTATCCGAAAAGCTATCCAGCTGAAGACGCGCAGGATTTGAATGAAGAGGAGGAAGAGGAAGAGGAGGGTGATGAGGACGAAGAAGAGGACGACGAAGAGTTTGAAGACGTCATGGATACCTCAGGCGGCCAGGAAGCAGTGACAGAGGACATTGCGAAGCCGAAGGTGGTAAAGAAGAAGGTTGTGTCGGGGAAGCTGCCTGTGCATCAGCCTGTAGAAGGAGTGCCGGTGCTTTCGATGGGGTATGTGTATGGATTTGCGGAATCCGGCGAGAAATAGAAAGCAGGTAGTGAGACATTAGCATTGGGTGGCGCCGATGGATTCAGGCGGGCGTAGGGCATGTGCTAGCATCTTTCAATTCGATCTTCCATCTTAGGCAAGGAGGATATTGATGATTCCTGTGTATGACACCCTAGTACTACACAGTAACAGCGACCTGAACTATCCTCACCCAGGCCTGAAGCCGTACATAATGACCAGATACATTCCCTTTAGCATGCGTCTTTCCAGCTCTGTCACGACTATATGCCCGCCTCCTGGAATAGCCTGCGAGAGTTGACGTCCGAACGTAACTCTACAGTTGTCATCGTCGTCGTTATAGAGGCTGTTGTGCTTGCTGTCTCTCGAAACATGGTCCTTGACCACGATCCAGCCTTTGTTCCTCTTCTGTCCTTGTGCCGCTTTATTCCAGACTGACCTTGCACCATTGCCGATACACAACTAGCTCTGTGCGCGCAAGGTTTGTGGGAAACCGCTTAGTATTCGGTTTACATGGCATCGGGCGGGTCGGAGTTGGAGGCTCTGGAGAGGGGCGGGTCGTCGGCCATGTCGGAAGGAGGTGCGGAATCTGCGGGGGTGAATATAGGTAAGTGTCGTTGTTTTTGCTCTGGTCCCTTGCGATAAGGTTATGACGACTACTTCGCAGTGAGGCTGTTCAATGATAAGTTAGCTGTCCTGGTGGGGTAACTTAGCTACAGGTAGCGGCCAGGATTGCGCCGACGCGTCGCGACTGCCGTGTCCAGTGGCCGCCTCGCCAGCTCACACGACGATGCATGTTATCTCTGGACCTCGGGACCAACCTCGGTGGAGGCCTTCAGAATTACCCCATCAAGTATCGTCTACAGTTGATGCGCGTGTGGAAGGTGGAGTGCCGCGACCAAAGCGGCAGTTGCATGCGAAATACTAGGAGCGTGTCGCGGGGTCGATCCAGGTTACTAACGTTACCGTTGTCCCGCGGGCTTCATCAGCACTACGCTACATATCTCCAACCTATAGATAAAAGGTCGCCTCCTCGATATGTTCCGGCTCTACTCCAATATTGCTAGAGCGTCAGTTCGTTCTTGTCCACCACTTCACTCGGCCATCTCAACCCCCAGAGTGCATAGAACAAGCCACAATCCAATTTGGAGATACTATAGTACAACGAACAACATGTCTGATCTCTTTGTCGAACTTACAGCACCCAATGGTCGCAAATACCGTCAACCCAGAGGTCTTTTCATCAACAATGAATTTGTCAAATCCAAGTCTGGAGAGACTATCAGTACGATAAACCCTAGGTACACATCCTCATATGACCTTCACACGCGGCTGTTCATTAACGTCAATCAGTGATGAGAAAGAGATTGCTTCCGTCTACGCAGCTGGCCCAGAAGATGTTAACGACGCTGTGGCAGCAGCTCGAAAAGCATTCAACGACCCATCATGGCGAGACATGGACACCAGTGATCGAGGTGACCTGCTTTACAAGCTTGCACAGTTGATTGACCAACACAAGGAGACACTTGCTACCATTGAGACTTGGGACAATGGAAAGCCGTATTCTGTTGCCCTGAACGACGACTTGACGGGCGTTATTGCTGTTATCAAATACTACGCTGGATTTGCGAACAAAATTCACGGAACAGTTATCGATACCTCACCACGTAAGCTCGCATATATTGTTCGAGAGCCACTTGGTGTCTGTGGGCAAATCATTCCGTAAGAGTCCATCCTTCATTTATTCAGACCGTACTGATCAACCTAGATGGAACTTCCCCCTATTAATGGCAGCTTGGAAACTAGGACCCGCGCTTTGCACCGGTAACACAATCGTCATGAAGGCTGCCGAACAGACACCCCTCTCTATATTGTACCTTGCCACACTCATCAAGGAAGCTGGCTTCCCTCCTGGTGTGGTCAACCTTCTCAACGGAGATGGTAGGAAAGCTGGTGCCACGCTGGCCCAACACCCTGACGTCGACAAGATTGCGTTTACTGGGTCTACAGCCACTGGAAAGGAGATTATGAAGATGGCTTCTGTCAACATGAAGAACATCACGCTTGAGACAGGTGGCAAATCGCCGCTAGTAATATTTGAAGATGCAGACCTGGCACAGGCTGTGAAATGGGCGCACACGGGCATCATGTAGGTATTTTCAGATTTGGCTTGATATCACACTAACACGGCATAGGTACAATCAGGGTCAAGTCTGCTGTGCAACATCGAGAATCCTGGTGCAAGAGGGCATCTATGACAAATTTGTCGAAGCCTTCAAGGAGTGCGTTAAGAATACCTCGGTGGTTGGAGACCCCTTCAAGGATGGTACATTCCAAGGTCCCCAGGTTACCAAAGCACAGTACGACCGCGTCCTGTCTTACATTGAGTCCGGCAAATCCGAGGGCGCAACTCTTATATCTGGTGGCGAGCCACACAAGAACGCAGGCGGCAAGGGCTTCTACATCTCGCCTACCATCTTCACAAACGTAAAGGATTCGATGAAGATTTTCCGCGAGGAGGTGTTTGGCCCATTTGTTGCCATCAGCTCATTCAAAGAGGAGGAGGAGGCAATCAGGCGCGCCAACGACACCACCTACGGTCTTGGAGCAGCTGTGTTCACTGAGAACATCACCAAAGCCCACCGTGTTGCCAGGCGTATTGAAGCAGGCATGGTATGGATCAACTCAAGCAATGACACAGATATTCGAGTTCCTTTCGGAGGTGTGAAGCAGAGTGGTATTGGAAGGGAGCTGGGCGAGGCTGGGCTGGAGGCATACACCAACAAGAAGGTATGCTTATACAAACAGAAAGAATATTATGCGTTCGCTAACACGACAACCAGGCTGTCCACGTCAACCTTGGAACCAAGCTATAAAACGCAGGGCACACGGAATAGTATGAGAAATATAAAATGTGGCATCATGGGCCGTGGGTATCTGGTCACATGGGCATCCAAGAACTCCGCCCTTGGCGCCATGGCCTGGGCGACTGACGTGATGATGGGTCGCGGGTGGAGAAAGCTACCGGTTCCGGTACATAAGACCTATGAAGACGTATTTTGGTGTAACTTAAGCCCCACGGTGAGACAACTTGACACAAGGAATATGCAGATACGTAGGCAGATTGTATCCGATGCCCCTTGGGCTGCAAAGCAACAAAAATTGAAGAAAAAAAAATTGCCTCACCGGCGGGACTTTTGGTCATATATGGCGCATGCACACGCTTGGGCGCGGGCGGAGGAGGACCGCAGAGGCACTCGTGCTCTGGTGAGGCGCACCGAGTCGCCAGGGCTTAGCCGTGCCTGTTCGTTTCCATAGTTTCTGGATGGACTGGTAACGGTGGGCCCATGATGCGGTTTGTGGGGTTGAGGCACGGCAGAGCTGCGAGCTGCGAGCCTGAGATGCAGTTTGCAGCCCGTTCCACGAGTAGTATCGCGGTGCTGCTGGCGAGACGCGTGCGGGTGGAGGGGCGGATTGCTTTGTGTTCGGGTTTGTGACCTTGTCATCCTTGTCGTGCTTGTCCGTATCTTGGCAGGCGTTTCTCTCCAACTTTGCTGCTGTGTGTGGCGCACTGTCCCATCCCCTCTGCACTCTGACTGTCGCTGTCGCCGTCGCCGTCGCTGTTTGCTATACCCTTCGTCTCGGTCCGCTCCAGGTTGTTGTTATCGCATCGACCTCGCGGCTGTCTGGGCTTACGGCTAGGCTGCGCTCGTTCACCCCGCTAGCACAGCACCCAACGCTGCTACCTACCTAGCTACTCATCGGTCCGTAGAGCCCGAACGAGGCCAGCTCGCCCACGACCGTCATTGCCAACGCCGCCAACGCGCTGGAACCAGACTAGAGTTTGCGGCTGACAGTGCAACTTAATCCCCGCCCTGCCTGCATAGCCCACCAGCGAACGGCTTTCACCGTCACCACAACTAGCAAGTCTGAGCACTGCCCGCCTATCGTGAGTCGCCACAAACCGTCTGCAGCACGCATACCACCGATCTGGCGCGCACGCTGGAAGACCACCACTCCCCCGTCGCCGAGCCCAGCCTCGTCCGCCAGACCAAGAGGCAGACAACGACAGTGCCGACGGAGGCACGATTCCTTGCTTTTCTCGCCCGCCTGTACCGACCACCCTAACGTCGCCGCATCGCCTGCCCTGCCTCCTGCCTGCTACGTAGCATATATACTTCACAAGACAGCGTGACTGCCGTTGGCGTCATCGCTTGTGGCCATAGGGAAGGAGCAGTCGTCGACCCTTCGCACGCCTTCCAGCTGCCACCGCCGCCTTCCCAACTCAGACCCGGCACAAACACGGCTTCAGCAAAGCATAGATAGCCACTACACACTCCTGCATACGCTCGCTTAGTACATCACCCACACCATGGGCAACCAGCAGTCTAGCAACAAGGACAAAAAGGCCGACAAGGCCGGGAACGACGGTGTCCCACTCGGTCGCGAGTACTACCGCTCTTTTGAGCGATCCGACACTAAAGAGTCCACACGCTCGCTGCGCAACTCGCTCAGGAATAAGATTCCAGGGACGGGCAAGTCTGAAAGCCCACGAAACTCTGTTGCCGGCCTCCCCGACGCCAACGGCAAGACAGACAAGATAGACGCAGCTTCGGGCAAGTCCAAAGGAGGATCGCGGAGGAACTCGATCGCTTCAACTTCAGTCCCAGCTGAACCAGCACCGGAGACGGCAGACAAGGTCGAAGCCACCGCAGATGACGACGACCAACCGCCGCCCTCGCCAGTCCATGGCGCAACACTTGGAACAGGCCATGAAGGCGTGAGCAAGGCTCAGCGAACTGGCGAAGTTGACCACGTCTCTGATGTGCCGCCGACAGGGGTGGCACAACCCTTGGCTTCTGCCCAGCCGGGAGAGTCGATTCTGCAAAGGAAAGATCAGCCAATTCCAAGGCTTCCAGAACCTCCAGCAGCTACTGATGGTTCAGGCTCGCCTATGGAGATCAGCGCGCTCAAGTCAATGGATCTGGATGACATGATTCAGCGACTACTCGACGCAGCCTATGCTGGCAAGGTCACCAAGACTGTCAGCTTGAAAAATGCTGAGATATTCGCCATTTGCTCAGCCGCCCGAGAAGTCTTCCTCAGCCAGCCCGCACTGCTCGAACTATCACCGCCTGTGAAGATTGTCGGCGATATCCATGGACAGTACACCGACCTAATCCGCATGTTCGAGATGTGCGGATTCCCACCCAACTCCAACTATCTCTTCCTCGGCGATTACGTAGACCGCGGCAAACAGAGCTTAGAGACGATTCTCCTCTTGCTCTGCTACAAGCTCAAGTTCCCCGAGAACTTTTTCCTCCTCCGCGGCAACCACGAATGCGCCAACGTCACACGTGTATATGGCTTCTACGACGAGTGCAAGAGACGGTGCAACATCAAGGTTTGGAAAGCCTTTGTGGACACCTTCAACACGCTTCCCATCGCGGCCATCGTGGCACAAAAGATCTTCTGCGTGCACGGCGGTCTGTCTCCCAGTCTGTCTCACATGGACGATATTAGACAAATTGCACGACCTACGGACGTACCAGACTACGGTCTACTGAACGACCTGTTATGGAGTGACCCTGCGGACATGGAAAATGACTGGGAGTCCAACGAACGAGGCGTCAGTTACTGCTTTGGAAAGAAGGTCATTATGGAGTTTTTGGCGCGACACGACTTTGATCTTGTGTGCAGAGCCCACATGGTTGTAGAAGATGGCTATGAATTCTTCACAGACAGAGTCTTGGTCACTGTGTTTTCAGCACCTAACGTAAGCCCACCGAAACTCACAAGCCGAAACTATTGCTGACAACCTATAGTACTGCGGCGAATTTGACAATTGGGGCGCCGTCATGTCCGTTTCGGGAGAACTGCTCTGCAGTTTTGAGCTGCTTAAACCACTGGACTCTAGCGCACTCAAGAGTCATATCAAGAAGAGCAGGAACAAGCGTCAAAGCATGCTCAACTCACCAGTACGTATCGCATCTGAAGCTTACTGGATTTTTGATGATTCAGGGCTATCTACTTCATGTTTAGCAGTACTGACTTTGGCTTGTAGCCCGCACACTATGCACCTCAAAGTTACTAATCTCGTACTTTGGTGTAGGATGCCGATAGTATTTCGTACTCTGAATCTCCAATCATCGCAAGGGCCACAAGTGTGTCACGAGTGCAAGAGTCAGTTGAACCTGACGACGCTGCAATGATAGATGACCCAGAGAAACGCAGCCTTGCCCAAAGGTTGCGGCGTGTGCGAAGGAAACCAGGTTCGGAACACTTGGGTAGCCAAGAGGACGGTCCTGCGGTACCACCATCGCGGAGATATGGCCACAACAGAGCAAATACATGGGCAACTAATTGGAACGAAACAACTACATTACCTCGGAGCGGTAGCGCACCACTTTTGCGAAACATACATCGGCATGATGCCGGGCGGCGAAACCACGATCTAGAGAAGAGGCGGGCGATGTGGGAGTCCACACTCCCTCCAGTTCTATCGGACCACATTGGCTACTTCTCAACCGGGCACAATCTAGATCGCGTGAGCCCTGACAGAAAGCCATGAGCAGTAGCCTTTGCGAAACATCGATATTCGGCGAATCCGCCTTGTTTACGTCACGTGTTACCGGTTCATGCACCTTTTCACGACATTTCCGCTTCTTTCCACTGTTTCGATAATTTATTTTTCTACTATTATCTTCTTTACTTACACGTTTTTGCACCGATCGGCGTCGGCGTTGTCGGGGCAGGAACACTGAGTCAACTCACTGGCGGCCACTTTCTCCTTTCTGATTGGAGCATCCTGTGGCTTTCCCTTTATTGTGGTACTGACGGATGTTGGTGGATGTATAGCATACCATGTGCGCATTGTTATGTTGCACGTTTGTATACGCTGTTCACATGATGGCGAGGAAGGGATCGCATTTTAATTATACATATCTTGATGGTCCAAGCATGATGTCTCCCCGCAAACTCTATGTGTGCTGATTTATAATGATTTCAAATGTGGATATGTTGCTAATTTGTCTCCTATCTAGATGAAGCAGGGCTAGGTGGTAACTCCCCTTTAGCCCAATGTACCGGCTCAAGCCCGAGCACATATTCCATCAAACCCCCATTCTCGAAGACGTCTCGCCAGCTTACCCATGGTTTATCCCATGCCTTGCCGTTTACTTTCAAACTCTGTACGTAAGGAGATGTGTTGCGATCGGTTGAGCCAGTAGTGGTGACGGTGAGTGTCTTCCCATTCGCAAGGTCGAGGGTAAGTGAGGGGAACCAAGGGGAAAGAATAAGGAAGGTGGTCTGGCCGGTAAGAGGGTAGAGGCCTATGATCTGCCACTATTGCAACCGTTAATATCCGTCCCTCTCTAAACAGAGGAAACCAAGACGAGAAGCGTGATATACACACCAAAAGATCCGACTCCATGGCCCCAGCATCCGAATTTCCCGGCAAACCCCCCTCCCAGGCATTATACAACCTCCCAATCCCCCGACTACGGTTCACACTTCTCCACTGCTCATCCTGCACGAAATTATACAAATAAGGCGTCGTAAAGCTAGGCTCATTTCCAGCCTTGAAGAACCCCAGCTCGAAAATCTTATTTAGACGATCTACAAACACCGCGTCGCCGCCTACCCGTCGCTTCAGTTCTGCAACGTCGTGAATGGCGTTCATACTGTAGATCCAACTGTTGTCTTCATAGTACGCATCGGCCCAGTAGCAGCCCCCACACGACGCCGGGTCCTGCGGTACAAACGCCCCGTTTGCAAGGCGAGGCACGAGGAAGCCCGTGTGGTTGTGAGATGTAGCCGCTGGATTCCAGTGGTTACGCCAATTGCGTGAGCGATTGAGATACTTTGACAATTCTGCTGTTTTCCCCAACCCGGAAGCGACTTGGTGGAGGGCAAAGTCATTTGTGGAGTACTCTACCGCTCGGGAGACGGCGCGTGAGAAGCGTGGGGTTATGTAGCCGTATGTGTGCCAATCTGGTAGTGCGCCGCGGCCTTCTTTGGTCGAGGAGTCAGGGGCTTGTAGGTCGTGGTTGTTGGGGGGTACGACTTCTGCGTCTGTGAGCATGGCGGAGAATCCGTCGGTCCAGTTTATGGCACCTCGGACGCCCTTGATGTAGGCGTCGGCGAGGACGTTGTCGCCGTTTGAGCCTCCTTGTACTCGGCCATTGTAGTTTGAGGATCGTGCGTCGGGCATGAAGCCGGCGTGACGCCAGGTGTCGATGAGGGAACGGATGAAGGTTTCGTAGGCGGTGGGTTGGAGGATATGGAAGAGCGGTGTGTGGCAGCGGTGCGTATCCCAGAGAGTGAAGATATCATCGTAGTAGGGTTCTCCGGTGTTCCAGGCGGGATTCTCGCCGGTGCGGTTAGAGGGGATGAGAAACATCCCATAAAGGGAACTGTAGAGCAGTTGTAGGTCATCTAAGTTGATGGATGAGACTTGAACTTTGCTCAAGACTTCGACGTCCCATGTCTTCTTTGCCGCGTCAGCAAGTTCCACGATTTTTTTGTTTTCGGTGATCTCTTCGAGGTTTGCGCAAGCCTTTGAGGGAGAGATGAAGGATATGCCAACACGAGACATGACTTTAGATTCGGAAAACGTGAAAACGCCACCAAGTCGTGCAGACCCAAATGCTGGAGTGCTCAATCTACTAGCGTTACCGTTGAAGGTCCATGACTGAGAAGGTCGCTTGTTGAACTTTCCGCAAAAGTAGATTGTCCAGTCGGGCGAGAGATTCCATCCGTTATTGTATATGCCTGACCCCTCATAGTACCCATCTTGATGAATGATGAATTTACCACCCGCGTAATGTTGCTCCCAGCCTAAGCCTCTGAAACTAGACAGTACGTGCGAAACATCTATCACGATAGAAGATGCAGTACCATTCGGGAAAGAGTACGAGTACAACCCAGCATGTTCAGTGGCACTCAACTCCACCGTCACTCCGTTTGCCAGTGAAGACTTGTAGTATCCAACGCTTCCTTGATCTGGTACTCGCCGGGGCTGAGATAGATCAGCCAGTGGATCTAGAACGTCCCCGACTACTGGCATCTGTGACACTACACCATATTTTGGCGCACCGCCAGTTCCAGATTCGTGCATCATGCTGAAGCCGAAGATGTTGCCCGATGGAAGGTATCCGGAGTATGCATCCGTCCTGCCATCGTGCACGTCGGGCCCCAACTTCACCATTGCAAAGGGCGCAGCAACGACGCCAGGGAATCTGTTACCACCGCCTTTCGTTCCTTGACTGCTGTATCTCAATAACATTTCCACGGAGGAAGATTTTGGACTTACAATACATTGACATATTGGCTGTAGTTGCTCTGCGCTTGTACGAACTCGAAAAAGAAGACTGATAAACACACCAAGATACCCATGAGTAGACACGAACTCGCAACCAAAGCCATGTTCACTGTCCCTGAATCAGAACAAAAGTAGTAAAAGATATTTCCCCTGAGAAAAGCGGCAACATTCGCTTTTTCAATTTTCAATGTAAGCAATACAGCAGAAATGTGGCAATCGGATACTGCCAACTCGTGTCCTACTTAGGTCCCAAAGTCACCCATTAGCTTCAACGTAAATAGCCACGGCCCACATACCCAGATTGAAGGTAGTCCAACAAAGACTAGCGGATTTCACAGTGCGTAAACGGTAAAGTCTAGTGTGTGGCTAATCCTGTGGCTATGTTTGCTGTCTGAGCTGTTCGATCTAGTAACGTTCCAAGAAAGGGGGATGGAAAAGCAAGGAAAATTATCAACGTTTAGAATTAAGAAAGAACAGCAAGAATTACCGTCTACCTTCTTTATGGAGTTTCTGCATGATTACATTGAATTGCTGCGGGGTGTATGCAATGTATTGGATTCTGGCCAATGACAGTTCGCAGATCAACCATGTGAGCGATTGTGAGCGATTTGTGCTCCATGCCTACAAGGCATCTTCAAGGAAGTTATTAAGTGACGTAGATATCATGTGAATGGAAAGTTAGCGTGGGACAGTACAAACACTGTGTTTTGAAGCCGTGTACTGACGTGATTACGCGGTGATTTCGAGTCGTCGGATAAACTTTGTCAGATCGAGGACTTGTACGATTTGATCTGAATATATCTGCCTGGTTTGGGTACATTGCCTCTAGATCGTTGTTGTCTCGGAAGAAACCGGGAGTTGTTGTATACACGAAAAGACCTTGGACATACTTTTACATCCTTCAGCCCAGGCCGGTGGACTCTCAGGCTCTGTGGCTGCAGTAGAGATCCTAGAGCTCCAGACCGTTATGGAAACACTGCATGATGAATATCGCCACCTACACGGAACAGGGATGTTGTTTCGCCGCAGTGCGATTGACTGGGAATAAAAGTGAGGTGTGTTGTTGACTCATGGTACATGAAGGGTGTGTCGTGTAATTGGAACAGCAAAACTAAATCGTTAGTATTGTTGTGGCAGAGCTGACAATGGTTCAAGTGTAGATTGAATGGAGAATTGAGGAGAGCTCTGTAGTTGATTTCCGGGGTCGAAGAAGTGGAAAGATTAAACGCTGGAGCTGTCGATCGTATCATACTGCATACTAATCAGAATGCCCGTGAGATGGCTCTGAGAAATTGCTGCATAGAGTATTTATAATTAGCAAACGAAAAATGAGCTGGCCGATGAAACAAATAAGGTACTCAGTCTCCAACACCGAATCTGGTGCGTGTCCTCGCGAGGTCCCGGTTGTATTCATGCTGTATTTGTGTTGGCGCCGATATCACAGTATGTTCGAGTATGCTGAGCTCTTGTGCGATTTGGCGGTGTTTCTCTGCTTTGCGTTTCTTGTACTCAGTGGGGAAGGAGGCTGTGCCGCTAGTCAAAGGCACTGATGACGCCGACCACCTCTAGTCCAGACATGGTAGATCAACCACTCGAACAGTATTTGTGAGAAAATTCCTCAATCTTTTACAAGAGGCGGAGAAAACCCATAGCTTGTGTTCACAGTAGTCCAATTAGCCGTGATTTTCATCACGAAGGTAGAATGCTTGGAAGTTTTCACGGTGCCTATTCATTCCATTGTCTAGACAATTTATGCAGGCTGCAGTAGTTGAGCTCAGCTTCAAGCGCCCATTTGATTTATGGCCTGCGTCATTCCTGCGATAAGGCGTCTTTTTCTCTTGTCAATCAGAATACACCTTCCTAACTTTCTCTTGCGGCTTCCTCATGGTCACCCACATCAGCTCACGTTCACTTACACTTTCCTCATTCATCTTCTCTCCCCCGCGCAACAAGCTAGGGAACTTATGAGGTGAATTCCGCATGCTTCTGTCACTTTTAATTCCCTCTTCATTCTATCAACGTCTCACTTCCAGGAGTGTATTCTTCAACCTTTGCCATTCGTCTTCCGCAAAACAGCTGGCAATACGTTGCCGTCACCCAACAACACGCAAAAGAACATCCCTGTTCAAAATCAAAAGCCGCTATCCTCTCCAAAGGTAGGCTAGCCTGACAGTATCTCGGTCATTGCTAACTCGCCCGTAGAGCAAGATGGTAGAGTTGAAACCCACCACGACGCGCCTGCCATACGCTCAGTCGAACCCATCAGCTCCTAAAGCCGCACACGTTCACGCCCCGAAGGCCACAAAAATTTCTGCTCGCGCCCCTGGTCATCCTACAACGCTCAAGCAGACAACGACTTCTACTGGCGCCTCCAAAACTCTGCCCTCGTACCCTCGCTCGGGTTCGCCTGATTCTGAAAAACGCTCAAGATGTCGACATCATGCTCGTTGGGATATGGTACCAAGTGCAAAGTGGTGCAAGGTGCACCAAGGGAGTAAGTGCACTGATCCAGTCCATTTCTTCCAGCAGCCTCGAAGGCTGCGTCAATAGTTATTTAAATCTACCAGCGAAACCCATAATCTTTGCCTGTTCGCTTTGTGGAACTACCTGTTGCTCTCCATGTCAAAAGAAATTCACAAGTCATTCGAGCTCGTGATACCTGGGAAAGAGGCCTGGCCAGCCGGGCTACATTCCTCCTGGAACCTATGGGTTCACTGCTGCTGATTACCGCTACCTTGAGTCACTTTAAGTCAAGGGAATTTGGCACCAAAGGGGATACAGAATATCAGGGCAGAGTTATTCATGTAGCTATACTTCTACATTCGCTACCACGCACATCAGATCAGGTAGCCAGTCATACAGATAGCACAACCTGCAGTTCAAGATTCTATACACATTGTGACTATAAAAGGACTCCAACAACTATATGCACGTCCACATCCTATTTATGCCTTAGGCAGCGATCTTGTCTCCATACTCAACTACATTCCCCGCATCTGTTCTCGGTACAAGTATACTCCTCAAGATGCAAAGCTTGCCGTTCTCTGGGCACACCTTGTCCCTGTTGAGCTGCTTATCCACCGGTCCCGTCGGCCCTCCAGCGAACTTGGCCTGACCAAACAAGACGACCTGTCTCTGATCACTTGTCAGGTACTGTTCATCACCCCATCTGCCCCTCCAGTCCAACCATGCTGTCGGAGCCGCACCGTCATAAGCAGAGAACTGCGTCGTTTTTGCGTCGAACTTGTAATACCACGCACTCTGCAACGGGTCCCACAACGTGCCCTTATCCGTATAATCCTCCAGCACGCCGCCCGGTAGGTTTAAGTTGGGAATGGTATGATCGTGTGTACCAGAAATGGCATAGTTTGCATGCGAGCCCTTTGCCGAATAGGCAATAGGTCTATCACCCGACTTCTCGACGGTCGGGTAGCGAAACGCTTGACCGTTCGCGTGCTGCGAGTACCAGATGCTTTGGGGCTCGCCATTCAGGAAACGCACCATTGTGTGTTCCCAGTCGCCAACATGGTTGCCTGTACTATGGTCAGTGGCGCGCAGCCGAAATACTAAGGGAAAGTACCAAAGTTCAAAGCACTCCAGCCGAGGACCTCCCCGCCATAGTTGTATGCGCTGAAGTACATATAGAATGCGTCTACGTTACCGTTGCCCTTGTCATTTACAATGATAGCAGCGGTTATTGCGCCGTCTGTCTTTCCTTGAGCGTTTGGCTTGGTGCCTTTGATCCAGGCGGGGTCTTTGGTCACGTCGTCGTTTGAGGTGAGCCACACGTCGCTGCCCATTTGGTTGAGGTTCGAAGTTGTCAGAGGTTTAGAGGGGCCAGGGACTTCAGTAAAGTTCACACGGGGTGTGGTGTTGTCGAGGAAGGTCTGGATGTCTGTTGGGAAATATGTTTCTGTAGAATGGAGGTACACGACTGGGGCTGAAGGTTGTTAGGGACATTGTGTCTTTGGCCAGTAAGACCAAAAGTACGTACCATATTTGAGTACATAGTCAGGAACATTGCTTGGTGCCTGCCTCTGCGTGAGCGGCGCGCTGCTCACAAAAGACACTGTGAGTGCAGAGATGGTGACGAGTGATTTGAAGCCCATGATACCGGTTTACACGCAAAACTCGGTCGATGGTTCAAAACACCAATTTAATGATATTGCGTCTTCTTATACCACACAGCACAGCCTATGGTCAGCTGTGCCATCTGGCCCCATCCCACCTCAGCCTCGCATACAAACAAGAAAAGCCAGGTCTGTTCATCCTATGCTCCTTCCGCTCTCTGTTAAAACTTGAACGCCCGACCAATCTCCACGCATGCCTCACCAAACACCTACCATTCGTCTCTGCGCCTTCGGACCATATCTTAGCCCCCCTGCGCATACTCGGAAAACCCGATAGCACGTGCAGCCCATGTTCCAGAAATGATCCTTCAAGGCTCGCACGTTGGAGACAGGACGGGTCAGGCGTAGCCGAGAAGGTTTGTGAGGTGCAAACTAATAATATGGGTGCGTAGCGCACATGTTTGCCCAGGTGGTTGTCGAACGCTAATGCGAGGTCGGATGTGGCGATCTGTGGGTACAGGGGTGATGGGGAGGTTGATAGGATAGAGGGGAGAGTGATCCGCGAACGTGTTCGGAATGAGAAAACGTTATTGGCAGGGGGTTTGTCGTGCCTGAAAAGTCGCTGCATGCACTTTGGGAAGGAGGAGAAAGCAATATGCCGGCTGCAGGCTTGGGAGAAGCGCCATGTGGGGAAGCGGTGTGGTGATTGGACCTTTGGTATCAGCTGGCTAATCGAGAGCTGTGTGGTATGTCAACTACCATTGCTTCGGAGTCGAATAAACTGGGCTTGAGTTGAGCAAAAGACCTCAAATGCTGTCCTCCTGTTCGAGCCTCGTGCCAAGGTGGCGGCACGTGGCTGGTTTTATTATATCGTACAAGCAGCCTCTAGAATACAAATGTTCGCGCATACTTGCGGTCCATGTCCTCGTACTCGTCTTTCAACATCTTGCTTCTCAGCTTGTTCAGCCTGAGTGTGACACCTTCTTCTTCGCCCTCCAGATTCTCCACATCCTCATCCAGCCCCTTTGTTCCTCTGATCTTCCACACCAAGCCTGTTAGACCTCCACTCTTGGCTTGAGATTGCTTCTCTTTGGCTTCCGCCGCTAGATAAGTCATAATCTTTCCCCAAGACTCTAGACCTACCTCCTCGCACTGTTCACACTTTTTGCGGATGTCTTCCTTGGCACGAATGGAGTCGAGAGATTGGGCAAGTTTAGATGTCGACACGGCGTCGCGCACCCATGAGAGGCCTTGTTGGCGTTGAGTCGAAGATGAACCAGCTGTCGCAAAGAGGATTTCGCCAATATAGTTCTTCAATGCAGCTTCCTCGCAGCGGTCAGTCTCCTTGCGCAGAAGAGGTTCATCGCCAGAAGGCGGGACAGGAGGGTAGTCTGGCTCTTTGAGGAGACTGATCAAGGTGCCAATTAGACTGGAGTCCTTTTGAGTAACGACCGTAGGAATATAAGCTTCATCTGCACCGAGACGTGCGCGAAGCAGGGAGATGAAGATTGGAAGTGCGGATGTGATTCGCCTTTGCTCTGCCAAAAAGGTCGCCAAGTTGGTGGCGGCATAGATGATGTTTGGTGTCACCGCCTCTTTTGGCGCTGTAGCGGATAAAATGCCAGTCTCTCGATCGACGACGGCTGAGGGCTCGGGCGTTGGTAGACCTGCGATAGCAATGTCTAGTGCCCACCGGTACATCTCTTCAGCTGAGTCAGGTAGTGTCCTGAAACTAAGCCAGTCGGCATAGCCCAACGCAGCTGAAAGTCTTTGGTAAGTGGTGAAACCCTTGGAGGTTATGATCTTGAGGTAGAACGTCTCCGGTGCCTCAGCAGCAGGCACACGGTGGTCCGCATCTGGTGGTTCCGGCATGCCGGGTAGTACAGTCTTTGGTCGTTTGTTCGTAGGGGACTGGATGAATTCTGGTGCCCACACGTTTCGCCTCCATCTGTCCGTCACCCACCCGTCTAGTCGTTCTGCGGCGGTCGCCATACCCATGAGCACTTCATAGTATCCTTGCCGCCATTCCTCGCTCTTCGCCGATATATCAAAGCCTGCCTTGCCTAGTCCGGGCACCAGTATGCCACCTTCTTCTTGCTCCTTGAGACCTGCTCCATCTTGATTGGGATTCTCTAGCCTCTTCAGCGCATATTCCAGCTCGGAGTAGACTCGGGCCCAGTTGGGAAACCCCTCCTCCTCATTGTTCTCAGGGACCTGCCACCATTTGCCCCTCCGAAAGCGGAACCTTGTGATCAGACTCCACTCATGTGGCGAGGGGAATGCGCGCTCTTGCTGTTCGCTGAGGATGCCCAAACTTGCGATACTGAAGCACGACGTAAGCAAAAAGATGAGTATGCTATAGCGCACGCTCAGTTTTGCCGTCTCCTTTATGAATTTCTTGTGGTTCGCGCTGATGGAAAACAGACGTTGTAGTTGGCCATTGGAGAGAGGTTGGCCGGAGGGGTACAGAAAGGGTAGCTGTGGCCGCGGGGAGCCTGGTTGCGCGACGAGGAATTGGCGGGGGTGTCTATACGAAAATTGGCGCGGACTTGGGTGGTGCGACGGGCGAGTCTTTGGGGGCTGCAACGAGCCCTGTGGTAGCTTTATTCGATGTGCTGGAGGCCGCATTATCGCTTGCGACTAGATTGTTGCCTTTCAACACCCGTGTCTGTGGCCTGGCTCACGCGCCAAGGTGGATCTACCCCCACCGCCCGGCAGAAAAAGTTCAAGATCTCGGAATTTCGTCTCGCGACGCTACAACCTTAATTACAACATTTTTGCGCGCCCATCATGTCCAAATCCAAAGTTGATAAGCCTGAGAAGAAGCGCAAGCGCGATGTCGAGGTAGCAGAGGATGTACCCAAAAAGTCCAAAAAGTCTAAGAAGACCGAAGATACTCAGGATGCGCCCACGCCCGAAGCACCTGTAGTCGAAGTAGCGGAGGTGAAGAAGGACAAGAAGTCCAAAAAAGATAAGAAGGAGAAGAAGTCCAAGGACAATGTGGATATCTCAGCTGTTGAGGATGCCCTAGAGGACGCAAAGAAGAAGAAGGAAAAGAAGTCGAAAAAGTCCAAGAAGTCCAAGGATACCGACGCGTCTGAAGATGCACCGGCTGACGAGACTGAGCTCATTGAAGAGATGAAGACTTCGGAAAACTTCATCAATGTCAACGATGACGAGCCAATGCCTGACGCGACCGAGGATGCACCTGTCAAGGACAAGAAGAAGTCTAAGAAGGACAAGGACTCCAAGAAGTCCAAGAAGAGCAAAAAGGCTACTGAAGCCGAAGACACGGCCATGGAAGATGTAGAAGATACCCCGGCGGAGACGAACGGGGTAGATGTTGACTCCAAGGCTGCTAAGAAAGAGAAGAAGAAGGACAAGAAGGAGAAGAAAGAAAAGAAGACAAAGAAGACAAAGGAATCCGAGTCCAACGGGGACGTCCTCACGGAAGATACAGCCGCAGAGGCCGAAATGGGCGAGGAGGTAGAAGTGGAGGGAGAAGAAGCCCAGGCCGCAGTCGAAGCCAACCAAGGCCGCTTCATCGTCTTTGTTGGTACGTTTAACACACAAGCCACCACATCACTCTCGCTAATCTCCCTCTCCAGGCAACCTCCCTTACAGCGCCACAAAAGAGGAGATTGAGAAGCACTTTGAGAAGATCAAGCCTTCGGAAATTCGTCTACGTACATACAAGGGCACAGAAAAATTCATGGGTACATGTTTTGTCGAGTTCGACCGCTACGACCGCATGGTGACGTGCTTGAAGAAGTACCATCACTCAGTCTTTCCCGATCCAAAGAAGAAGGAGGGCAGGAAGATCAACGTTGAACTTAGGTATGTCATTTCCGTTTAGTATAATGTTACGCTTGGCAGATTGGCGTACAAGAAGCTAATACAATGACAGTGCCGGAGGCGGCGGCAACAGCGAAACTCGAAAGACCAAGATTGCGGCCAAGAACGAAAAACTGCACGACGAGCGTGCCCGTGATCGCATAAAGGAAGCCGAAGTCAGTATGAAACAGAGAGAGCGCAAGGAGAAGAAGGAAGCCAAATCCGGCAAAAAGGCGGACAAGAAGGAGGAAGAGCCTGCAGCTGAGAAGCCGTCTGAGGCGGAGACTTTTGGTATGAACCCGGCTAGGTTGGCTATGATGCAGGGTCCTGCGGTCCCGCATAGGTCGAGGTATTAGACTTGTCATTCAAGTGGTGCTAGACAAAAGGGGGGGTTGTGCCTGGGGATCTAAGTGGCAACCTTTCTTAAAATCTGGCTGAACTGTGTAGATGGTTGAGCATAGTGTTGAATAATGAAAAGATGAACTTGGAAAATGGCTAGCATATGGTTATCACATTTATGCTCCATCTGTTCTTGTTTATTATGCAGACATACGAGAGTGATATGACTGCTGAGCATCTGGCATACAAACAATTGACGATTCAAGTTAGCACTACATAGGATTGAGGAGACAGGGTCCCTTGTGGGGTTCTGATTCCCGATCCCGCGCGGCCCGAAATGCACCGACCGCGGCTTGCATCGCAACTTTTTTGTGATGCCTAGCACGCCTGTTCTCAACGCCATTGCCGCACAACCCCACGATTCTGAGCAACGGTAAACGTGCAATCTGATTTTTTCGATACGACATCACCTAAACGACAATTGGCAATCGCTACTTTGGCTTCGGGGTTGCGAAAGACTCGTTCGGGGGTCCGCCCCATCCGCATACACCACTAGCACGGCTGTAGGGGCTTTATGGAAACCATACAGAAGGCTTCAGTCTTACGAATGATGGGCCGACCAAGCGCTGTCCCGGTTAATCCTCCTTCGCCACCACCGTCTGAAAGCGCATACGAAGGCACGCCTGTCACTTCACCACGTTCCCTACGGCAACTCTCCATATACTTCCTCGGAAGCGCATGCCTCCTTGCATCGACTGCGATAACACGAAAGGCTGTTTGGCGGCGGCAACTCCGTGTAATGCCGAAATTCTACGAAGCGAACACGAACCCCCACGAATACTTTAGTCCCTTTTCAGATGCCTGCCAGGCTCTGAATTTGGCAACAATGAATTGTGTCAGTGTTGGAATTATGGCACTGGGCGGGGCGATGTGGACTTTTGATATCGCCAATTTGAGGGAAGCTCGGGCAGTCCTGAGAAGGCGCCTTAACTATGACAGGATATACGAGTCTGAAGATGAGGTACCGAATACTATCAGTGAGATGATAGCGGCATCTGGGCAGATGCGAATAATAGAGGACGAAGAAAACTCGGATCCTGACAACAAGCAATAACGGACAATACCATGTACGAGTACGACTGTAAGAATAGTGTAAACAACAGTAAGACTGGATGTCACCGGTAGCTTCCATGTAATGCTACGAACAAGACACTCACCCTGTATTGGAAGATTTTGTAGAATCAGTGCTTAGCTTCAACACCCTCTTTTCCGCCTTCTACTTTCACTCCCTTCTGCCCATCCCTGTTCGCCCTCCAAACTCCCTCGCCGCCCTTGAATCTTTCCAGCTTCCATATCTCAGCCCTATCCTTAGTCTCCTCTAGCGTTTCCTCACCAGCCCTCCATGCAGCTTGTCGATGCGGTGCTGATACTGCTATCACAATACTCTCTTCACCAATGGGACACTCGCCGAGCTTGTGGATGATGGCGATCTTGGTGCATGAATGCTTAGCAAGAATAGAGGTCGCAATTTTGAAGAGAGTGGAGATGGCGAGCGGAGTATACGATGTGTAAGCTAGAGAGGACACGGGCTCATTGTTGAAGGAGTCGCGTGTAGTGCCAATGAATAGGACAGTTGCACCAGCTGATGGTGAGCGGACGAAGCGTGTGGCAGCGAGTGAGTCAAGGTCGTGCGGGGTGAGTTCCACGTGGATGGTATCCGTGGTCTTGACAACGCGCTCTGAGGGTATGTCGGCGGTATACGATTGGGACTCTGTAGTGGACATGTTTGACGAGCGAATATGTATGTGTGTATTGCGCAGGATTCTTATCGATGTTGTTGTAACTACCAAGTGTTACTTTGGATCCGTAATGCTTAGTCCGCAGCTTGGACAAATCAAGATTATTAGTGGAGTAATGTACAATTGGCAGAAGTGGGAGTAAAACAATGCAACTGCATGGAAGGGGCCTGCACAATTGTATGGAAGATCTACACGGGCCTTGGGGCTTGTGCAAGTGTCAGAAACTCCCAGGTGGAGATGACAGGTAACCCCCGCCATCGCCAGCCTGATCTCATGCCCGTATGACGAGAGCATGCTGTACTTACCTCTGTTGATATTGAGCAGTGTGAGGAATCAATGTTCCGTGGGATGCGAAGGATTCGTCTTCGGAAATTATCTGGGGTGAAATGTCGAAGATGCCGTCATAGCAGCGCGGGATGGCTCCACTAGCGCCGATCACGGATGTGCATCCTCCAGCTCACACGTGGAGCGTGGTTTAAGTCCGGCCCCGCCGCCCATACCATAGCTCCAACGGTCAGCTCGCGTTGGACGACTGTTCTCAACCCCTGGCTAAGACTGCAGAATAATAGTGCGTTTCCAAGACCTTTTCGTCTGGTTTTTGTGCTTGTATCATCTGCTGCAAAGGCATACATGAAATCATCTGCATTCATTCCAACCCCGTCATTCGCTACTACACGTGCCTCGACGCGCCGAATCCGTATTACACCGTGATCCCACGCCTGCGATCCGTACACGTATACCTATTCTTCTCCTGTGACGAACCACACAAGCACAATAACACCGGCGATAGACTTATACATGGCAAGGCATGATCCACGGCAAAGCATAAGACGCAAGGCAAGATGAGCGGGGAATGGGGGTTTGGGACTGTATTCAAGTTCTTCGTATGGGGTTATCTGTTGGGAGGGTTGACGCTCATACCTGGTGTACTTGTATTTGCCTGGTTCTGGTGCACCACGCCCGTTGAGCTGGAGAATCTGGAAGCGACTACTGTCACCAGTGATGGACAGACACCGGGGCAACGCAGGACGTCGAACGGGTCGGCAGGTGGCAAAAGAGTAGACGACATACAACTGGGCATAGGACTAGACGATGGTATACTGGAGAAGCTCAAGGGCCGAAAACACGAGCCAGATGCGTGCGCTGGCTACTTTGCCGTCTGCCGCGAATATGTACCCGGTGGTGTCAACGGCAAGCCACCGGATCGGACGACTCCTGCCGGCGCTGTCGTGGCTGTGGAAAGTCCCAGTGTATACCAGTCAATGTACAGGAGCATCTTCGACCGGAACAAGACTACGAGCCCGTCGATAGAAGCGTCCAACACAAAGAACAAGAAGGCGCGGAATGTATTCTATGTGGTCCTGCGGTATGTGGTTTACTATATTGTGCCATGTCACGCAAAGCTAACGTTGAGCCAGTCTGGGACACCTAATGCTCTACGACAACGAGGATCAGCTCGAAGTCCGCCACGTCATATCACTCGCCCATTACAAGGTCGACCTATACGGAGGTGGGGACAGCATACCTGAGGGCGAGTTATGGATCAAGAGAAACTGTACGCTTTAAATGCTTGCATTTGCTAATATCTCTTAAACTGACTTGTCCAGGCATTCGACTGGTGCAGGAAATGGACGACGATCCCGCCGCAGACCCGAAGAGCTTCTATCTCTTTTCCGACAACTGCTCCGAGAAGGAAGATTTCTATCACGCAATGCTACACGCCCAAGAGGGCCAGAAGGACCCTTCTGATGCAGGCTCGCCATCCATCCCACTCAAGTTCGATACAACAGACTTGGTTAAGCTGGTGCAACAACTGCATGCCTCAGAAGAGAACTTGCACACGCGATGGATCAACGCGCTCATTGGGAGAGTATTCCTGGCTTTGTACAAGACGTCGCAAATCAAGGACTTCATCGCAGCCAAGATCAACAAGAAGATCGCTCGTGTGCCCAAACCCGCCATTATCAGCAGTGTGCAACTGCGCAAAGTCGACATGGGTACCTTGCCGCCATTTATCACAAACCCTAAGCTCAAGGAGTTGACGGTCGATGGTGATCTCGTTGTTGAGGGAGATATTAGCTACAAAGGCAACTTTCGCATTGAGATATCAGCTACTGTGCGTATCGATCTCGGAACACGGTTCAAGGCTCGCGAGGTGGTACTCGTTTTGGCTACCGTATTGAAGAGGCTCGATGGACACTTCCTCATTCGAGTAAAGCCGCCGCCCAGCAACAGGCTCTGGATGACGTTTGAAACGCCTCCCAAGATGGAGTTCTCGCTCGAGCCGATTGTGAGTTCCCGACAGATTACATATGGCGTTGTTCTCAGAGCCATTGAGAATCGCATTCGAGAAGTGGTAAATGAGACACTGGTTCTTCCAAATTGGGACGACATGCCATTCACCGATACCATTGCGCAAGTCATCCGCGGAGGAATATGGGAAGACAACGCCAAGGATGATGAAGACGCCGACAAGATCAAACAGGATGACGCTACACTGGAGACAGCGATCTCTGATGCGGAGAAACTTGATGAGAAGTCCGACGCGGCCAGTGCACACTTTAGCATTGCTTCTACCTGTGTTGACTCGGAAGAAATGGGAACTGGCGTGACCTCGTCTGCAGATGTCAAGCCTTCGTCTGCATCGACGAGACCACGGACAATGCGCTCGTCCTCGTCAACAGCTCAAGTGAAGCTTGACTCTGCTAATGCTTCGGCTGAGATGGTACAAGACCGCAGCCAAACGCCAACAAGCGTTAGATCTCTCCCTGGGGCCTCGCCCATGAGACCAAAGAATTCACGGCAAGCAACCGAGGCTTCAGACAGCTCATCAGATGACGTTTCGGCGGCTAGCATCTATGCAGGGAGTACGGCATCAGCGCCAGCCCCCAACACAGAGAAACTTCATAACCGAAGCAAATCAAGGGACCTGTCTGCACAAGAGATAGCTGCCGCAGCTGCTGCGGCGGCCGGAGCAACCAGTATGCAGACCAAGAAGCAAACCATCAACCAATCCCTCAACTCGGCCACAGCAGCGGCGCGGAACTGGCTCGCCGCAAAGCAAAACAACCGAACCAATTCCAACAATAGCAACACCAATACCAACCGTCCACCGACATCCGAGGGTCCAAACGGTACAGAAAGCATGGAATTGTTCCAACAAGACTCTTCTCTCCGTCCTCCACTCCCAACAACGCCTTCCACAATCACAAAATCACACACCGAACCCATGGGCAGAGGCCAGCCATTGCCTCCTCCCGGCACACCCTTACCACTGCCCTCGAATGCCAAACGACAAACGTGGGCCGCTATTCCCGCTGCAGCAACCACATTTGCAAACACCCTCACCAAGCGCAAGCCCGCTGGTCTCTCAACGCAAAAATCAATTGAGGATCTCAACTCGCCTACTAGATCGGCTCTGGGAACAGCGTCGTTGCTTCCTCCCGCCGCACATTTCCCGGATCAGGATGCACGCGCGGGGTTGCATGATGATGAGGGAGAAGAGATGTGGAGAGAGATGAGGCGGACTCAGAGTACAGCTGCGGCGGCAGCAGCATCTGCAGTGGCAGCTAGTGAGTTGTCGACAGTGCCGCCTCCTTTGCCCAAACGGAGACAGAGACAGCCGAGTGTGAATCAAAGGAGTGGCCACAATAGGCAGACGAGCCAGAGTTTGCTGCAGAGGGATGGGGGGCTAGGTGAGGGCTTGCTGGTTGTCGAGGCGCCAGTAGCAGAGGGGAGTGCGCCGTCTAGTCCGGTCAGGGGCGATGGGCGGACTGGTCAGAGAGCGCCTTTGGGTGAGGATAAGGCGAATGAGAGGGGTGTGACTTAGTACAAATGCAGTTGCACGAATATACATGGAATAAATGGTTGTAATTACGGGTGATTCATCCACCTATTCAGCTAATTAGAGCTCTTTTGCTTCACTGTGAGGTACATCGATGAACTGAAAAGCCTCATTTTGTGTGTGAATAGGGTAGTCTGATTCATGATCGCCAAAGCTGCTTCCCGCGTTCATCATGCTTTGTTTTTACCATTGTAGCCTGTGCTGGTGGCTTGGCAGCATAAGTGAGGAAGCTACGATGCCGTGGAATCTGCTGGAATTGGTCATGTCGCTCCTTCCTCTGTCCGGCAAGTCATAGCTTCCAACATTGTCATGATTCGACAGGAGGTATCCATTTTATGTTCACAGCTCTTGCCAGATTGCTGTCTTGAAGTCGCAATCAACATGGATGACGCACGAATACAAACCACCAATCGATTACCAGATGTTTCTATGCATCCAAGATCTTGATGAACTCACTTACTGTTAAGATAATGTATGTACCACTGTCATATGCATTTGGCAGTGCCCATGTCCAGTGCTAGAGGGTAGACGTTACATCCTCACTTGAACCCTGACGTATGTGGATGTCGCGTTCCGTCATTAGCATTTCTTTTTCATTCACTCATATTCGCATAATTTCAACCACATCCTATGCTTTATCAACCCAACTTGGCGTTGGAAAAGTCCATCTCAGGGTGCTCCTTCTTGAACTTTTCTAGAATTTCTGCCTTCTTCTGCTCGTCGCTGGTGGGCTTACCCTGTTCCTTCATCCTTTGATCGAACATCATTTTCTCTACCATGCCGCGTGTCTCTCCGTCAAGGTCGCCTAGCTTGCTGTTCTCGGGCTGTATCTTGGAGGTGTCGATCTTGGGCGCCGTGGTGACTACATGGGCCCACCACTCCATCTGGTTGACCTTGTCGAGGTGGATGGCGATTTCCTTCTGGGAGCCGGTGGAAGTCAGTGTCCAGGTGGACTCGTCGACACGGATAGCGTGGGGCAGCTCGCCCTGCAGAAGGTGTTAGCCTAGACTGTTACTACCCCAGTGATGCTAGTGGGCTGTGGCGTACATGGATAAAAGGCTCCTGGCCCTTGATGCCGGCCTTGAGGGCATTGCGACTAATCTTGATGTCCAAGTCTTTGCCCTTGTACTTTGCATCGATGGTAATGGTGATGTCGAGGTCCTTGATTGTCTGGTCCCACTTGTAGGGCAGAGCGGCCTGCTCGGCCTGTTCTTTTGCGCGGGCGTCGGCGTCGGCCTTTGCGCGCTCCTCGGGGGGTGGTGAGGTGGACATGGTGGAGAATTTGGCCTTGTTTGTGAAAAGTTTCAGTGTTTGTGGAGGGGAAATGCGAACGGCTCTGGGACCCTGGGCGTTGGTGCATGGGCACGGCGTCATCGCCCGCTGGACATGAGCATGCTCCACCGTGCGGCCCTGCTTCACTCCTCTATCCCGGTCCGCTCTAATAACGGACATGCACGTCGGGTGTCGCGATCTACACACAGCCCGACCTGTTTGTATTGATACCACACTCTCTCCTATCCTTTGACCGCGCCGCCATGCTGTCCTAAACCCAGTAGAGCCATTGTGACACGGTAAACAGGCCAACATCAAGAACATCGTCAGCGGGCCCATCGGGCAGCGACCTGTCGGCGCGACAGTATCCCCTGTGACCCATGGCCAGCTCCTTTGAGAAGAGTGTGAAGGGCGGCACCAAGATCAAGGTAGCTATGCGCCGCTCCTCCTCGTCCCCGTCCCCGTTCGGCTGTTCCCAGCAGCAGACAGGCTGACCCGGCCCCGTAGCTCGCAGCGCCCAAGTCAAAGTATGTCGAACATATCCTTGTCGCGACACATGCCGGAGAGGCAGGCGTCGCCGAGATCTTTCGCGCCCTCACCAACCGATTGCGCGATTCGACATGGACTATTGTGTACAAGAGCCTGATCATCGTACACCTCATGATAAGGGAGGGCGAGCCCGACGTTACACTCAAGTTCCTGGCGCAGAACCCGCACAGGAAGTTGGCAATCAACCACTTTACAGAGGGTACGTCTGCGAATATTGCCCTGGGCCGGGTCGGATCACAGTGCTGGCTATGGTACGGATAATCGCTGACCAGGCCTCTTCTGTGCGGAGCGGCCATATGGGGGGGTTCTTTTCTGGCATGGCATGACATGACACATGGCAGTTGCTGACACTGGGCGCGATAGTACAAACACAAGGACACAATATCCGCACCTACTCCGAATACCTCCTCCGACGAGCCATCGAATATGGCGCAACAAAGGTCGACTATGTCCGCGGCGGCGAGGGCCGGCTTAAGCGGCTAAGTGTAGAAAAGGGCCTCCTTCGGGAAGCGGAAAGTGTGCAGGACCAGATTAGGGCGTTGCTCAAGTGCCAGGTACGTGGAGCAAGCAATGTCCAACTACCAAAATTGGCCCATCTGACTGTATACAGCCATTCGACGATGAGCCGGAGAACGAAATTACAATGACGGCTTTCCGCTTGCTGACAATGGATCTCCTGGTGCTCTTCCATGTTATGAACGAAGGCACCATCAACATTCTCGGTGAGTCGATTTGCGATTCCTGGGGTACCATGTACTAATTAAACAGAGCACTACTTCGAGCTATCACGGCCTGATGCGACGCGTGCCCTTGCAGTATATCGCACCTTCGTCAAACAGACTGAAGCCGTCGTCCAATACCTCAGTCTTGCGAGATCACACGAGCATTCTACGAGATTGGAAATCCCCAAGATCAAGCACGCACCAACTAGTCTGGCCGCGTCCTTGGAGGAATATCTGAACGACAAAGACTTCGAGATCAACCGACGGCAATACATGGCCGAGAAGGAGGCAAAGAAGAATGGGGGCAAGACCACCAACGGGGCTAGCAAACCTCTAGATCCGAAGCCCGCAGCCTCCCACAATGCTAGCAGTCAGCCGCCTGCAGCTCCGGCCAAACCCTCAGCGAGTGCGCCGCTGATTGATCTGTTTGAGTCTCTCGAGGACAATCAACAAACCATGGCCACACAGCCGATGATGCAACAACAGTATCCACAGCAGACAGGCTTTCAACAGGGCTTCCAGATGCCGCAACAGACAGCCAACATGGGCTTCCCTCAGCAATCACAGCCCTTCCCAATGCAAAACGGGCAGAACACCAATCCGTTCCAGATGCAGCAACAAGCACAGGCACCACAACTACAAGCACAGTTCACTGGTGCCGGCTTCGGTGGTTACACACCGCAGCCATTCAACTCGCAAGGCACTATGCCGTCAATACCACAAAATGGTATGCCTGACTTTTCACAACAGCAGCAGCACATGCAGATCCCCACAATCGCCGAGCCTCTGCAGCCGCAGCAGACGTCCACGAACCCGTTCCGACAGTCTATGCTGCCCAATGCGACTGGCATGGGCGACACCAAGATGCTCACCAGCCCTACCGGTACAAGCTCGATCAATCGCACTTCCACGAACCCGTTCGCAAAACAGAACACTGGTTTTTCTCAGCAGTCGCAGTCTCCTGTCAACTCACCGTCATTTTCAATCTCACCCATCCAGGAATCCCCCTTCGCACCAATGCAACAACAGCCATTGCAACCCACACCTACAGGCACAAACCCATTTGCACGTCAACCTTCACCACAGAGTGCAACATCGCCGCAGGGTGGTCTTACTGTGCACGCGACGGGTAGTACCAACCCTTTCCGACAAAGCGCCTTTGTCAATCAGCAAACTGGCCAGGGTTGGCAGAATACAAGCAACCAAGGGACAATGGGAGGCATGAGCCTAGATCAAGTACCTACAACGAGCGTCTTTCCACGGCCTGGACAGCAGCAACAGAACTTCCTAGGATAGAATCGAAGGATCTGGTAAAATGATGACTTTGCTTTGTGACTGCAGCAAGCATGATGGGCCGCTCGCTGGAATTGAACATCGTAATTTTGTTTGGCGCGGCGTTTCTTCCTTGTTCGTCACTGTAGCTTCTAGGTGCTTGGTTTGGGGACATAATTACACCGCCCTGCAAAATTCTGGGCGCGTGTTTGTGCCTCTCTTTGGAGAAGGGTCAGAGGACTACTTCAGATTTGATGGTTGGCGGACAGAATGAGCTATTGTGTAATTTCCAGATGATGCCGACGATATTGTTCACGTGGGAGTTGGGTGGCTAACAACACTTGAGGGAAGTAGTACCTCGCTAGTAGAATACATAATCAACATTACTATTATAACCTACCCCTACCACTACCACCGCTTCTCGTGCGCAGCTTCTAATATCACATCTGGCTTTACTTGCCTGGTTACTGCAATCATAACAGAGACAGGGGGTAGGTAGTGCAGACCACGTGCCAACGCGATTCCCCGCGATTTAGCGTGACTGGGTCACCTGGCAGACCTCACAATCGCTCAAGCTTACTTTCACCAGCGCTTCACACACACACACACCGAAGGATTATTTGCAAGATCATGCAACTCACCACTTCTACCTCGTCTCACCATCCACTTCCCCGCTAGACGTAGAGGAATTCGGTCATCGCTGTCCAGATTACTGCACCCTCACGCGCTACAATGGCACGCGGGGACTCAATTCTCACGCCAATAAGCCTAGATGACGACGATGAGCCTCAACCCGAAACTTTCCGTCTACCCACTGTTAGGCGGCAGGAGCGCCCAAGAATTGATCAGGATGGTATTGAAGTTCAAGAGCGTCAGACAGAATGGGAACAGGCTGCTGCGCAGAAAGAAAGAAGACGACAAATGGTCCTGCTCGCGCTGAACCGGGCGTCGACGCATGCCTCCAGTAGTCGAAACACTGGAACTCCTAGAGGAAGAGGACGGGAGAGGTCGCCGTCTCCGAAAGCTACCTATGTCATTGAGCTGACAGATGAGGACGAACCGGAGGTGCCACAACAGCCTGCAGTCGTTGAAGATGTCCAGTCCGAACTGCCTGAGGTAAAGATTCTGCCAGGAGACCCCGGAATTCCCTCCAACCTGGATCCTCCGGAGAGCTCGACACAGGCTGTATCTGCCAACATCGGGTTACCTCTACCTGGTATTCAGACCACTGCGCCGCTTCCCGCTCCACGACAGCCAACCCCGAGCGCATCGGAAACACCCGCACAGAAACCAGAGGCTGCCAAAATCGCTCAAGCATCACCAGTGAGAACAGAAGTGGTTGCCGCGACGCATATGATGCCGCGCGACGAAACATCCTCTGCTGCATCTGTCCGCGACTCGGAATCGACCCTACCAGTTGTGCCGCCCCCCATCCTACATATGCCTAGTGAGCCTATCCAGACGATAGAAACCGCACAAAAGATTGCGCCTGGTCAACCCGATGAAAACGCACCTCCTGCTGCGGTTACTGAGCCCGGTAAGCCAACTTTGAACAATGTTGCATTTGACTCCCTGTCACCAATCGGCGGTTCTCCCGACAACAACCGCGAACGGGCCACACCCAGTCGCGTAAACACAAGTCCTGAGCGCGGTGGCGCCCTCGTAGTGAACAACATCGACGCGGAAGCTTCTGAGCCTACGAATGCTTGTGATTCGCAGGCTGCGGGATCTGAATTAACCCCAACCAAAAGGAAGGTAATCAAGTCGGTGAAGCGGACGTCGTCGGCGCAGCGAAGTAATATGGGAGTGACAAGCTCACGTCTTCCAGACAGTTCGCCAAATGAAAATTTAACCAATGACCCCTTTTTGGCGCATGTGCACGATGACCATGCTCAGGCGCCTCTGCGACAACGGAGCCCCAGCCAAAGTAGAGACCCGTTGGTGTGCTGCAGCAGCAACAACATTACCAATGTCGAATTTAGTCTGATAGAAAGAGAGGAAAGCCGCGGTTCCGCGCCGGAACAGCCGCCAGAGATTCTCCAAGAAGAGCTTAGATCAGATGGTGTCAACCACACCAGCCATCCTCCGTCAGACACGTCTACTAAGCGTTCAAACGAGCCACCTGTCGATGTGCCCCCCGACAATTTGCTGCCTGACAACACAAAATCTGCTGATGATGGTGTGACCGATGATCAAACCGACGGCCAGACCAAGTTAGCAGTCGCAAACTTTGCAGAAGACGAATTAGAAGCTACGCGTTCAGCGATAGACGCATGTCTAAAGCGTCACATCGGGGGACGACACGAAACGCATGCGTATTTGACGTGGTCTCGGATGATGCGCCAAAGGACCTATCAAGAGCAAGAATTACGTGCACGAAGCCGTAAGCAGAAGCGTCTGGTTCACTCGAGTTTGCCCGAAAGATATGAACAACAACTTTCACCCTTCGCAGACATGCGCACGATACAGCTCCCATTCAAAGGCATCAACACCAAACGTCTTCCCGATATGAGCCAAGAGATCTACGTCAAGGCCAAACCCAAGGATATCGTAATCAAGAGCGTCCTGGCCGCACCGACGACGAAATACAGGTCTGACGCGGTCACGATTCCCCCTTTCAAGGAGTATGTCAGCTTGGAGAACAACATCTTAGCCGACAATGAGTCAAAATTGCTTGCAACACCTTATTTCCAAGATGAAGACTATACCTGTCGAGAGACATTGTTGAGCACGCTGCCTTATATATACGAACTGACGCATGATGAGAATGGGCCTCTTGACCTCAGAAAAGAGCAATGCCGGTTCTATAAAGACACTATTGAGGCATTTTTGAACGAGATGGGTGTATCTTGGAATGAAATTTTGTATTGGTTATTGGCGCCGGAACAAGCCATTGTACGAATCAACAACACCTTGCCAGCAAGCGCATCTTTCAGGGCTAGCTTGTCCGAGAGGTCAGGTTATCATATCGAGGAATTCGAGCGCGATGGGCAGCCGAAGAAGGCGATACTGTTCAATCGAAGCGACAGGAAATGGCGAAAGTTTTTGTTGCAGCTCGGAGAGCCAACGGCCAAAGCTCTAAGGATCGCGGCAATTGCCTGCGCAACCGTCCGCCAAGAATGCGATTTCAGCATCTGGTACCTGGCTCAGCGATCTGAAGTCATGCAGCAGTATATCAACAAAAAGACGGCGAAGGAACAGACTGCCGAGACATTTACATATAGGCACGCTATGTGTAGAGTTTGTTACCAGTAAGTGTAGGAGAAGGTTTTGTGACAAGATACTAACGTTACTAGGCATAATTGTCTCCTTCATGGAGAGTTGAGGGAAGTGCCTGAGGACTCGTGGAAGACAGATTCCGATGAGGAGCGCCTCACACCTGTTACCGATGAAGCCAGTCGTCGGAGTTCGGTTGACAAGTCATCACGTCGCCGATCACAGCTACACGAAGACGACGTGGTTGAGGATGAGCAAGAAGATGACGGGGCTCCTTTACCAGCACACTTCCACGATGACTCAGATATCGAGAAGGTGATTAACTACAAGCTACCCGTAAATCCGGACGCGTTCACCGTCTGCCCCGAATCGGAGATGATTGCTTGTAAAGGCGCGAAGCCACCTTTGGGAAAGTTCAATAGCAACTGGTGGTTACAGCAGGAGATCACCTCGCACTGGGAGAAAAGAAAGCCCTTCTTTCCATGCAATCACGATGGCAGTTGTGAGAGTGCAAAATGCCGGTGCTATAGAGAAGGCATCAACTGCGAGAAGACATGCAAGTGCTCTCAGTTATGCAACAAGCGCTTTCCAGGTTGCACTTGCTCAAGAGGTCCTGTGAAACGTGCCTGTGTGTCTAGTGCCTGCCTCTGCATCAAATTCAACCGAGAGTGCGACGCCGATTTGTGCGGATCGTGTGGAGCAACTGAAGTCCTTGACCCCGTCAATCGCTATGACGAGGATCTAGCGAAGAAGAGCTGTGGTAACGTTGCCATTCAACGAGGCGTCCCTCGAAAGACGTTGCTGGGCCACTCGGAAGTCCATGGCTTTGGACTGTACATGGGTGAGGACATCAAGAGCGGCGAGTACATTGGTGAGTACACCGGTGAGGCTATTTCAGTCAATGAAGGTGATCGTCGAGTGACGATATATGACTACCAAAAGACCATGTACTTATTCAGGTTGAACTCAAGTAAGTTTTCTCTATGAAATTTGCGGACAAAATCACTAATACCACCATGCAGAACAAGAAGTCGATGCCACATACATGGGAAACAAATTACGCTTCATCAACAACGCTGATGACAAATACACCAACTGTTTTCCCAAAAACATGCTGTGCAACACGGTCTTTCGAATTGCGCTCTTCGCAATAACAGACATAAAAGCAGGCACAGAACTGTATTTCAACTACAACTATCCCAAAGAAAAGACAGCACAGTTCAAACAGCCAGGTGGAAAGGCATACAATGTCAAGCAGACGAAGTCGAAGACCAAAAAGAGAGAGTCGCTTGCCAGCTTAAGTCAGTCTATCGAAGACCGTTCGCGTACCCTAGCAGCTACGGCGAAAGCAAGGGCAGCAAAAGCAGCAAAGCAAGCAGCCAAGAGGCGGGGAGAAGAATCTACAGAGCCTACCAGCAGACTTCGTTCCGGGCCGCTCCAAGCAAGAAAAGCAGCCACTGGCAAGCCTGGTCGGAAGAAGGTGACCAAGCCCAGAGGCAAGGGTAAAAATAACATTGACTCGGATGCCGACATGGGATCAGAAGCAGATGGAGAAGACAACGCCCTCTTTGATTTACAAAACAGTCAAGCGACTAGGGAAATACACGATACGGACGTGGAAGACGAGGAATTCGTTCTGCAGACTTCGCAAGAAGACGTCAACTTGACTACTTCTGATGCTGAAGACGCTGAAGACACGGCCACCGAGGACGTTGAGGATACTCTACCAGGTCGCAGGTCTGGTCGAACGCGTAACAGAGTGTCCAACATAACCCCCGTGGTGGCAGTGAAGAAAAAGAAGGGCAAAGCTCGACCAGCTGCTGGCAAGAAAAAGAGGAAGCGACCCATTGTTGCTAACAGCGACGACGAGGAATAACTCTATGCTAGTGACCAAGGTAAGTAGACGGCCATTGAGGACGTAGAGGAGAGTTACCAAAACATGATTTTCTTTTGGCTATGCAGGATTGCATACATGTCATTGATATTGATACCCCATCTTTGTATTGCTTGTAGCGAAGACGGATATAGGGCATGGACGTATATCTATTAGCTCGTACGAATCTTCTGAGGCCCATGAATTGAAGTTATACAAATTGAGCTCTTCTCCTTGTATGTATATCTGTACCGCGTATGTGCAGTACTTTCTGTCGTTTCCTGCAGCCGGTGTGTATCTCAGTGGTACAGCAATTGAGCTCCACAGATGCGGCGGCGGTTCGCATACGTATACGTCTTGGCGTGCCTGCCAGCATCTTCTTTTCGGCCTAGGTATTTATAGCCCATATGCGTACACTCTCAAGGCGCCGTCATGACAAAGGCGGTCATGGCCTTTACCGCATTGCCATCGTGCGCGCGAAGCAGTTCAGTCGCTTTCGGTTTGGAAACCTCGAGTTCATTCATCTTTATTGATTCATTAGCTCACTGCCCCATTGATGCTCCGCTCCCGACTTGACGTACCAAAAGTGTTACGTCAGAAGCGTCGATCTTGACGCTCTTCTTGTCGCCTTGCTTGTTCTCCTTGACACTCAGACCTTTCATCGCTTTATCCAGAGCTTTGCCGTCTACCTCCTTTTTCTCCCCATTGTCAGCACCTTCTTGCGCATCGAGCGTGGAGAGGGCGGCGGCGGCTTTGCGGTCTTCGGCTGTGCCGGTGGGGGCATGCGGGTCGGCGGCGCCTTCTTTGACAGTCGAGGGTTGGGGCTCTGCCATTTTGAAGTCGGAATGCGTGCAGCAGGTTCAGATTTTTCTGGGACAATGGGAGATGTATTGGGAACAAGAAGTGTGTTGCGACAATTGAGAGCTGAGGACTGTGGGGTTGGTAGAGCTCGACTAGGAAGCTGTAGAAAAGGTGACCAATTGGAAAAAAGAGCGACCGCTATTGGCTGCGTTTTCTACAATTAGATGCACTATTTCACTTGCGGCATTTAGCATTCCTATACGTAAATACGCACAGCTCATAACTTCTCGCTCCGAAGCTGCAACACTTGCAGCTTTCTGGCCTTCACACTGCTACTCACTACCTCCCGAGGTGAGTTTGCCCCATTACGTCATTGTCCATCTTGTAGGCGCAAGTCCGCTTTTACTGCAGTTTTTTGTGTGGTTGAGTCATCATGTGCTTACGTCCTTTATTCACGTCGGTTTGCAGCAGGAGTGCTTACCGTGATTCCATATTAACGTTTCGAGTTGACTCATAGTCCCAGCTAAACCTTCTTGCAGCGTTCGGATTCCTGACCCGTATCTCATACACCATGGACAACGAAGGGCATGCGAAATTGACCGACTACGTGAGCAAGTTCATGGCAGCGTCAGGTGGTCAGCAAGGTGGACAGCCAGAACATCAGGCATCATCGTCAACACCGAATGCGGACTCAACACAGATACCTGAAAGACCCAAGCAAGTGACCACAGCCGATAGCCAAAGTCAAGGATGGTCACCAGAATGTAAGAATGCAAGGTAGACACTACAATTCTTGCGCTGACCTTGTCACAGCATGGAGATCAAAGCCCATCAAGCAAGTCGTCACATATGAAGACCAAGCAGCCGTGTCTGCCGCCCTCGCAAAACTCTCTGGTTTGCCGCCTATCGTTACGCCGACTGAGATTTCAAGACTCAAGGCCAGCCTTCGCGAAGCTGCTCTTGGCAAATCATTCCTCCTCCAGGGCGGTGACTGTGCCGAGTTGTTCTCTTACTGCGCTGATAATCCCATCGACGCGAAGATTAAGCTTCTTCTGCAGATGAGTTTGGTTCTCATTTGGGGCTCCAACAAGCCTGTCATCCGCATTGGCCGTATAGCGGGACAGTATGCAAAGCCCAGATCCAGCCCCACGGAGATGTTGAACGGCAAAGAGGTTCCTAGCTTCCGAGGTGATATCCTAAACGGATATGACCCTGATTCCAGGAGAGTAGATCCCGAGAGACTAGTCAGCGCCTATTTCCACTCTGCTACCACGTTGAACTATATCCGTGGACAGCTTGCGAGCGGTATTGCTGATCTGCATAACCCGTTGGACTGGGAGCTGGGCCATGTCCGGGACGAAGAGCTGCAGGCGAAATACTCCAAAATCGTTCACAGCATCTCAGACTCATTGCGCTTCATGAAGACCATCGGTGCAGATACTTCAGGGCAGCTACAAACCGTAGATTTGTTCACTAGCCATGAAGGCCTTGTCTTGGAGTACGAGCAGAGCTTGACTAGGAGACTCAAGCATCCAGCTGGCTACACGCCTTCGCAACCTTCAACCGATGGCAAGGGCTGGTACAACACTTCGGCTCATTTCATCTGGATCGGCGATCGAACACGTCAGATCGACGGCGGTCATGTGGAGTACTTCCGTGGTATTGAGAACCCAATTGGTATCAAGGTTGGGCCTTCCATGAAGAACGATGAGCTAATTGAGCTCCTCGACATTGTCAATCCTAACAAGGAGATTGGCAAGATCACGCTCATCACACGATATGGTGCAGACAAGGTCGAATCTATGCTGGGCGCACACATTGAGGCTGTAAAGAGCAGTGGCCATGTCGTCGTCTGGCAGTGCGACCCGATGCACGGGTAAGGACAGTCGAATGTGTTACACCTGAGCGCAATCACTAACATTTCGATAGGAACACTCGCAGCACCCCAACAGGTATCAAGACGCGCTCCTTCAACAGCATCTTCTCTGAGCTCTCGTCTGCGCTCAAGATCCACAAGCAGCATGGTTCTTTCCTCGGTGGCATGCATCTTGAATTGACTGGTGATGCAGTCACAGAGTGTACTGGTGGAAGTGAAGGTCTGGTAGATGAGGATCTGAGCCTAAACTACACTACGTACTGCGACCCGCGTTTGAACGAAAAACAGGCGTTGGAATTGGCCTTCCTTGTCGCGGGACATTATCGCGCGGACGAAAAGTTGCAGTAGAGTAGTACATGAAGCCACTTTTTCCTCGTACGGCCAATTCGTACCACGACAAGGCTAAACTAAAAAATGAAATGAATGATTGCTCCCCAATCGATGCCATCACAAACATGACCCAAATGCAGTGCACACCCCCAGAATCAACCGCCTATCAGGCGATGATGCAATACCTTCTCATCTAATACATCATTGGCCCCTGGCCCAAGCTTTCCCGCAAAAGTCCCCCAACCGTTCCATGCAGGTCACGTCTCCGCTCTTATCAACAAAACGTTATCAAGCTCAACATTCTGCACGCTTACTGCGACCCCACTTCCTCTCTCCCAACAAGAACAAATACATAATACCCCTCATAGGATGGGTTCGTCAGCTTCCAAAGGTGCAAAAGCTGCGGGCAGCGCGGCGAGAAAATATCCTACAAGGGCGCCGACCAGTACTACAACAACACCGACGACGACGACGACGCAAAAGGTGCCTGGGTTAAAGACGCAAAACAATGGACCCATTGTACATCCTGAGTTGCAGGCTACGAGTGAGAAAACAAATGGTGAGTCGACATTGCCTGTCTGATGCTCATTGCATCACATTATTTCTTCCAAATCCAGACTGCCATGACACTATACTAACATGCAACCTCCCCACCAGCCGTTTTGAACGATGCTCGCGACCCAGCCTTTGCCTCGCGCCTCTCCTCCCTTGGCGCAGTCCAGCCAAACCCCCACTACTCGCCCTCCTCGCTCTCGCAATTCGACCCCAGGCGCAACACCTCACCCCACCTACCCTCCGATACCATGATGAACTCTCCGCCGCAATCTGCATTCCCTGATGCTCGGAACAATCCTGTGTTGCGCGTGCTCGAGGCAAGGCAGCGCATTGCGGAGGCGGCGGAAGAAGAGTTGAGGGATGTGGGGAGGAGGGGGTTCAAGGGGAGGACATATCTGGATGCAGGGTTGATCACGTTGGCACTGATGAGAATGGAGAGGGGAGAGCCGGCGGAGAGAATTGAGGAGAGTTTGGGAATAATGAAGGGGAGGTTAGGTGTTCTGGGTAAGGGCGTTGTGGGGTCTGTTGAGTTAGGGTGAAGGTGGAGAAACTGATGCGATACACGCAACACTGAAGCTGGGAGGATAGGGACCAGGATGCAAGATAAAATGGGCACGTACAACAATAGGGTCTGGAGAGGAGGCGGCATTGTCAAAGCCTAGCCATGACGGCATTTTTTTCTTCGACCTGCGAAAGAGCGAAAGAACGTACAAGCTATGTACATACGAAACGAAGAACCAAAGGAAACTCGTGTCAAGACAACAACGAAAAACCCAAACCCAATCTTTCCAACCGATGCGATGCGCTACCCAAACCCAAGTCGTTATCCAGACGCCAAATCAACACCGGTACCGATGCAAACAAAAGAAAAAAAAACCGAGCAACGACACGATCATGACTCGTCATGGTCGGCGTTCTCATGGATGAAGTTGTTGAGCGCGATCAGTGCCTCCTTGAGACATTCCTGATCGACTTCGAGGCCGTCCCTCGACATCTCGTCGTAACCTATCCTGACTACTCCGCCGACAGCGCCACCTACGCCACCCATGCGAGACCGTTTTTGGTTCCATTTTCGGGCGACTTCCCAGCGTTTACGAGTTTGTGTGAATGGCGGACATGAGTCGGCGATTTCGCGGCTTTCGCGCAGTACGGTGAGGGCGTTGAGCACGTTTAGGAATATTCTGCATAACAGTCAGTTATAGTCATCAATGAGACGACAATATCCAAAGGCAACATACCCCTGTGTCAGCTCAACGTCATGATCCCAGCCGTACGCGACAGCACTGAAGCTGTTCCCCTGTGCGACAATGTCCAGGAAGACGAATAGCGATTCTTCGACACTAATGTCGGTAGTGATGGTCGACGCAACGTTTGCGAGAATCCAGTCGGAGAGTTCGAAGAAAGTCTTTTGGTCCATGTGCGCGAAGCCGATGAAGCGCTCAGGAACTGTGAACATGAGCGACATGGCCCGCCTGGCGCCCGCAGCCTCTATACAGTCCATTTTTGGATGAGGATACTGGATATGGAGTTTTGAAAAAGAAAGAAAGAAATTCGTGGTATGGTGGTGGTGGTGCTGGTGGTGCTGGTGCTGACGGTTCACAAAGGATGTAGTGGTGGTGGTGGAAAGCGGAGTCGAGGGTCAGGTGAGATGGATGAATATGGGAGCCGGGAACAAGACGTCAAGTACTGTACAAAGCCGAAAAAGAACGTCTCAGCCGGCGTTCGATAGTGTCGGCCAAGGCTAGTAATTCGAGGGCTAAGGATGAAGAGAGTAAAATATGGATAGAAGGAAGAGTGTGGCACGGAAGGAAAGAAGCGTCGCAAGAATGAAGAGATTGGTTGGAGCAGCAAGAAGAGTGTGTTGGGTCGGGACTGGGACTATGGACGACGCAAGAGCTTAACCAAGAAGCTTGACGCACAGCTGAAGGGCAGGTGAAGCGCGCCATTGCTTGCCTGCGTGGGGCCGTTGTCCGTGTTTCGCACTCTCATGTGCGCATGCAGGATGCGCGCAGCGCGCAAGGCAATGCACGTCTCCTCTCTGGCTCGCTCAGACCGACAACGACTTTCTTTCATGTGAAAGTCGCACCACGGGCCGCGAGCCTGTTGTATGACATCAGCACGCAATCACTTCCGGTGGGACGACGCGCATTCGGCATGGTCAGCATGTCGCCGTCATGTCGGTGCCCCGCTCGCCTCATTCTCCCTGCCTTTGTCTTGATATCTGTCCGCGATATCTTCCACATGCTTTGCAACGTTGCGTAGTCCGTTCCTTTTCCTTTTTGGTTCGGGAACACGCGCTTTCTCCTGGCTTGCTTTATACCCACCCACCCACGTGCAGGCGCCCTAGTGGGTATTGGAGCCAAGAGTCGCGGAAAGATGGCTGTGGCTTGAGGGTGTAGGCCCGGTGCACATGCCGGGCGCTGCGAAGCTTGCTGAAGAGCTAACGACGTCTCGATTTAGCAGGTGGGTTCCATGGCCTTAGGGCGACTTGGCGCCTGTCTCGGCTATGTCAAAAGGTTGAGGTCGAGACGCGAAAGCTGCAGACGAGCCAAGGTGATGCATAGACTGTGGCGGGGAAGAAGCAATCATCGTCGCTGTGGCTACTGCAACGTATGAGGATTGCAGTTGCAGTGGCAGTGCATGTTTGGATGATGCACAAGGATAGAATGAATAGGAGACTTTGTGGACGGGGACTGCCGTCCGCGTGTTCAGTGTCTAGATGCTCACTCTCTGTCAGGCACGTGCTGTGGTCGGTATGACGGATACGAAGAGCACATCTCTTGAGTAAGACCGGCGGAGAATCCTACTATTATTTAGGAAGACTTGCCGCCGCCCGCGATACTACTTTCTAATTCTTCCGCCGCTCGCTACATCATCATTTTCCATTCCAAGTTCCTCCCGATTACCGGCACGTGCTCACCGGTTTCCGCTCCACCCTTCAAATTTTGACTTTGAGCACCCAGACTCTAGACGTTAGAATCGTTGATATCGACCCGATGATGGGCATCTGACATGGACATTATTATTGCATTAATTACTCCGGTTTCCCTCGACCTTTCTTTTTTGGTTCCGAAAACCACATGCATTAGATCCGCAGATCAATCAAGCCATGCGGCACCCCAATAATCGACGAACGACACAGTCTTTTTGACGAGCAACCCGTTTTTCATTGAAAGAAACAATTCTCGGTTGATTCCACGTTGCACAGAAGCTGGTACGAACGGTCACGCGCTGAAGGAAATCGTACCGGGAAAGCTGCAAGGCATGGAACCCCCGAACTACCGCTTACCGAACGAGTCCCAAAGGAACATTGCAGCCATGTGTCCTCGTGACCTGTAGCATGCACAATGTACTCCGTGCGTATACTTAGAGGCATTGGTAGCTAGACCGAGCCGCGAGAGTTCCAAGGTTCGACCGCATGCTCTGGACTATTACTTAGTAGAGTGGGTTAGATGGCCATCTATCATTGTCAGTTGCTGTACAGTAGGTGACCATAGCTCCAATGGGCTATTGTTGGCCCTGCATATCTAGGTTGTGGACCAGATCGGATCGAGATCTTGTTTAGATTTCTAGTGCTGCAGGAACGGGAATCTGGGATGAGCTTTGTTCGTCCATTTGCCTCACATTTTGCATGTGAATTTTGAATCACCAGGCGGTTATCTGAACCTGGGGGGGTTTCAAAGTTCCGTGATTTCTGCCGGGCTAGATGCTATTTACAGAATACATCCGCATTTATGTAACTCTCAAGTGTCCCTGAAGAGCACAGTATGCTTTATACGCTTTCTATTTTGTCCCCAATGGTACACTGCAGCTCCTGGATCCATTTCCCAGTGTTACGACCTACTGTATCGGCCCGGCATCCAAATCCATCGTACTCAGTGATGCTATCGGCACGGTAGCAATTGTACGCGAGAGAGCTTCAAACCTGCTTAATTCCTCAACATATATCCGCAGCACATACTACGGGAGTAGGTAGTGACGAGCCTACGTAAGTGTAAGCGAGGAGTTCATGGCAACAGCCCATCAGCCTCCCCGCACTATTTTTCCCATCTCAAAACAAGGTTCCATCAGGCTGCGTCATCTCCACAATCGCAATCCTAGCAAACATGCTCGCGCAGCCCTTCACTAGGGCTTCCATGCTTGCGGGTGAACCTGTTGGGCGAATGGCGTTGTGCAGCCACAGGTGTTTGTACAACCACATACGTCACCGAACCCTGTAAACATGGTAGTCGCTCCACGACTTGCCTACTCGTCTGTTGAAGGGCGATATACGAAGCCAGACTACACTAGTGACTGTTCCAACTAACCTCCCATCCTGTTTTGTTTCCTTGCTGGCCTTGCTAGCGTTATCGTCAAGACGGCGCCTCAAATCCCTTCTCGTCGCGCGCTCGCTGGACTCGCGCTTGTATCTGTGTTATCGGCTGTTGAGAAGCAGCGGATGAAGAAGAACAAGGTACAGCGAAATAAGCCAGACGAGTACGAAGGTTTTACGAATACTGTCGACGATATGTCGGGGGAATTGCAGACTATACCTGCCCGCCATGGCGTGGCGACTTTTGTACCGAGGGGAAGGACTATCAAGGTCATTAATACGTATGGGCAGCAGGTGGTTAGTATGTGGGCGTTTACTTTGGGGGCTCCACCTGAGGATGAGGAGGATGGTACAGGAGGGGAGCTGGATGAGGAACAAGTCAAGAAAGAGGCTGAGGAGTTGAAGAAGGCGGTTGAGGAGGGTGAAGGCAAAGATACTGAGACCCTGGTAGAGAGTGGAAAGGAGGAGAAGAAAGAGGATGAGAGTGGTGATGGGAAGGAGGCGCAATCGACCGAGAAGAGCATTGAGGACTCCAAGCAAGAAGTCGAAGACTCTCCTGAGCAAGCAGCCGATGTTACCCAGACAGCCAAAGACTCATCTGAGCAAACACCCGATAACACCACAAACGAGAAGAACGGAACCACGCCATCGTCCTCGAAGCCTAACAAACGCACATGGGCATCCTACCTGCCTTCAATCCCATACCGTAACAAGGGTGGCGCAAACAAACAAGAGGCAGAACAGAAGCCCACCTCAGAGCAGGAGAAGAAACAGAACGAGGAGAATACAAAGAAATGGTCTTCGTACCTACCCACTGGAAAGAGCTTCTCTAGCTATGTGCCAAATGTGGAAGTACCGGACTCCAAGTCTGTTGTCAGCGCTTTCAAGGCGAGCCATTACCGCGATCCGAATAAGAGCTATGCAGAGCAGTTGTATGACTTCTCAAAGACGCCCGTGGGCGCAGGAACTATGGCTGGTACGTTTTTGGATAGCAGTTACTACTAAATTCGTACTGACACTGTATAGCTGCAACAGGCTCAGGCTACGCTTCCTCAGTTTACGCTGCCTACTCCGCATACACATCCCTTCATCCCTCGAACTCGTCCCAACCTCCCATGGAGTACCTCTCCCTTCCACACACACGCGCAGCCTCACACAAGCTCTGCCCCGAAGTCGACGATGAGCTCCTGACCAACCTTCGCAATCCAATCTTGACCTTTATCGAAGACACATCACCTGGTGCACACGATACCCTGACGGCGGCATGCGACGCAAATCAATATGCTGCACTGGGTGTAGATAAGCCTGCCGAACACGGTAGTTGTGCCGAAAACCTCGTCCTCGCGCTCAAGGAGATCAACGAGACCGCCGGACTCAAGGGTGCCAAGGCAGTCGGTGCGGACATCTCCGTCAACATTGCGCCTACACCTCTACACCTCTTCATGAATGCGCCTCTACAGTCTGAAGGTACTCTACAGAGCGACGGAGCAGGCACAAAAGGTGTGACGCTTAGTATTGAGGAGCCAAAGGGCAAGAAGCGGTGTTTTGTCAGATTCCGTGCTGAACGAGATGTTGTGATCGTATTTAGTGCTTGTCCAATGGAAGTTGGGAAGCAGAACGGTGGACGCTGCATGGCCAGTAACTTTTTGGTTGAGGATATGCAAGAAGGTGAGGATCTGGCGAGTTCCATCTCATCCAGCAAAGCGAAGAAGGCACCGAAGAAGTTGGGCTTGAAGGGGAAAGAAGAGAAAGAACAGTCCGAAGAGAAGAAGAAGGCTGTGCCTGAGGAACCCAAAGCAGAGTCGACGGAGTCACAATCGGAGACACAAAAAGAGACCGAAGCTCTAGAAACTGAAAGCGCGGCGCCGTCGCAGAAGGAAGCGTCAGACAAAGGCGAGGAGAAGAAACAGGATTCGACTTCTGAAGAACCCAAGGCGAAGAAGAAGCCTAAGAAACTTCAGGTCCGCAGTCAGCCTGCTTCAACACAGTCTCAGTCTTCGTGATGCGCCTCAACACACTTCACTCTTAGCGCTTTTGCTTTGTATTACGTTTAATTCTCTCGATGGCAATATAATGTACATTATCACATTTTACATCACAGAGTAAATATTCTCACAATGAGCATGGGCACAATTTTTATGGCAGAACAAGTGAACCATGTTGTGAATTCCGTTAAGCAAACTAAAATCGGGTGCCATTACATTCTGGAAACCCCTTTACGAGTTAAGCTCACGCTCTCAGCAACCACCCTACTCAGCCTACCCATTGCTTTGTCTTTCATCTCCCCCAAATGATAGTTGCAGAAGGCTTCCCAATACCGATATCATTGGGTTGTGTGGGGGTGGGCACGGGGTCTTCATCATCATCAGGGTCACTGGGATATTCCGGGTCGGCTTCTGGATCGGGTGTTGGCGTCTCCGCGGGTGCATCGAGGCCCCATGATACACTGAAACCTGGGGGGCCGAGAGTGATGTCAGGCGGTGCGTATGATGTTAGCGTTGGCGTGGGAGTCGGAGTTGGAGTAGGTGTAGGTGTAGGTGTAGGTGTAGGTGTACTCTTCGGCGTAGACTTTGAAGTACTCTTCAACATCGATGATGACGACGTAGTCTTAGTGGTAGTAGTCATCTTCTTCGTCGACGTCGTCTTTGGCCGATGCGGCGTATGAGGTGGTGGCGGGGGGTTCCGCTGTTGCAAGTCCCAGCTCACGCTGTACCTGGGTGGTGAGAGACTCACATAAGGGGCTTTTGTAGTCGTGGGCTTTGGGCCTGGGAGGGGGAAGGGGAAGGGAAATGGAGGGAAAGGGAAGTGTGGAGGAGGAGGAGGCTTGGGGGTTGATGAGGGCTTCTTGGTGGATGAAGAGAGTTTGGTTGTGTTTGACGGGATTGCTTTGCTGGTGGTTGTCGAGTTGGACCATACTGGTGGTAAGGAGGTGATGGAGGGATAGACGGGAGTGGGCGTGGGTGTTGGCGATGGCGATGGCGATGGTGTTGTTGTGGCACCTGGACCTGAACCGTCCCACGAGATGCTGTAACTTGGCTTTCCAATACTGATCTGGTCACTGGGCTTAGGCGCAGGATAGTCTGGTTCATCGGGTACTGATGTTGGTTCAGGTCCACCGGTAGCCCATGAGATCCAGTAAGAAGGTTTTCCGATGCTGAACTGGTCTGTTGGCTTCGATGGAGCAGGATAAACAGGCTCAGGTTCAGGTGTGGCGGTGGGACCACTGGTCTCCCAAGACAACCATCCTGAAGGAGTACCGAGGCTGAAAGCATCAGTCGGCTTGCTGGGCGTGACAGGATCCTGTGATTCTGTTGTAGGTTCAGGATTGCCCGTGTCCCAAGACACGCTTTGCTTCGGTGGAAGAAGCTCAATTTGGCGGTTCTTTAAGCCTGCAGGCGCTGCTCGAATGCTGCAAGAGTTTAGTAGTCATATACAAATGCGGACAACGTGACTAACCTGATGGCTAGGCCAAGCAGCACCAGCACACTGTTACGTGCGGGGCCCATATTGATAAGCAGTGTCCGACAGAAAATTGATGGCTAGATTCTGATCGCGTCCCTGAACGTTGTTGAATTCATCGCGACAGCGCGAGAGAGTTATAGTACTTTTTCTGTTACCCCATTCTCTGTCGACCCGTGCGTATATGCAACCTTACTGCACACAAATGAAAGATACGAGCCCAGATACCACAGACCCTTTAGTAACATTGGTTGAACATGAGATAAACTCAAGATACCGCATTAGCCAGCTGTGATGGTGATAGCACCCGGCTCTAGGTCATGCATTCGATCTTGCAAGTGCAATATACACGGACAGCCGCCGGGTACACGTGTGCCATCAGCCTGGGAGAATACCAAATTTAGAGATATATCATGCTTTATATATACTGATTTGGCGAAACGTGGGGAAACTCGGCAGAATTAAAGTGCATCTTGTTTGGCTAATTGCTGGTTATTTGAAGTGGTCGTGACCGGGCAAGGGACAACCGAGAACGCAGGGTATGCCACGATATGGCCCTGGACCCTGATTTGAGCTGACCAACGATGGATTGCTCAACACATCGCCAAGGCTGCTTCGATAGCATGAAAACTCGGATAAGAGACGAATTCTCTTGGCAGCAACTCGTCTATTAGGAGCAGGCCAAGACGAGACCAAGCTGTATCCATTCGGAAAAGCGGAGATGTATTCCTCTACATGTATTCCGTCTACAAATGCTATAGGTTGGCCATCTTTGGTGAGTGGGAGGACCGGCCGTCCCGTGTATACTGCACTGATAGTGTCTCTGCCAGCCAACCCGTCGAAACGTCATGAGCTTAATCAACCACGCAATGGTTTTTAAGCTAGCAGGTGAGATAGTACCCACCAATTAGTATCTCAGTAACTAAGGAGAGTTGCGAGGCGATGGATCCTACTACTAGCCATTCGGGTGGTATCTGGTGTCTGAAGTTCATCCGTCTGATGGAGGGTGTAAAAGGTCGTCAAGTGGCCATTTACGGATTGCACGAATGCTGAGTGGGTCGATATATCCCGCTTCAAACATTTCAAGACCAGTCCATGCAATCATGGCGGCGTTATCTGTGCAAAACTTGGGTGGAGGAAAATAGAGTTCAACATGAGAGCACCCATGCGTGCAAAGATTACTCGCAAGTCTAAAAATAGGTCAGCCTCACAATAATCTCAAGCTAGTAGATACTTGAGCCTGAATGCAGTCAGGTTGTTATGAGAAGACCTTACATGTGACGAAAGAAGGAGTTCGCGGCGACACCGCCAGCCATGACAACTGCGGGATTAGCCTCCAGAAGTTCCTGTTGAGATTGCAGGCCCAGAACGACACGGGAAGCAACATGTTCGAAAGCGGCACGCATTGTTTCACGCGCCAGATCTCTCCGTTCTTCTAAGCTTACTTCGGTAGCTGCTCGCTCCTTCTTGTTCAGCTTTCGCGTTATCGGGTCCATACCGTACCGAACGATGCGTTCGATCATAGTAGTGATGCCAGAAAAGCTCATCTCCAGGCTGTTGATCTTGATCCCCCCACCCGATTTGGTTAAAGGTCGGTTAAGTGCCCAGCCCCATGCGGTTACATTTCTGATCATTGAATCCTCATTATTTAATGGGACTTCGTACCAGCTGTACTGATGTTGGAAAGTGTTCTTGTACTTATCAGCTGAACAAACGGGGAGATCCGAGGACAGAGTAGGTGTATCATGAGATGCAGGCTCTTCTCGTAACGAAACTGGGAATGCAAAATCTTCGAGAAGTGCTCCGTACATAGTGCTCTTCGTTGCCTGTAGTACTTCTGGAGGTAGTACAACACGTGCAATCTTGTCCAGACATTCTCCAATGGCGATATCATTTGTACTCCCCAGTACACGATGATCTGTCAAAGAGGCTGAGTGTATGAGCAAGGTATGACCGCCAGAAGCAAGAACAGACAAAAAGGGAAAGTCGGGAGAAACATGGGCCTGGGTGGGGTTCCGACCAATTGTTCCGTTTGGCAAGCATTCAGCTTCGGGCTCATTCAGCTCTTTGTAAGCATCAAGGGCGCTCACGAGCCGTGAGGTGAGTGCATGTGCTTGCATGTGATGAACTCCGACCAGTGGTTTCTGGCAAGACATGTCAGCTCGGGTTCAATCAGTCTCTGGAATGTAGTACCTGCCATGCTACAGCGAGTCCCTTGGCGGTGTCAAGACCAGTGAACAGATTACTGCGCATGCCCGGCCCACGAGTGACGGAAACAAAGTCGGGTAGTGTCCTCGTGGTGATGTCTACTGGAATCGGCCCAGTTCTGTCGTCCTCGGAGGGAAGCTCTCCATCCTGCATTGGCAGGCAACGGATTGCTTCACCGACAAGTGTTGCAAGGCTCTCCTGATGAGACTGGAGCGACACTATTGGATGTACACCCTGGTATTCAGAGTTGTTTGATGTCACTTTTTTGTGGAAGAGTATTTGTGCAGTCGTGCGGTCATTCTTGCACCCTTTCTTGACTACGGCTACAGAGGTATCATCGCAAGAAGTCTCGATAGCAAGCGTCATCAAGCAACGCCGGGGCCTCCATTGCAGTGGATGAAACTGTCGCGGACGAAGGATGCTTTGGAGGTGGCTGTATCGAGGCCGCATACCCCGTGTCTTAGGAAGCTGAAGTATAAAAGTCAGCGCATTACATATATAGGTACTGTAATAAGAATAATACCTTGGGACGCGCTATTGCAAGGTGTAGTGGCTGAGCGCACAAGTGTGTGATTGTTGCACAATCGGCGGAAGGGTTCCGAGGCCGGCCCTGGCTGTGACGTACGCGATGGAGTCCAGGCTTCGAGTGTTCCTCACATGTCATGTCACGCTCAGCGCGCCCATTTGACCTCACCTGAGCCCTCGCATCTCATCTTGTCGACAATGCAACCCGCACCCAATATTATTATACCTCATGGCTGATGTAGACAAAAAGACGGATGGCCCCGAGCCGTATTCCGCCGCGGGCTTCGACTTCACCCTACTCCCTGACTATGCCAACGACTTCGTTGAGGAAGACCATTTTGTCGAATTCGCGCGGGCTTTAGCTGCGCCCGAGAATGCATCGCCATCGGCCGAAGACCTCACCTCTCCGCCACCCGAGCGAACTTTCATCACGGCGCAAAATGATTGGCGACCCGTCCACCAGCGAGTCAAGCGGCGCAAGAAGAGCAAGGCGCCGCCACGGCGGGGCAAGGACGAGACGCGCGAAGGCTTTTCATATGTGCTTGTCAAGTGGCCTCTGCTGCTAGTCGTACTTGGATGGCTACTCTTCTTAAGCATAGCCTACGTCTTCACGCGACTGTATATTTACCTCTATGAGCACTGGATTACATGGCGAGGTACCCGCGAGCGACTACGTCAACGACTACAAGATGCGACTTCATACGAAGAATGGATAAAAGGCGCAAAGGAGCTGGACACATATTTGGGCAATGATTCGTGGAAGACAAAGCCCGAGTATGCCTACTATGACAGCAAAACCGTCGCAAAAGTGTATCAACAGATGGGCAAACTAAGACAAAAGGCCGAGGCGGAAGAAAACAACGCCTCGGAACAAAAGACCAGCGCCGGACAGCACACAGCCATTGAGGATCTCCGTGCGCTGTTGGAGGCGTGCATGAAGAACAACTGGGTCGGGTTTGAGAATCCACGATTGTACAGTGAGACATACTACGGAACAAAGGATCTTGTCCAACAATTCGTCGACGAAGCTGAGGCCTCCCTCAAATTCCTCCTGACAACGACGCAACTCGATGCGGAAAACAAGCGCGCGCTATTCAAACACATGGGTAGCAACTTTGGGCGAACAGCCCTCTGTCTTTCTGGAGGAGCCACATTTGCATACTACCATTTTGGTGTCGCCAAGGCCCTCATGGATGCTGATCTCTTACCAGAAGTCATTACCGGCACATCAGGCGGTGCCCTTGTTGCTGCGCTCCTATGTACAAGGACCGACGATGAGCTTAAGAAGCTCCTCGTACCCGCTCTAGCTCATCGCATCACAGCTTGCCACGAAGGCATTCTCACATGGTCAAAGAGGTGGTGGAAGACCGGAGCCAGATTCGATAGTGTCGACTGGGCAAAGAGATGTGCCTGGATGACGCGTGGTAGTATGACTTTCAAGGAAGCATACCAACGAACAGGACGTATTCTCAATGTTTCCTGCGTTCCCTCGGACCCTCACTCGCCAACTATCCTAGCGAATTACATCACAGCGCCAGATTGTGTTATCTGGTCCGCTGTTCTGGCGTCAGCTGCCGTCCCTGGTATCCTCAACCCAGTCGTGCTAATGAAGAAGAATTGGGACGGGACTCTGTCCCCCTATTCCTTTGGCCATAAATGGAAGGATGGTAGTCTCAGGTACGTCAGCCGGAAAGCTCTTCCGAATGACTTGCTCTTGTCAATCAAACGCCCATTCAAGAGTCTAGTTCCATTGGTCAACAAACACTGACTTTACACCCAACAGGACCGACATACCTTTGAAGGCTCTCAATCTCCATTTCAATGTCCGCTTCTCGATCGTAAGCCAGGTCAACCCACATATCAATATATTCTTCTTCTCTTCTCGTGGATCAGTCGGGCGGCCCGTCACCCACAGGCGTGGTCGCGGCTGGAGAGGTGGTTTCCTTGGTTCGGCCACAGAGCAGTATCTCAAACTCGATCTATACAAATGGCTCAAGGTCCTTCGCCACCTGGAACTATTACCACGGCCACTAGGCCAGGATTGGAGTGAACTCTGGTTACAACGATTCAGCGGAACCATCACCATCTGGCCCAAGTCCATACCATCCGACTTCCTTTTCATACTATCTGACCCAACGCCCCAGCGCCTTGCTAGAATGTTAAATGTTGGCCAACAATCCGCATTTCCTAAGTTGAAGTTTATTGCCAACCGCGCCAAGTTGGAAAACGTTATCATGGAAGGGAGACGAAAATACAAACCTCGTGGTACACGCGATGACGAAATGGTCAACGTCCTTAGTGAGGAGGATCTCCGCAGCTTGCTCAAACGTACGAAGAGCGACGGCCCCGAAAGTGGTGTTCCATACCCCATGTCCGCCTCTGAATCCTCGTCCACCGCAGGTCCATCGCGGCCTAGCTCACCAGTGAACCTTCCTCTAGGCTTCGGATTCTCCTCTCGCAATAAGAAAGCAGCACCTACGGACATAGTGGCACAGTCGGAGAAGCAACTTGATGTTCCTGACAGCCCTTCGTTGTCGAAACGCCTTAGTGGCTGGTGGTCTGCCATGTCACCGCCAACTACGGCAGACGCCACAGCTTTTGGGAGCCGTTCACGCGTTTCGCCATTCAGCCATGATCGTCCCAACTCGATGTTTGAATCTTCTGGCGATAGGAGCGGCTTTGCTACTGAGAGAAAACCAAGCAGGGTTTTTGATGACTCGGATTCTGCTGCTGAAGACACTCGGGGCACCTCTAGACGTAAGCAGCAGCATGAAGATGGTATGCTTGGCGATGCGGATGCAGGGGATTTTGGCGACGATGAGGAGGAGAAAGATGAAGTACAGAATGTCGGAGTTGGCCTTGGGCTTGAGGGACCAGCACTATAGATTACCTTCACCTACACCTGATTACCTTCACCTACACCTGATTAGATTGGATAGAAATTATAATTGGAAAAAGTTCAATATAAGATGCTTTGATGCTAGCTAGATAATTATTGCCTTTGGTATAATTGCATAGTTGGCTCATTAAAGTCCCCAAACAGCGTTTTGTACTACTCCTCTGAATACTAGAAGCGCCCCTGTAGTTGTCTGGCTAAAGATTCATTACCTTAGTAGGGCTGTATACTTGGCTGATTAAAGTCTTCAACCAGCGTTTGTACTACTATTTTAGATATAGAAGGGCTCCTGTATTCGTCTAGCTAGATGATTTTTGCCTTAGTAGTGTTGTATATTTAGCATAGTGAAGTCTCCATACAGTGTTTTCAACAACTCTTTCGGATACTTGAACGGCTGCTGTGTTCTTCTGGCGTGACCGCGGCTGATGTGCTGCGGCTTGGCATGTCGTCATCGAAAACGCGCTTTGAACGCGCGATCACAAGGCAACCTTCACCAGGCAGAAGTCACCTAAGTGACGACTATTAGACTCTCACCTGCTGAAACCGATGGAAAACATCCGTAGAAGACCGTCATGGGCGTTACCAACCTCTGGACAGTCCTACAGCCCTGCGCAAGGCCGATCAAAATTGAGACACTGAACAAGAAGCGGCTCGCCGTCGATGCCTCTATATGGATTTACCAATTCCTCAAAGCGGTGCGCGACAAGGAAGGAAACGCGCTGCGGAACAGCCATATTGTCGGTTTCTTTCGTCGAGTATGCAAGCTCCTATTCATCGGCATCAAGCCGGTGTTCGTGTTCGACGGTGGCGCCCCGGCGCTGAAGCGACAGACTATTAGCAACCGCAAGTCGCGCCGCGAGGGTAGACGGGAAGATGCAGTTAGAACAGCTGGCAAGTTATTGGCAATACAAATGCAGAGGGCTGCTGAGGAGGAGGAAAGGAGGAGGAAAGAAGCTGCGAAGCATCCGCGCGAGGAGCCAGAAGAGGAGATACCTGACAACTTGGTGTACGCGGAAGAGCTACTGCAAACACCGCAGGAGCGTACCCAAAACCGCGCATTCAAGAAGAAAGACCAGTACCACCTGCCGGACTTGGGCAAGTCCATGTCGGAGATGGGTGCTGCAAATGACCCGAGGGTTATGTCACTGGAAGAGCTCGAGGATTACGCACGACAGTTTGATAGAGGCGAGGATATTAATGTCTACGACTTCTCCAAGATTGATTTTGATGGGCATTTCTTCCAAAGTTTGCCTCCCGCTGATCGATACAACATCTTGAATGCAGCTAGGCTACGAAGTCGACTCAGAATGGGCCACTCAAAAGAACAGCTCGACGCCATGTTCCCTGACAGAATGGCCTTCTCCAAATTCCAGATAGAGCGCGTGCGCGAACGTAACGACCTTACGCAACGATTGATGAACCTCAATGGCATGAACGACGATGCATTTGGCGCGGGTGGTTTCAGCCGCGTTGCTGGTGAGAGAGATAGGGAATATGTGCTTGTGAAGAATGACGGAGTCGAAGGTGGTTGGGCGCTAGGCGTGGTTTTGAACAAGGAAGAAGGCAAAGCACATAAGCCAATTGACGTGGAACTACCAGAGCGCCCTGCTGAAGAGGACGAATGGGAAGATGACGAAGAATTTGAAGATGTTCCTATTGAAGGCTTGAATCGACTGCCAAAGCCCAAGGCAGGCCTAAGTGCCCAAGAGAAAGAAGGTCGCGAGTTCATTGCAAACGAGCTAGCAACACGACGCCGGCAACTTTACAAGTCTAGAAAAGAGAAACTCCTGCAGTCCAGGCCTCAGCAGGCTACTCCAGTCAGCCAAGATCCCGACTCTTTGTTCCTTGCTGATGAGAACGAAGAAGATGAGGATTGGGAGAATGTACCAATGGATGGCGTTAATAATCTAGAGAATGAGGCAGGGGATGATGTTGAGAACGAACAATTACAGGAAGCCATTGCCTTGTCGATGCATGTGGACCAGCAAGAGACGGAGCGAAAATCGGAGGAAGAAGATGATCCAGTACGTGAAGTCTTTCAACAGAAGCGCGCTGCTGAAGCCAACCCGTTCGCTGGTACAAAAGGCTCGGGGATGGCCATTGCCAGGCTTGCCAATCAGCGCAGCAGTAAACTTGCCCCAAAAGGGCCCTTTGAAGACAGCGATAGCGAAGACGACATGAATCTGCAGGCTGCGCTGGCAGAATCTCGCCAGTCAAAGCGACCTGTTAAGCCAAAGCTGATGTCACCTAAGCTGCATGCTCAAGCACCTGCTGTAAAGCCTGCAAATAAGTCAACGAATGCTGCAGGTTTTGATGGACCGCTGCCATTTGAGAGACTCAATCTGGGCAACTCTCTTCTTGGTAAGAAGAAGATGGACAAGCTTGAAGAGGACAATGCAGGTGGCTTTGAGAAGGATTACGGACACGAGAAGAAGGCTGCGGCACCACTTCCACCTTGGTTCAATGGCCAACGAGATATAGCAGAGGACGTCAATGCTCAACGGCAGGAAGAGAAACATCAGTGGGAAGAAGCTCGTCAAGAAGAAAAGACTCGGTTCCAGTTCCAGCAATTGCCAAGCCTGCGGAAGCAGGAAGAGAAGGAGATCATCGATCTCGATGCACCTGCCAGTCAAAGCCAACAGGAGGTGATCGCAATCGACTCTGACGGGGAGGCCGATGCTCAGATGGAAGATGTGATAATCGAGGATTCTAGGCTCAGGATGGGCGATCTAGCAGACAAAGTTAGAGCGGAACCTCCCAAGCCACTTTCTCCACAACAACGGTCACCACCTCGTCAAGATCCTGCGTTGAAAAAGAAGACTCCCTTCGCAGACGATTCAGATGATGAGCCAGTAGATTGGTCCGAAAGTGAGCCTGAAGAGGAGAGACAAGCGCAGAAGGCAGCGGGTGGAGAAGGAGAGCCACCTGTGCGGGAGCCTTCGAGATCCCCATCGGAAGATTTCGAAGACGTACCAATGCAAATTGAGCCAACTTCTGTACCCGAACCTGCCGTTTCGCCATCAAGGTCGCCTTCGCCGGTATTCGAAGATGTGCCAATCCGTCAAGAGAAGCAACATAGACCTCCGAGAGAGCTGTCAACCCTGCAAGGACCGGACGACCTCACAAAACCTACAGTACCCTATAGCGGTGTAGCAGACGACAGTGCGCCTCTGGATGTTCTAGATGATCATGAATCTGATCAATACTCTGACCCCGAGGATGAAGAGCTCTTTGCCTCTCTCGCCAAAGAAGCAGAGGAGCACGCGCGCTTTGCCCAAGAACTCACCAATAACACAGCTACACGCGTAGATTTTGATGAAGAACTCAAGCAATTGCGCGCGCAGCAGAAAAAGGATCGCCGAGACGCGGATGAAGTTACGCAAACCATGATAGCCGAATGCCAGCAACTGCTTACTTTGTTCGGACTACCATACATCACCGCGCCCATGGAAGCAGAAGCGCAATGCGCCGAGCTGGTCAACCTCGGGCTGGTCGATGGTATCGTGACAGATGATTCAGATACGTTCCTCTTCGGCGGTACACGTGTATACAAGAACATGTTCAACGCGGCTAAATTCGTCGAATGCTACCTTGCACAAGACCTTACCTCCGAATTCAATCTGACACGCGAGAAAATGATTGATATTGCGCAGCTCCTCGGTTCGGATTACACAACAGGTATTCCTGGTATCGGACCAGTTACTGCACTAGAAATCCTCTCCGAGTTCCAGACTCTAGAGGCATTCAGAACATGGTGGGATGGCGTACAAAGCGGCCAGATCAAAAAGGATGAAGATGCGAAGAACCCCTTTCGCAAGAAGTTCCGAAAGAACCAAGGAACTAAGCTTTTTCTTCCGCCGAACTTCCCGGATCCACGCGTCACTGACGCATACCTGCATCCTGAAGTCGATTCCGACCCTGAGCCGTTTCAATGGGGTGTGCCAGATCTCGCTGCGCTAAGGACGTTTTTGAGCTCGCAGATTGGCTGGTCATGGGAGAGGACCGATGAGGTGCTTGTGCCTGTCATTCGTGATATGAACCGCAGAGAGAAGGAAGGTACGCAGGCGAACATAACGCGCTTCTTTGATGGTGCTGTTGGTGCAGGCGCGTTTGCACCTAGAGTGCGTGGTAATGCTGCGGGGAGCGGACCAAGTGGTAAGAAGAAGGGGACAGGGGCTGCAGGAAAAAGACTGGGTGCCGCATTGAGTAAGTTGGCGGGGAGGGATGGTGCCAGGGGTAATAGTGGAGGAGAGGAACAGGTGGCACAGGTGGATGAGGAGAATTCCGCTCCTGCACGAAAGAAGAGGAAGGCTGCAAGTAAAGCTTCGTCACTGGCAGAACAAGAAGACGCCCAGTCGATGGACGACTCAAGCGAGGACTTGTATTCTGAGCCTACTAAAAAGAAGCCGAAAAAGACACGCAAAGGCAAAGCAGCAGCGAAATAGTTTGTTCTGTAATCTACCCACTAAATTCCTAATTACCCCAAAGCTACAATTCCAATTCAAAAAAAAATCCATCGCTGGCTTGCTATATGTATGTCGACAAAATGAGACTCATCATGCTTCAAAGCTTGACCCCACCCCCCTCAATAATATCCAAATCGCCCTTTGTAAACTTGACATACGTCCCATCCTTTAACCAGTAAATGACATCACCCGCCTGCTCCACAACCTGCGGATCAATGCCCTCCTTCTGCAACGCAGTCTTCTGCTGTTTATTAGTACCGGTAAGTTGCATTTCCTTTGTAAACCGCAGCCACACGGGCACCGCAAAGGCAGGTAGTTCTTTCTTTACATGTTGAGCTAGAGACTTCAGCATGTGTTCGCTAGGCGCCGATTCGCCATTTTTCAGCACCACGGCCGCGCATCCAGCTCGGCCGTCGTGGCGGGGGACCTGGACACCGTAGACATTCGCTTCGTCAACGGCAGGATGGGTGCCGAGGACTTGGCTTACTTCAGCCGTCGACACATTTTCTGCTTTCCAGCGGAACGTGTCACCAAGACGGTCTACGAACCAGAATCGCCCTTCGTCGTCCCAGCGCATTAGGTCTCCGGAGCGGAAGTACGCGTCGCCCTTTTCCATGACATTGCGTAAGATTTTGCTGCTCGTCGCTTTTTCGTTGCCGTAGTAGCCCTGGAAGCTGTTCTCCATGTTCGCGGCGTCAAGTTTGGCGAGGAGCTCACCGGGTTCGTTATCGTCGCAGCGTTGGCAGAAGCCTGTTTTGGGGTCGCGGACGGGCTCTGGAGGGTCGGATTCGGGATCCATGCGTACGATTGCAAGTTTCTTGGATAGGAGGGCGTTACCCAATGTGCCGTTGCGGGCGATTGCGCCGCTGGAGAAGGTGTTTGTGGAGCGGTTGAAGAGGCCGATGGGGGCTTCGGTAGCGGCGTAGAATTCGTAGATTGTTTCGATGCCGAAGCGCTGCTTAAAGGGTTCCCAGACATCGGGTCTTAGGCCGTTGCCAAAGGCGGCGCGGATTTTGTGTTGTTTGTCGAGGGGTGAGGCGGGTGCAGAGAGAAGGTAGCGACATGTTTCGCCAACGTAGTGTAGAATGGTGGCGTTGGAGTCGCGGACTTCGGTCCAGAATGTCTTGTGAGAGAATTTCTTGGATAGGCAGATTGTGTTTCCTGACCCAAGCACTGCACATACTCCGAGAACAGAGGCAGAACTATGGTAGAGCGGCATGGATGTGTGGACGACATCATTCTTGAGTTTGAGCCAGCTGGCAGTGAATTTTGAAGCAATGGTGCATTTGCCCCAGGACATTACGGCCGGCTTGGGTAGTCCTGTTGTGCCTGATGTGTAGATGAGCATGGCCATGCTGGTCCGCTTCTGGCCTGATCGGACGGCATCTGGGAGGCGTGTTGGCGGATATGTGAGGATGTGCGATGTGAGCGCGTCGTCGAAAAAGATGATCTCGATGTTTCGCTGGGCGGATTGGGGCTCTGATACTGCGCCAGCTTCAACGGCGGCTTGTGGCGTCTGTGTCTGGTTCCTGACAGATTTTGGGACATCCAACTGCTCCATATCAAAGGTATATTCGACTTTGTCTGCGCCATGCACCCGAGTGAAGCCATTCTCGTTGAGCACATGCTCGCTGAACTTGGCTTTGCCTTCTGGGTCTACCAGTACCAATCGCGCGGTGCTTGTCTTGATGGTATGAACAAGCGGCTTTCCAGTGAGGTTATAGTTTATAAAAGCAGGCTTCGCGCCAATGCTCCACAGACCAAACCAGACCCAGATGAAGACGTCCGAGTTCACAAAGTCCATTGCGACAATATCACCCTTGTCCACCCCCCTACTCTTCAACCACGCTCCATATCTGAGCACGGTGTCATAAGCCTGCGCATATGTCCATGTTCTTCCACAAAAGATGACGAAGGTTTGGTTCGCGCGCAGGGCCGACTTCGCGTGTGTTTCGAGGTCATAGAAGAGACTGAGGGTATCGCGTCGTTCGTGGATGGCGCCTGCGATTTGGCTGCTGATCATGGAATAAAAAAAGGGCCAGTCGTAAGTGAAGCCATGGCGACCATCAAGGTACGCGAGACTGGCTGCTGCCGCTGCCGCTGCAGGGGCGAGATAACAGAGTGCTGTGATGGTGAGACTGATTAGTGCCAGTGCATGCATATGTTATCCAGGTCCAGATGCACGGGGAGGCGTTGCGGGCTTACCTGACATTGCCGATGAGCCAATGGGCAATTACCATCAATTTTTTGCTGTCAGACAGAGACCAATCGCTCCTGTACAGTGGTTGAATGTGGCCCGACCGAGATCAAACAAATCGATATTCAGATAACCTACTAGCACATGTCCCTTGAGTGACGTTCGAACTACAGTCCGTGCGCACCCAACGAGCCAGTTCAGCCAACGAGCCACCCCAACAAGATCAGACGACAAAAAAGATGAGGTTATTGAGCCACCCACAAAAGCTATTATCGTGAGATTTTTGGGTGTATTGATATATTGACGCTACTAAAGCGTTTACACTACTTGTATCTCGCTGGTGTCTTAAGTTGGCGCTCGCGCAGGCCAAATCTGGGTGGGGAGGGCGCCTCAGGCCGACCAGCGTCAACCCGACTTAATGGAGCAACAACACGACGACGCTTTGTCGGTTTTTTGCTAGTTTGTGTGAGGCTTCTCGCTTACGCTTATTTGCTGTATCGCGACTTTTTTGAGCGGTTGAAGCTTGTTGTTGTTGCTTTTTAAGTGCCCGTTTGGCAGCTTTCTCCTCACGCTGCCGTAACTGCTCGGCATCCCTCTCAATTTTGGCTTGTTGTCGAGCCACCTTTGCAGCTTCTTGAGAGCGCTTTTTCTCAGCAGCTTCTGCTGCTTTTCTCTCTCTATCGCGAGCTTTTTGGAGTTGTAGCTCCGCGGCTTCGTCCAGTTCTGCGGCCTTGCGCGCGCGGACGCTAGCAAGCTTCCTAGGACTGTAGAATACAGCTCCGCCGTGCCAATCGTCGCCCTCTTAAGTAGTCAGTGTTGTTAATTTAGACGGGCGGGACCTCATGAGGTTAAGTTCAGCGCGTAGCTCCGCGCTTTAGAGGCGGAAAAGCTCGTTGTTAACCTGCAGCGAGTGTAGGCCTTGGGACAGCCGTTTAGCTTCAAATTTAGCCTTGTCAGCCACCGCAGCGTCAAAAATTTTGCGCAGTTAAGGCCAGGTATCGCCATCGCCTTGCTCTCCAATTCCTAGCTCGTCATCTTGTTGTTGTGGTTGGTTGTTGAAGCGTTAAAGTACCGGGTCTGCGTCCATCGGCCATACGCCTGTAGCTTGAAAACTCTTTAATATGAGATCGTGAGTCATTGTAGAGCTCCAAGCCGGCCAAAAGTTGCTGTAGAAGTCGCGTTTAGTGATCCTTGAGAGGCCTTGGGTTCGCTGGAGGCGTTAGGTAAGCTCCTCGGTGTAGTGCTTCGAAAGCGGCGAAAAGAGCACGACATCCAACGGCTGCAAACTGTGTGTAGAATGTGGTGGATACACCATAACCATAATGCGTTTAGCTTCACAATACTCCAAAAAATCGGGCGTAAGGTGGCTGGCGTGGCCGTCAAGGATCAGAAGGCGCCATTGCCGGCGAGCTTTGGCTGCTGTATAGCGTTCGAAGACCTGTTAAAGCCAGGCAAGTCCCAAATCATTATTTGACCATCCCGAAGCTAAATGGGATACGAAAACCTGGTGTTTTTCAGCCAACAGGTCGTCAACCCAGCTTGATTGAACCCCAGAGATGCCCTAGTAGATGAGAGCGGGCGGCAATGCCTCTCCAGAAGCGCATACGCAAGCCAGCAGCGTTACCTATTCTCTGTTGCCATCTCTCATCGCCGCGGTACGCTCCTTTGACTCATAAACTGCCTTAGAGAAGATCCTCTTCCTGCGGTGGGCGATACCAACAAAGAAGCCCTTCTCATCCATATTGTACATGTTGCGCTCTTCAATCCCATGTTCTTGCATCTTGGAGTGCAGCAAGTTAAAGTACAACTCGTATTTACGCTTGTTGTCAGCCAAGTGACGCTCACGATCCATACCAGTGTCCCATTTGGTGATGAGCTCGTCGGGATGACGGTGTTGAAACCGGGTAACCCAGCTATCCGAAACCTCATGCTGCGCAACCGCGCTGCCGAAATTTCTCAAAATACTCCTTGTAGGTAGTACGCCGTCTCTTGTAGTCCCTTCTATGTATCCGATAAGCTCATCCTCTTGTTGTAGGTTGAGGTTTCGTCGATGTTCGGCCACCTCTGTGCCCCGGGGTTGCTGTGCGCCCCGGTGCCTTCGCGACAGCGTCGTTCGATCAACTCCGAATATTTTTGCAACTTAGCGGTACGAGAATTTATCTCCAGCCCCACGCGATTCGATATATTCAATCGCTTCTTGAATCGGGTCCATGGTTGTAGAGTTATGACGCGTCGCAGTTGGGTGGGTTCATGAGGCAGCGGGGGTTGGGGTGGCTCGTTGGCTGAACTGGCTCGTTGGGTGTGCACGGACTGTACAGCTAGTGGCGCAATGCGAGCTGTCCACAAGCCGAGGCACAGCTTCCACGCGCCCCAGTATTTCCTTATCCAAGAAGCAACAAGACCTCAACTTTCCTTGCCGTTGCATCCCTTCCTTCCCCAGCTCGCATCTCCAGACGGCAGAAGCCACATGTTGTCTCATTGAGATGCGGCAGGGGATGCGTGGGGCTAGGATGCTCGTATGCGTCACAACCGCCCTGATTACGAACATGAGAGGGTATGGTAAGTAGGCTTATCAATCAAACAAACTTCGCTTCATCTATTGTTCAGTGTACTAGTGGATGGGGTGGAAAGACTGCTATTATTTGAGCACTGTTTGGGTAGCTATCGATCACTTGCGCAGTACATGCATCCTTCACACATCTCAAAATCTGTGCAGAGCCGATACTTTCATGTCACTCCTTTATTCATCAGTCTTGTCCAATCTTTGTTCTTGCTATCATCCGCAATTACAGCGACAGTTCAGCGCAACGTTATCACCCCTTGCACCAGGGTCCTTACACAGCAGCAGAACAACATCAACCACTTGCATCACAATGGCTACACTACTTTACGTGAAATTCTCGATGCGCACAAAGCAGATAATGCTTGGCGGCTGTCGTTTAACAACATCGCGAATAATCGCCGTTTGCGGAAGTATCACAGCTGTGCGCTTCCGGCGTCTTTGTTCTCTTCCATGACAAAGGCGCCTTCACACACCTTCTTACTCAAATCCGGGTTGCTGTCGTAACAAGAATATTCATCTTTTCTCCCACAATCTCATTCAATTCTGCAAAAGGTGCAGACGTCTTGGTGTGTTTGCTCCGGGAAGGAATCTCAAAATGGCATATACTAATGTGCGTAGGCATACACATCATCGTGAGCCAACATTCTCAGAACTAAGCACAAAATGGCCTACACATACATTGACCAATCGCCCACTCTCGAGGAATATGACTCCGAGGATAGTATCTCACTTAGTGATGAACAGCCAACGCAGCGTCAACTCAACGACCGCCGTCTTGCTCAAGCTATCAACTACATAGCTGAAGAAGGTGGCGATGATTCTCCTGGGACCTTTATCAACCGCGTCGATGCCATTGACGAAGCTCTTCTCCAACGACTCTCTCAGCAAGGCCGCAAGTACGACCCTGCTCTCTACCGACGCGCGCAAGCTCTGGTCCAAGAAGTTCAACATGAGTTTGAGGAGGCTGCTCAAGAGCCCTCCTCACCTTCCCTGAACAGTCTCGACTCTTCCATGCTAGGGAGCGAAGACGAGTTTCCAGAATATCATACGCCATCAGCAGTCGACGCTCTATACCGAGAAGGGGAGGAAAGCGATGAAACCCCCAAGGATGCCCGGCCTTCCGTGCCCGACAAGCAGAACAAAGTGGAACTCGAGAGGACATTCAAGTACGGGGGCCCCGGTAACGATCCAGAACTATGGCTCAAGACTATTCCAGCGGCTCTGCACTTCCCAGAGACCTTTCAGATGGCACACTGGGAAAGTTTGAAAATCGATGCCGATCTCCTTGAGTCAAACAAAAGGCTGAAAGCGCAGGGCAATATTGTGGAGACTAATGTGCCCTATGACCATCCCCACCTTGAGCGATATAAGAGGCTTTCAAAATATGACTCTGGATCGCGCTTCAAGCTCCCTGTAGCCCCAATAGAAATCCAAATCAGCATCAGCAAGCTAGGAACATCACGGAATGTTGCGAAAGTTGTTGAACAATTCTCGAAGGGAACCAACGCGAAAGAACTAATTAAGAAGGATTATGTGCCTCGAATCTTCTTAGACGAGATTGTAGTTGGATCACAAGGTAACCATTTGAGTCCACCTATAACATGCCCACACTAACACCAACTTAGGACCAACTGAGATTCGACGTGCTGTGAACACCACACCCACCAAGCCTCGCAATCCTTCCGTTGGGAACAGTGTATCAACCGACCCTATCAAGACTACTCAGTCGATTGGCAAGCCGACTGGAGCTAAGCTCCCGAAAACACCAGTCCCACTCATCAAACACCGACAGAAGGAAGCTGACTATGCGAACGAAGAGGCGCAAAAAGCGAAGGAAAGAAGGGAAGCCTTGTCGAAAAAAGCTCAAGAGGCAAGAGAAGCAGCCCGTCTCGCCAAACAGGAGGCGATCAAAGCCGCTGAAAGAGCACATGAAATCCAGAAAGCAGTAGCATTGATGGGCACCCCCGTTGTTCGCAGAATCGATCGCACCCGCACAGAAGCCATCGAAGCGAGTGGTCGTCGCCAAAGCGGCATAAGCACCGGTCCTACGACACCGAATAGTCCCAAAAAGCCACTTACGTCCGGAAAGGCCCCGACTACCAGTCCTCAGGCCACTGTGTCTCCAAAGCGCCCTCGCGGTCGCCCCCCCAAGAGCCCTGTGACAGCATCTACCACAAAGCCAGCCGTTGTCCCTACTACCACACCAGTCAAGACCCCCGTGAAACCCAAACGCAAACTCAGCATCGGCGCTAAACCGTACACGCCCGAGCCCAAGAAGCCGAAGGTCACAAACCCCGCAACCTCCTCGGTGCCAGGCTCTGGAAACAAAACCGTTCATATTGACTCATACGAATCATCGGAAGAAGGATATGTCATTAAGCCCAAGCCCAAGGTGAAGAAGCCGTCAAAGCCAGTGACAGAAACACCTAAGAGAAAGAATATTGGTGTCAAGACAGGCACTCGAGTTACCAAGTCTACGACCAAGGTTGGCAAGGTTGCTGCTGCGGGGCAGGCGGCGCAACAGGCAAAGACTAAGCGCGTGGTGGAGGAGTATGTGGGTGAGAAGGAGTATCAAAGCATCATGGAGGAGAATAGGAAGAAGTTACATGGAGATGATGTGCCGGAGGGGAGTACCAGGCGTGGGACGCCGTATCTGAAGCGTTAGGTGAAAGGGGGTGTAGAGGCGGAGGTAGGTTCTTTTGTTGTCTCTGAATGTAACGTAATGTCGTCTTGGGAGCTTTCTTGTTAGACGGAACTGATTGATGCATTTTAATGATACAACACACTATAAACTGCTATACAGTCTCCGTCATGTGCTTCGATATAAAGTCTTGTTAAATATATGGTGTTATTTACATGCATCTTACTACATTATAGTACACGTCTGTCATCGCCGTATTCCTACACTATTATTATACACGCATTCGTTGTTGCTCTCTCGTAGCGGCATAAAAGCGTAGACACTGCATCTTCGCGCATCTACTCCCATCTCGTCTCCTTCTTTAGCGGCTTCTCCCAGTCCTTGATATGGTCTGAAATGACTTTAGCCGCTTGATCAGCGGTGAAATTCCTGCCAATAGCCTCGACGAAATCGCCTTCAGGATCTGTAGCTTTGTGTTAGCTACTAACCACGTCATTGTACCAAAAAAAGAGCTTACCCATCAGATAAAAGTAGATGCTGTGGTCTACTAGGTAATCCTGGCCGGGCTTTACACTGCTTGGCGTACTAAAGTAGACCCTGTATGCTTTGCAAACGCTCTTGATCTGTTCGTAGTCGCCTGTCAAGCCAATGAAGTCGGGATGGAATTCGGCTAAGTATTCTTTCAGGACTTTGGGGTTATCGCGTGCGGGGTCGCATGTGATCATTATGGGGAGGAGGACATTGCCGCACTGGGCCACAACTTTGTCGTACATGAGGGCCATTTTATCGAGCTCGTCGGGGCAAATGTCGGGGCAGTGGGTGAAGCCAAAGTACACCTAGATATCTTGTTACTACAACCGTCCACGCAATACCACAGTAGCGTGTTGACGTACCAATGAGTATTTGCCTAGCATGTCCTCATTGCTAAATACCTTGCCGTCCTGGTCGACAAGCTGGAATGGTCCGCCTACTTTGGGCTTGCCAATGCCCTTTGTTTGCTCTGCTATTCGCTTCCGTGCAAGTCGCTCTTTCTCGTACGTGAAATAGGCCCATAGTCCTCCGCAAGTTGCGATGAAGAGGATACCTGCCGTGAGGTTGAATGGCTACGTAGGGCATCAGCTTATGTTCTAACATTCACATCTCTTGGAATGCAGTGTTCATGTCTAAGAAAGCGTAGAACATACTCCACCTTTATTCCTCGCCTTGATCTGATCAATCGTCTTGAGCTTGCTGCGCGACGCCGACTGTGAAAACAACCGCGTCTGTCCCTGACAATCACCCGCGATCTTCCTGCTGTGAATTCGTGTTCTCTGTATATCCCGAACGCATCTTGTCTGCTCTGTCGTTGTCTGTCGTGATAATGCAGCCGAATTCGGTGTGGTGGAAGCGAAGGTCCGATGCGCAATGCGCGCCGCTGGTGTAGTGGTAAGATTCCTAGATGCCGTGGCCAGGCACCGGCTCGGTGCGGACATAGCGAGCGTGGAGGGAATTGGGTATGGCGACGTTGGTGGGGTGGATTTGTGTGCCGCGGGAGACTTTTCTTATCATCATTCGAGATGCGATCTCTCGGCGCTCGAGCCACCTACGAATGACATCGTAGAATAGTCCAAATGTCTTACATCAAGTTTCTCGATCAGCTACTTCACGATATCTTCGAACGATTCCACATATAACACTGGGTTTACTCTAACGAGGGTATTGATGCACACGAATTGTTGACTTTAATTAAGATCATCATCGGACCCGGGGTGCTCCGGTCGAAAGCGTACTTATGCTTCACCATCAAGGACCTTGAATACACATCCATGCTGGAGAAAGCCGTTGATATCCGTTCGATGAAGTTAGGAGAGATGCCGTAAATGCTTTGTTCAGGTAGCACATACTGTGACACCGCTTTGTCGTTTTCCATGTTCCAGACAACCGTTCTTCCGGAAAAGGAACCATCCGTTGAAGCAGTGCCAAGGCTGCCCTCGACTGATCTTGTTGATCTTCATGGTCTGCTCACCAGGCTAAAAGCAAGCTTGGCAGTTTTGAAGATGCGCAGACTTGACTTCCGAGACATACCGACTGGGACCTGGCCAGATATTGACCCTTTACAGAGTCAACGCTCCGGGTCAAGATGTCTGACTAGGAGTGTATTTCAGCGTTTAAACACCACCGCATATTGCACTAACGCAAGGCATATATGTTTCGGTTCATATGCTGGTGATTTTCACTTGATACCGACGGCTTCCAGAAACGCTTTCTTCTGTCTCTTCCCCGCGTCTCCATCAACGCCAACGCCTTGTACAATCTCACTCATACTTTCCATCTCTTTGACTCCCGTACCGTGCGCGAATTGCCAAAGCTCATCTTCCTCGAATCGAACTTGAAAAGCCTGCCAATTCTGCGCCTTCAAAACGTTGACGTGCTCCGTGACAGCTGACGACGGACCAGAGTAGACGAGAACACCGGGATAGCCGGGCTTAGTGAGACCGGAGACAGGAGGGGTTGAGGATGGAGGTAAGAGGGCGAGCTTTCGCTTGTTAGTGTTTAGAAGGTGGTGCAACCAGACAATAATGGTTTTGGAGAGATTGGAAACATGTTGAACATGTGCTGTCGAGTCGCTTTTTTGTGTCCTCTGGTCCAATTGGGCGGCGGCAGATTCAACGAGCTGCTGGAAAGTGGCAAGGACAGCATCCAGTGCTTCCTCTCCCTCGGTCAAACCAAGTTCTCTTACAGCATCTCTGCTCTGTGCTCGCACGTCGTTCTTTGCTGCATCAGTTGCCGAAATGATATCGGGCAATCCTGATTCCGGATACGGCTCCGGCAGGCGAAGGAGCAGTGAGGCATTGTCAGCCGAGAACTTTAACTCTCGTGATTTGGGGTCATAGTGTGTCTGATGGGGATACATGGCGTTTAGTAGCTCCAACTCGGTTTCAAGACGTGTGGGGCCATGGTCTTCTGACATGATGGGTGCAGGTTTGCGAGGCGAAAAAAACCACGAGGGCCTCTGTTTCACGATGGGGGTGAGGAAACTAGCAATGTACACACGGCCCTCTTCTCATGTGCTGCCGCAACGAGATAGCGCACAAGTGGAGTTGGGTATTGTGGGCTCTTCCAAAAAGAAAGGTGATTACCCTGGTGCCGTCACCATCTCGATGCGCTCCACAGGTCCGTGCACGGGCAAGGCAGGCCTTTGATGAGACTGTCGCCATGACTACGTCGGGCGGCAGTGCATACGGCATAATTGATAAGAAACCGATCTGACTGTTGTATGCATAAGTGGCGACGGACGAAGGTCCATTTCGCTTATGTCTCATCTTTAGCCTGCGGTCACCAGGGTGATGTTGAGCGTGAGCAAGGCGCTATGGCGAACGTTTGGAGCATAGAGTCGACACAAGGAACGAGCTTCGCAGAACAAAGCTAAAGGGTAGGCGTGACAGGAAGTGCTCTACGACACGTCTTTGTTGCAACAAACGAGAGACCAATCAAGAGGGTGTCGTGCCGGATGCATATGACGGTCCATAAGCTTTCCTGATTTAGCTAGGAGGAGACGCGGAACGTTCGCGCTTCCAGGTTCGTGTGCAGGCGGCCCAGAGAGGTGCCAACCACCCAAGACGCTTCAATTGCCTCACTCACTCAAAGACAACCTGAACTGCCGTTAGTAATCTTTGCTCGCCTAAGCAAATTCTGGCACCCAAGTTCCCGACTTGCTCTTGTTACCCGTTTATCGTGAGCTCTGCCCTACCATTACCCTTCACCTGCATCGGCAAACACGGAACCTACTCCAACAACGCCTTCCCCCCATAGTCTGACACGCCCAAAACCCTTGCGACGACGTCAACGCACACGTCCCGGCTGTGCTGCCTCCACCAAACAAATCGGCATTTTCCAAACGGCACATGAGCGCCATCTGCTTGCACAATGAAGGCTGCTCCGCTCCTGGTGTCCTGGCACGACGAGAATGCCCCCATTTACTCAGCCCACTTTGAACCACACGGCAAGGGACGTCTGGCGACAGCTGGAGGCGACAATAATGTCAGGGTGAGTCTAATATCAGCATGTTGGGAGCCTGAGCAAATGCTGATAGACTTAGCTTTGGAACGTGGAGACGCACGGCGAAGAGCGCAAAGTCACGTATTTATCATCACTCGTAAAACACACGCAGGCCGTCAATGTAGTACGATGGTGTCCACGAGGTACATCATCTCCCAACCCCCGACCTACTACGCGCATATCAGCTAACACGTTGCAGGCGAAATGCTAGCAAGCGCGGGCGACGACGGCAACGTCCTCCTGTGGGTCCCAGCTGAGAACCAAACCACGCACACCAACTTCGAGGACGGCCTTGAAAACAAAGAGACATGGCGAGTCAAGGCCATGTGCAGGTCCATAGGCTCAGAGATCTACGACCTAGCCTGGTCTCCAGACGGCGTCTTCTTCATCACAGGCAGCATGGACAACATTGCTCGCATATACAACGCTCAGACTGGTACGACACCTGCCCCGACACAACCTCTCCAACAGCTGCTCAATGACATTTAGGAAGCATCGTACGGCAGATTGCCGAGCATAACCATTATGTCCAGGGCGTGGCCTGGGACCCCTTGAACGAGTACATCGCGACCCAGTCGTCTGATCGGTCTGTCCATATCTACACACTGAAGAACAAGGACGGCCAGTTCTCCTTGGCTCAGCACAGCAAGGTTACCAGAATGGACCTGCCCGCACGCCGTGTATCCTCAAATAGCCCTGCTCCGCCCGACTTCGGTGGCCGAGCGTCCTTCGTCGGTGACGCCATGGCAATTGGCTCGCCTGTCCCATCAATGCCTGGCACTCCACAGTCACTCGCTCTGCCAAATATGCATCCTCCGCCAACATCGCACAGTCGTCGTTCTTCGTTTGGATCTACTACCTCACCATCAGTGAGGCGCTCCGCCTCGCCTGCCCCGTCCATGCCTCTGCCCGCTGTCATGCCAAACTCTCCCAGCATCAGCAGTATTGGTACTCTAGGGATTCGCAACGCACCCATTTACTTCAACGAGACCTTGACATCCTTCTTCCGACGCCTCACGTTTGCTCCAGATGGAAGCTTGTTGTTCACCCCTGCGGGCCAGTACAAAGCACTGCATCCATCAGTTGGCGAAGCAAAACCAGCCGAAGATATCACCAATACGGTCTACATTTACACTCGAGCTGGTCTCAACAAGCCCCCCGTCGCATATCTACCGGGTCACAAAAAGCCTTCAGTTGCGGTCCGTTGCTCACCAGTCTACTACACCCTACGCCAGGCTGCCCCGCCCACGAGACAAATCACTATCGACACTTCGAACATGGATGATGAAATACCGTCTTTGCCAGAGCCCGTCATGCCTTCGAAGCCGCCTACATCACATTCATCCATGGATCCGCCGCCTATCACGAGTGCACCCTCTCCCTCGCCAAGCCTATCAGCACCATCACCCAAACCCACCGATGGCGATGCGTTCACTCCAACCGTCCCGCCTGCTGGACCTACGGCTGCATTTACACTGCCTTACCGCATGATTTATGCTGTCGCAACTCAAGATGCCATCCACATCTACGATACACAACAGCAAAAGCCGTTGTGCATAGTTAGCAACTTGCACTTTGCGACTTTCACAGATATCACCTGGTAAGTACTACATTTCAAAGTTAGGTCATAGCGATGCTTACAATTTTCTAGGTCTAATGATGGCTCGATGTTGCTAATGACATCATCGGACGGATTCTGTTCTTCGATCACGTTTGCTCCTGGTGAGCTTGGGGAGAAGTACACAGGACCATTAGCTGTCCACAGTCGAGCACAGCAACCACCTGCTGCGATTAATACAACAACTGGTCATGCATCAAACACGTCGACCCCTACTCCGACTCCTACTACAGGAAGTATGTCAGGTACCGCAACAGCCACTGCACCACCCATGCAGAGGCAACCATCTGCCGGCTTTCCTGCTTCACCAAGCTCGTTCGTCCCTGCAAGACCAGGTAGTCCAACAAGGAGCAACTCGGTATCTAGCATAGCTACAGCCTCATCCTTTGCTCCTGGGGCGGGTGACCAGAGTAACATGAACGCGCCAACGCCAGCTATGTCGTCGGTGCCTAGCATAGCGGCTGCAAACTCCGGTCCGGTTCCCATGTGGACACCACCTCTTACACCAGCTCATGGACAGCACGGATCACACAGTGCAAATAGTTCTGTCAGCGGCATCCCCAATATTGGCCAGATTGGTCGAAGAGAAAGCGAGAGGAGCGAGTCGGACCGTGACGACGGTCTGTCTACTTCGAAGAAACGGGAACTTCACTCTGTCCCAGAAGGCAATGTGGAAGAAGTCCGAGAGAGCAAGAGGCGAAGGATCGCACCGACGCCTATAATGATGACAGAGGAGGATGACAGCGCTATCGCTAGCACCGAGGAACATACAGCAACGACGCAAGCACAGAGCCAGCAGTAGTCGTTATTCTTTGCCCCTCCTTTTCCAGGGTTTCATGATTGCCTATACTATACCTTTTCCTCCAGCAAGGCGTTCGGGATATCAGATTACTTCAACGAGGATGTCATGGGCTTTCTACGTTATGTATAGGGCTTTTCTTTCCATGTAACGTTGTTCCAGGCGGGCACAGTTTCAATGGGAATCAATAATAACACATCGCACGAAGGTACGTGCTCTTATGTCCACAGGTTAGGTTACATACAATGCAGATATTGAGGTAAAGAATCCGAGCCGCATTTGAGCCGCATTCACATGATGTAAAAAGCCTGCTATACCGTGCATGTGTGATGATGTCGGCAGGGAGGAGTTTACACGACTCGTCATGACAGCCGACATCCGGTTAAATCACAGCCGCAGCCGCACCTTCCCACGCTGGTATCGCCTACGATCTGATCCCAAGAATCCCAAGCTGTATCGGTCTAACCTGCACCCTGTCGTACTCACTAGCGTATGATGTCAGCCAATTACAGCCCAGCCGCGATCTTCGCAACAAAGTTCACTGATTTGCTGCATCTATTGTTGAAGCGGAGCGTGGGGACCTTCGGACGTTGCATTGGATACACGGCAACAGAGCTTTGGTCCTGCAGTCGAGTACCGGTGAAATGTATCGACCTATTTACCCCTCCCGTGCCCCTCGCTCCTCTTGATCTTCGCTTGTTTACGTGCACTGCCTGGGGTGTCGCATACGCATCTTACATACTGTCGATGAACAAGGTGGATCGTTTGGATATACCATACGCTTGATGCCCGATCGTACAAGTATCCCAAGATAAAATGGAGGGAACAAACAAGGTAGACGCAAAGAAGGTGCAGGAGCAGGATGTCGAGCACCAAGTCGTGTATTGGGAAACGAGCTGTTTGGGCAAAGACGATATTCTACAGCTCGAACATACCGATCCCATCCTAAATGCTAAAATGCATCTCGTGAACAATGCGATTGACCAAGTAAGTGCACAGGCACACGTGCTCTAGACGCCGTTTACTAACTCGGTACCCACAGATTGGCTTCACTGGATACCATTGGAAGGTATACGCACTCTTCAAATGCCTTTGAGGCAATCCTGACTTCACCCAGTTATTTGTCCTGAACGGCTTTGGGTACGCAGTCGACTCCCTCATCCTCCTTATCCAATCCATCATCGCCGGTCAAGCCGCCCTCGAATTCCATCCCTCGTACCACAATGGACTTACCATTGCCGCCTATGTCGGTATGCTCACAGGTGCACTCTTCTGGGGTTTGACTGCCGATATCATGGGCCGTAAGATAGCTTTCAACGTCAGTCTTATCATCTGCTCAGTGTTTGCGATTGTAGCTGGCGCAAGTCCAAATTGGGAGGTGCTGGGGTTATTTGTGTGCTTGAGTGCTTTTGGAGGTGGAGGTAACCTGGTATTGGATACTGCAGTTTTCTTGGAGTACCTGCCGGGCTACAGGCAGTGGATGCTCACGCTCATGGCGGCCTGGTGGGGTATGAAGTCTCCTGAGTGCTCCCAAGTCAGAAGAAAAGTGCTTGGGCGGTAATACTTGAAGCTGACATTTGCATAGGCATCGGCCAGCTTATAGCAGGTTTCCTTGCATGGGGTTTCATTCCAAACTACAGTTGCGCTAATCCTTCCGTCGATGCCAGCGCTGCTCCTTGCACCAAGTCCAACAATCAAGGTTGGCGTTACGTGTGGTACACTTCTGGTTCCCTCGTCTTGGTCATGTCCATTCTTCGCGTCACAATCATACAGCTCAAGGAAACACCAAAATTCCTCGTAGGCGAGGGTAGAGATGCAGAGTGTGTGGAGACATTACAATTCATCGCAAAGAAGTACAACCGCCCCTGTAGCCTCACGCTCGAACTCATGCAGGAATGCGGAACTGTAGATCGCGCTCGAGGGGGGAAGAGCAAATGGGGCTTCGGGGAGGTGGGTATGCATCTTCGCGGATTGTATGCGACCAAACGAATCGGTATCAGCACCACTCTCATCTGGCTCTCCTGGACACTTATCGGCCTTGCTTACCCGCTGTACAACGTTTTCCTGCCGGCTTATCTCGCTTCTCGTGGAGCACAGTTTGGTCAGACTAGCGCATATATCACATGGCGCAACTACACGCTTGTGAACTTCAGCGGTATTTGGGGTCCAGTATTGGCGGGATGGATGTGCGGGACGAGACTGGGAAGGAAGTACACAATGGTCATCGGTGCGCTGGTGACGATGGCATTCTTCTTTGCGTATACGCAGGTCAGGACTGCAACGCAGAATGTTGCATTCACGTGCATCATCAACTTCTGCCTCAACATCTATTACGGTACATTGTAAGTAGATGCCAAACAGACAATGTTTAAGTATGCTAACTAAGGCAGGTATGCGTACACGCCAGAAGTGTTACCCAGCGCGCACCGAGGAACAGGTAACGGAATCGCCATCGGGTGGAACCGTGTCATGGGTATCTTGAGTGCCGTCATTGCTACGGTCGCCAACGTGAGTCTCCAACCATACGCTTGTGTACGTAACTTGCTGATTCTCTTACTACAGACTGGTACTCCGGTCCCGATCTACATTTGTGCAGCACTGTACATCTTCATGGCTGCCATTGCGGTTGCCTTTCCGTTCGAACCGTATGGGAAGAGAAGCTCATGAGTGGAGGAATGTGTTGGACGTATCGAGTACGTATAGAATAGAAGAAGGTCAAGGGAGCGGCGGCTGTTTGCTTGAATATGTTCGATACCCAATCTGTCCATGTATCATGCGGGAATCTTCCTGGGAGGGGTCTCACAAGGCTCGGGCTTGGGAAGCGGGGTCATGAGTAGCTAGAATGATGCTCACGGACCTGACTGTGCCAGTATCATGCTTGTCTGCGAACACAAGTGAAGCACTGCGCAATTGTTATACATCACCTGAGATAAGGCGAAAAGGGCGCTTGCAGCACGTGCGTTAACAGTAGTTTCCCGAGGCGTGGAAACCGAAGTGTCGGGCCATTAGGTCGCGACAATAGCCCCGCCCTCGACCATCAACTCTCGCGCAGCCCACCCTCCGTTGCCTTTACACGACCATAGCCACAGCCAAGATGCAGTCGCTACCAGATGCACGATCGCAAAGCTTCGAGGAGCTGTATGGCCCTCCGGAGAACTTCCTGGAGATCGAGGTAGGTCCAAGAGGAGCCTCTTAAGCCTCGTTTCTCCCACAGCCTTGCTCACATAGTCGCGTGCACAGGTCAGAAACCCAATGACGCATGGTGAGTGGGACGCCTGGAGTCGCAGCATCATGATGCTAATGCAGAGTATAGGCGTCGGTCGCGGCATGTACACAACCTACGAAATCGTGATGCGCACCAACATTCCCGCCTTCAAGCTCAAGTCGTCGACCGTACGCCGCCGGTACAGCGAATTCGAAGCATTCCGCGATATCCTGGAGCGCGAATCAGCGCGCGTAACCATACCGCCCCTGCCGGGCAAGGTGCTCACAAATCGCTTCTCAGACGATGTGATTGAGCACCGACGGGAAGGCCTCCAGCGCTTTCTGCAGATAGTAGTTGGCCATCCACTGCTGCAGACTGGCAGCAAAGTGCTGGCTGCTTTTGTACAAGGTCAGCCGACACTTGGTCTAGGAAGTAAAGCATGGCTAACATATGCCAGATCCGAACTGGGACAGACATGCCTGGTAGAGGGCTCTTGTGCTGACCGTCTTTGGTTCAGATTAACGTCACAGACGCGATCAACCATGTAATAAGGGAAGACTCTTTCGGCTTCCTGCGTTTCCTGCGTAATGGAGCGATTAGGCGTTCTTGTCAGGTTGTCACTTGGGGGTCTTTGTACGTTGCCAAGGGTAGTAATATGGAGAAAGCATCACTTGATGCAGTTCTAGTTCTCAAATGCTACAAAAGTATCCAAATCAACAGGGTCGTCATAGGGACTGCTGGAAAGTCTGTCTTAGTTGCCGGGCTGCATGCGTCACACTCGTCCCGAGTAGTTCAAGACAGGCCCGATATGAGCGCATCCAGTACCCCCACGGCGAGTGATGCCGGTCGGCGGGGACCAGAGCTGGCTAGAACGATTGTCTAACAATTTGACATCAGCGGCGACGTCCTCCGCGCAGCGCTAGTGATACAATGAGGAAGGCGCGGGGTCGGTCGCTGCAAAAGTTTTTGGTGCCGAACCGTCTTAACTTGACCCTGCATCCTCGGCTTACATTGAATTAATTCATCTTCAACTTCTATCGTCACGTCAAAAAGGTACATTTCTAACCATGGGCGTTCCTTCACAACCGGCGTCCAACGCCATCATATACCTTACTCTAGGTGCCTTCTTGTGAGTGAACGTGACGCTTCAAGAATCAGAATGTTGAATTGATGTATGAACCAGGGTCCTGGGATGCTTCGTCGCATGGAAATTGCGACACCAGTCCAAGTCGGAATGGTTGTCCAGCAACCGTACACAGAAGGGTTAGAAGAAGCCGTCAAGCCGGTTGCACAGCATTAGTGTTTCCCAGACTTTGCGCAACTGCGCGAGACTTCTCGCCTCCTCCAACGCATGAATTACTGACTCTGGCCAGGCGTTCCGCTCGCTTTGAATTTCATCGCATCGGGTGAGTGCATTCGTGCACCAATGCTTTCCACATGAAGAGCAGCGGCAGTATCGGCATTGCGATATCACTATTATCAAACGCCTGTACAACCATGTTGTCATCGGAGCGCGTGTTCTTGCATGAGTGCTTGAAATCCTCTAGGTTCGTATTAAGATCTCTCACAAAAGTTGCCCCCGTATCGCTATCCATGCGGCCAATGTGGTTTCCATGCAGTGATATGGGGGCAGTCTTTTGTGCGGCTACACTGCGGGCGCCGAACCAAGGCTAGATTCAAGAACTCAGGATGTAATATCTGGGGTATTTGCATCTGGTCCAGGAGAAGCTGAGAAGTACCGTAAGAACTCGATCAAGATAATACTTGCGTGAGGAACGTGCTGCCGCTACTCCCCCCATATCCCCGAATTGATGCAGTAAGCTGACCTAGGTTTCTCTCATCCATAGCTCTCGGATCTGGGATTCTGTTCACTTACCCTCAGATTGCCACCATCGCTGGTGTGCAAGGTCTGCTGGTCTACGCGATGTCTTCGGCTCTACCTCTCCTGATCTTTGGTGCGCTGGGTCCCATTATCCGCCGGAAATGTCCAGAAGGCTTCGTTCTGACGGAATGGACGAGGCAGCGTTACGGAGCGGCCGCGGGTCTGTTTCTCAGCGTCTGCACACTCATCACCATGTTCTTGTACATGGTGGCTGAACTGTCGGCACTACAACAGATTGTCAACCTTTTGACCGGACTGAACGGCCTGCCGGTAGTCATTGTGGAATGTGCAGTTACTACCATCTACACCTGTAAGACATGGCGCTGCTTTTGATGAAATCTGAACTGATTTCTCCAGCACTCGGTGGCTTCAAAGTATCCTTTGTAACGGACAACATCCAAGGAGTAATGGTCATTGGCCTGATCATCATGGGTATCATTGCCGTGGGCGTTGAAACGAAAATTGATCGTTCACTCATCGACAAATCCGGCTATCTCGAATCCAGTCTTCTTGGATGGCAGCTCATTTACATCCTCCCTGTTGCAATCCTGACTAACGACTTCTTCCTTTCTGGATTTTGGATGCGCACCTTTGCTGCTCGTACCGATAAGGACCTTTGGATCGGAGTCTCGCTTGCCAGCGTAGGAGTACTTATCATCCTGACCCTACTTGGTGTGGGTGGAATGCTCGCTGCATGGTCTGGCGCTTACACCATTGGCGACGAAGCAAACGGTTCCCTGGCTTTCTTCCTCCTACTCGAAACACTACCTGCTTGGGTTGTTGGCGTGATTTTAGTAATGACAATCTCCCTCTCTACTGCCGCATTCGACTCGTTCCAGTCGGCCATGATCAGCACTGGAAGCAACGATTTCTTCCGCAACAAGCTCAACATCTGGATTATTCGTGCTTGCGTCGTGGCACTCATCTTCCCTGTTGTTGTTGTTGCACTACGCAGCCCGGACATTCTCCAAATCTTCTTGATCAGTGACCTTGTTAGCGCTGCAGTTGTTCCTTGTTTGGTCATTGGCTTGAGCGATAGGTTTTACTGGTACCGCGGGTTTGACTTTGTAGTGGGTGGGCTTGGTGGTGTCTTTACCATCTTCTTGTTTGGACTTGTCTACTACGATGGCGATGCTACAAAGGCCGGGAAACTGTTGTTACTGGAAGGTGGATTGTACGGAAATGACTGGAGTGCTTTCGGTATGTCTATTCATACTTCCTAATTTACGGCTCACTGATTATCAAACAGGCGCCTTCGTGGCCGCGCCCTTTGGAGGCCTTCTTTGGGCTTTCGGTGCTTGTGCTCTTCGCATCAGCTTCTTGTGGATCAGGGCTAGGGTTCAAGGCACGCGATTCGACGCGTTTGATCGCCCCATTCCTCTGAACAACGACGATCACGATGGCGATGCGGTGCTTGAGCATAGCAGCGTTGAGACTGGTACCAAGGGAAGATTCTTCTAGAACCTACATCCAGATTGATAAAGACCTAAAAAGACATGGTTCTATGCGACGAGTATTAGACTATGAGGGGATGAGGGGGGAGAATATATTGGGTGGAGACATACACGAAGCGGAAGGATAAACTGCTATCAATTAATCCTAATACATTCTTTCTACGTGGATTCTTGAAGTTGGTTTCGAATGTGAAGTCGTTTTACTGCAGTAAAAATGTTCAACTTCCAGACGTTCTGACTATGCTGAGCACCAGTTCGCATGGCCAGGTACCCTGTACGTCATGTCGCGTGGAGTTGAAGTGGGGGCGGGGCAGATCTGCAGGGTTCAAGTCGCAGCTTTAGAATCAAAAGATTTGACTCAATTTAGGCACCGAGTTACTACAACGCGAACATCTGATCCTGTCTATCACCCCAGTTTAGCCTACATTGAAAGTCAGCCGGTCGGTCCTATCCTCTAAACCGCAAACATGCAGATGCCAGATATGCCCGTCAATGTCCCCATCGACGACCCCAACGCGGACACGGAATGGTGAGCCTGATCACTAGGAAACCAGCCAGTACGCGGCATGTCACTAACCCAATACTTCCTAGGAACGATATCCTCCGCAAACATGGCGTCATCCCTGAGAAACCGCCATCGCCCACGCCCATGATCCAAGAAGCCCTCGAACAAGCCCGCACACTCGCGCACGAAAACCGATTAGAAGGTAAAGACCTCGACGAACTAGCCGAGCTAGAAGATGAAGAAGATGAAGACTTCCTCGACTCATACCGCAAAAAGCGAATGGCAGAACTCTCTACCATAACCACGGCCTCGGTCTACAACCAAGTCTACCACCTCCAGAAACCAGACTACTCGCGCGACGTGACGGAAGCGAGTAAAAACGCATACGTACTTGTACTTTTGACGAGCTCAACGGGGACGAATACGGAGAGCAGGGTTATGATCGAGCATTGGAGGGAGCTGGCGAAGCGGTTTGGAGACGTCAAGTTTTGTCAGATGAGGGCGGATTTGTGTATTGAGGGGTATCCGGATAAGAATACGCCGACGGTGTTGATTTACAAGGATGGAGATATCAAGAGACAGATTGTTACGCTGATGCAGTTGGGTGGGCCGAGGACGAGTGTGCAAGGTGAGTTGTGCTTTTCCACAGATGATATCCTTGATATTGGAGATTGGAGATGTGGTACTAACATATGTGTTCTAGATCTGGAGAAGGTCCTGGTAGATGTTGGTGCGGTTAAACTGGGAGATTCGCGCCTTCAGCGGAAGAAGGATGATGAAGATGATAACCAGAGCAAGATAAGACAAGGCAATACTGCGGCCGACGATGAAGATAGCGATTGGGATTGAAGCAAGAACGGAAAGTTTAATTCTTTCCTGGACTGCCACACTTTTACAGCACGTCGCAGCCCGTGGTTTTGATCTACCCCGGATATAGAGTCATGTTGCGAGTGCAGAACACATTCACACTAAGCGACGTAGGCGATATGTATTGATTCCAAGTTGGGAGGCGTCGCACAACGCATCTTGGATTGTCTATTGGGCGGAATCGGAGATGTTGTATTTAAATAGGGCAGACATGTAAGCGCAGTCTAGACGGGAGCGGTACTACAGTACAAAAACCGACATATTCGAGCCGTGCAGTATATATATCAGATACCACTCCTTTGGTCATTTTCTATAGGGTGTTTACCTTGATTCAAGATAAACGTGACCTAGGCTCGTAGACCTACCTAGCCAACCATCCTTCCTACCAGCACTACTGTCTGTATTGGGATGAAATCAAGTAAAGGTAGGATATGAATCAGGTAAGCGTGTTACATATAAATCTCGCATGATACATACATCTTCGAGCCTTATTACTTCAACGCCTTACACATTCTTCCCTGTACCTTCCCCAGATTTAATGCACACATGCAAGTAGCGTCCGCCCGGCCGGCTAATATGCCCTCAGCTGGCGGGTCGCGCGGGACGCGGACCTTTGTTTGACATGCCCAGGTGATATAGGCAAGGGCCCTTGTTCACGGAAACGGGAGCTGACTGGGGCGCAAGTGGCTTAGTCTTGTCTTGTTTGATACTCTCGGTTCAAAGTAAAATGAGGAACTACATCACAGTCGGGTTGGTGGACTTTGCAATGCTGGAGGGTTCAGTCATGGAGTATTGGATGTGGGCTGAGATGGGACGAGACGAGACGAGACTAGACGGGATGGGATGAAGAACAGGTGGTTGGAAAAGGGCAATGTCATTAATCATATCAAGTTTTTTTCATGCTAGGTGACTGGACGGAACTGATACTAGCATTAAGAGACCAGCGCCAGCAAAGCAGCTGTACTCTGTATACTTTCCGCATGCCCATCCAAGCCACGTGCCTCCAAACGCCCAAACACCAACATGAAGCAAGAAACTGAGCTAAGCGATCGGGTATCGAAGAGAACGAGAGAGCGAGAGGGGAGTGAAGATTTCCTTTTCACATGTATCAGAGTCTCAAATAAGTTCATCTCCCCCGCATCGTCTCGACTCCTCGACGGCCTGCCAAATAGCGCTCTCTTCAAACACGGGCCCATGGCCATCGCATTTGGCCGACCCCTTGAGCCGCTCACACACATCAGCCACATCAACAAGTCCTTGCTTGACAAGCGGATGCTCCTGTATGACGTCCCAAGCCTGGTTAGCGGGCACCTCTTTGCCCTTTGCCCTGTGGCGCGAATGTTCTTTATCCGCGGCGTTGAGCACGCTGCCGTTGGTGAGCGACTGGATCGTGTAGTCATCGTGCATTTCCTCGTCTTCGTCGGACAGCGAGGGCAGGTGGGCGCCGGGCGAGGGGTAGCTGGCCGAGACGGGGCGCGATGCAGCGGGCGAGTGACCGCTTGTCGCACGGAGGATCTCGTTTTCCGTGCGCGCGCGTGCGAGGGCGGCTTTCAGGCGTTCGTTGTCGGATTGCAGTGAATGTGTGCTTGATTCTAGGGCGGAGAGCTTCGTCTCGAGTTCCTTGACATGGCGTTCTTTGCGCTCGCGGAAGGCGCGCTGACTGTGAATATGCGTTAGAAGAGGCAGCTAATAGTAGCAAGAGGGAATCAAAGCAAATAAACATACGCCGCCCTATTTTGGGCCTTGCGCCTGCTCTGCGCAGGCGTCAGGTTATCCTTCTCCTCGCTGCTGCTGCGGGTGCGGCTCCCCCGGCCATCGTCAAACTCGGCACCAATGCCCGAGTCTACGCTGCCGACAGGCATGGGTGTGTGTGCGGCCACGTTATCCGGAGAGCCCTGCTGGGGCGTCGGCAGACCGTTGTTGAAACCAAACGATGCAGCATCGTAGGATGCTGCAGCTGCTGGGAATAAGATGGGGTCGAGCTGTTCCTACCACACCCACCCCAGGGTAACACATTAGTCAGAGCTCTCTCTCCTTTCCCCGTAAAATGCGCAAATCCACACTTCAGCCTGAAAACGCGGGGTCTTTCTCGGACGTGGCGCGCGTACCCAAACCATGGGCGGTGAGAAATTCAAAAGAGAACGTATGAGAGAGATGGAGAGAGAGCAAGCATGTGCTACAACTTACAATACTCCGCGTAGTATCCGGCTCCGCTCCGGCGTGGGCAAAAGAGTGCGAATTCATACCCAAGAAATGGTCGTAGGGCTGTTGTGAAGCGCCAAAGTAAGTGTAGTCCATGGTCGACCGTTGTCTCCGTCTTGCCGATTGTCTTGATTACTGTGTCGTAAGCTTCACGCTACGCATTCCGGCTTGTCAAACCAACTGGTTTATAAGGACCGAATAGACACCGTTGAGCAGCAGATCTTTGCCGCAAAATCAAACAAAAACTCCGGGGTGCGGCGGCGGCGGGGGAAGACGTCGAGTCTACGTATTTATATGACCCGATCGAACAGCTGAGGCATCCTCGACCTTATATCCCAGCCCGGCTTGGTAGGGATGGGAGCTTAGAGGTGCTGCTCACTTCCGCTGTTGCCAGCCATGAGCCATGCATACGAAAAAGACCCCAGTAAACCGTCTTTGGGGCCGGCGGCCTGCTTAGTCGGCCTCTCTCTTCCCAACCACTGTTCGTGGCCGTGGCCGTGACCTCAAGCCCGCAATGGGACGCCTGCATGCCGAACAAGCCTCCTGTCGCCACTTTCTGCACCGTCGAGCCATTTCTCCACCCACAAACTACGCGGCATGCTGCTAGATGGTCTTTCTCATCTAGCACCTGATAATTGCCCTTCATCACCTCTAGTCACCACTGTGGCTGAACATGGCAATGTCGATTGCTGATGCTGCCTTCCAGGGACGCACGAGCATGCTCAGCGGAACCTGTGCTGACTGCAGCTTCGCAATCATTATCCTGTCCAACCGCAACATACCGGCTTAACTTGAGCCTCTCCTCTGAAGAAAAACCAATGTTCCCCACTCACAATTGTTACTGCTGACGGACAGACTGGCGTTAACCCCGCCCGCCTCTGTAACCCCTCGTGCTCGGAGCAAACCGAAAGGTCATCCTATTGTTCAAGAAGAAAGTTTGGACATGGCCGTGGTACTCCGAACTTGCCTCGTGAGCAATTCAAAGTTTGAACCTCTGCCAGTCCAGAGCTGGAGCTGGAGCTGGAGCTGGAGCTGGAGCTGAAGACTGCCCCCCCCCCCCCCCCCCCCCCAACCGAGATGAGAGGACGAGGTTATCACTTACTCACAGGCCTCCCGTTAGTGCTGTCAGCACTAGGCCTACCTTCAATTAGCCCACACTCCCTGCATACATCCCTGGGCGAATCGTCTCCTGCTTCACTTCTCGGCGACGCGAAGCCTACTGACTTGTTCATACTCTTGTTTTTGCTTTGGATTTTCTATTGGCCCAGCGACTACAGAACATGTATCGTAGCTGCTCTTAACAGTACACATATATACTCTTCACGCACCCCAAAAGGTAGCTATCATGTCTGTAAACCCTCAAACTTGTCGCCCTGCATCTGCTTCACTTGAGACTAGACCAACTCGTACTTTAATAACCCCTCGCTCGACCCCTCCACGCACACGCACATGCATATGTGAGCCAAGCAGTTTCGAAATGGTAGTACATGTCTTGAATACATGAAAACGCTTTGATGAGTTAACTAGGCATGACGGACGTCTGGTCATCATCGCCCGATTCTAACAAGCACAAACTCCCCAATGTCATCATGTCCCTCCTATACCCTGCCATGACCCATCATCAAATCGTAGCGGATGTAGAAAGAAAACGAACGCCTAGCTTTTGCTACTTCAAACTTACTGTTGTTCCCTCTTCCAACGAGGGACGTACTTTCCGCCTCCTGCAGCTGGTGCTGGAGTTTGTGCAGACTCGCCATCCGCCTCACGAGCTGGTGCGTCACGGCGTGCACCAGGAGCAACATAGCCGCCAGTAGCAGCAGGAGACGCTTTGCGGTCGCCCCATCGGTCACCACCACGAGAAGCCTCATAGCGACCACCGGTAGCAGGAGACTCAGTACGCTCGGGACGCTCAGCGCGGGCAGGAGGCGGTGCACGGCCACTGCCGCTGGCCTCACGTTCGCGCCATCCACCTCCAGGAGCACCGCCTTGACGGAGAGCTGGTGGGACGTATCCACCACGCTTGGGAGGTTCCGCATCGGCAGCGGGGGAAGCAGCTGCGGGTGTGGGTGCGGGTGAAGTGCTGGTGGGGGGAGGGGCTTGGCCAGCAGCCTTCATAGCCTCACGGTCTCGCCAGCTGGGCTTGCCGCCAGGAAGAGCAATCTTAGGCGGGCCAGCAGCCGAAGGGGACTCGGCAGCTGGCTCGCGGGTGAAGGTACGGTCCGGGACAGCGCGGCTTGCACCCGCCGCAGCTTTCCGCTTGGCCATTGCTTCTTCCTCACGCTGGGCCTGGAGACGAGCAATTTCGTCCATTGCACTGTAAGGTGTTAGTATACGGTCATGGAAATGCAATGGTGATACTGACGCTCGCTCTTCGTCCCTCTTCGCCTTCATTTCGGCCAATCTCGCACGCTTCTCTTCTTCAGCCCTGGCCTTGGCCTCGGCTTCCTCCCTCTCGCGCTCTTCTTCTTCGCGCTGGCGGCGCTCAGCCTCCTCGCGTTCCCTCTTCTCCCTAGCAATACGCTCCTTGACCTCCTTGACGCGTGCAGCCTTCTTGCTCTCGAGCTCCTTCTGTGCGATCTTTTGGCGCTTCTCGAACTCGGCCTTGCGCGCCTGTTTCACAGTGGTAACGAAGTCTTGATATGGCTTCACCAGTCTTGACAGACGGTGCTTAAGAGCAACGTCTTCCTTGTGCTTTTCTTCTGCCTCCTTGAGTTCTTCAGCCTTGGCCTTTTCGTATGCCGCGAGATCAGCCTCCTGCTGCTTCTCGTAATCGGTCTTGAGGTGCTTGATTTCCTCCTTACGGTAAGCTCGCTCCAAATGATCGATACGCTTCCCGGCAATACGGAGCTGTTCGCCTAGCTGGTTCTTCTCCCGCTCAAGTGCTTGGAGCTTCAAGATACGAATCCTCTGGGAGTCTAGATCATCAAGATCTTCAGGGAGCTCAATGTCAACCTTGGTAGTCGCCTTGAGCTCCTTGATCTGCTTCTCCATCTCCTCACGCTGAATTCGCTTCTGTTCAGCCTTGACACGCTGCTCAGCACGTTGCTTCTGCTCTTCTGCCAGACGTCGAGCCTCCTCATCCTTCAATTGTTGTTGGCGGATGAGCCTCTTGGTCTGCTCTTCATTCTCCTTGGCCTGTTGAGCCTTGAGGGCAGCTTCCTTCTTCTGCGAAATGATGTCGCGGCGAGTCAGGATCTCCTGGTGCTCCTTTTCGGCGCCTTCCTTGGCCCGCGCAAGAGCAGCCTCCTTGGCGCGTTGACGGTCTGCGTTGAACGAAGGGTCGACATATTGGCAAGTGACGTAAAGTGACTTGGCGAGACGAGTAAGCTGAGATCGCACAATCTCCGCTGGGGTGCTCTGTAGACGCTGTACGGAGCGCGACTCGGTCTCGGCAGACCCTCCACCAGATCCAGGGTGCATGGCCTTTGCAGATGAGAAGACATCAGAGTCAAAGGTGAGAACACCGGTAGCGTGGTCGGTTCGGATGGCAAGGTCGCCCTTCTTGCAGCCGTTCATGATGAACTTCTCAATAGTGCCGGCGCTGACGTGGAAGGGCTCGGGGAATTGCGCAAGGCCGAGCACGAACTTGATCTCGACGGAGTCATACACTTGGGACAGCTGCTGGAAGAGGCGGGTGAGGATAACCTGCTGGAGGGGACCAACATATTTCTCCATACCCTCATCAGCACCAATTTGTGAGAGAATTGGCGAGATCTTCTTGCAGATGGAGAGAGGGTGAAAGTCAACCTCAAGGATGTTGTAGAGGTCACGGATCTCGGGACGAGCACGTTTGAGAAGACCCTTGCTGAGGGCATCCTTGAACAGGATAGCACGTGTAGGAGCTTGAGACATGCCGAGCAAGTTAGTGAGGCGCGAGTTCTTGTTCTTCCTCGCCTCGTCAACGTCGACGAGCGCTCCTCGGGAACGAGATGTGCTGATGACGGGAATGGCGAGGGCTGAGAGGAGAACGAAAGAGGCAGCCTTGGTCATGTCGGCCTCGGTAACAGCTGGGTTGTCCTTCTTGGGGCTCTGACCAGAGGCAACGGCGGCTGCGGACTGGCGGAGGAGGTTGTAGTAACGGCTGTATGCGGCAGCGTGGAACAGGTAGTTCTCGCTGACCAAGAAGATACGGGTAAGCTTCTCGAAGTAGTTGGCCATCATGATGTTCTTGGCCGGGCGCTTGCTCAAGCTGAGCAGTGTGTGGATGTCCTCTACACTGCGGAAAGCTTCCTGCCATAGCTCAAGCTCGACGGCTACGTTCAGCTGTTGGAAGCGGGTATCCAGATGGCGTTGGAGGGTGTCAGGGTCGGACAGGTTGATGGCGTGCATCTGCGAGGAGAACTTGGCGGCATTTTGCAGATGGTTGCGGAGCAACTCGCAGAGACGGCGGAACTCGGTCTTACGGGCGTACTTTGAGCAGAACTGGAAGGCCTGGTGGGCGGTCGACTGGTACATGAGCTCCAGACGGGCATTGTTCTTGAAAATGTCTAGGACAGTGCGGTATGTCTCCCATAGGAACTTGAGCCATGGCGTGACGATGGCACGGTCGGTGCGGTCGCGCGACTGCTCGCCAGAGACGGTAGAGAGGAGGATCGACTCTGGCGTCTCTGTGGCCTCAAGATCGTCGACATTCTTGTCGTCAGAGGGCTCGAGCGAGGACTGAACCTCGTCTGCCTTGGCCTGGGCCTCGGTGACCTTTTGCTCTGCGAGTTCAATGAAGCGCTTGAAAACGGTCTGGGCCATGTATTAGTTCCCGACTGCAGAGCAAAAAATGCACATGTCTCACCTCGATGGTGCCCACGTTTGTGTTCTGGGCCGTGTTCTTGTACTGGTACAGGCCATCCTTTGCGAGCTTGCCCTTGCGCAGATCGACACAGAGTTCGACAAAGAGAATCATCACGGGCTCAAGCGAGGCGATGGGACTGTTACGGGTCCGCTTCGAGGTAACATGTTCGTGGAGCAGTTGGAGGGCAGCCTGCTGCTGCTCGACTCCGATGAGTTCCTGTGCTCGTTTGCTGTGTTGCGTTAGAGGATGATATCTAGAGAGCGCATCTGGCTATGCCGTGGCGGGGCGTACAGAGTGTTCTCGGGCTTGGAGTGGGGTGGCGGCGCCATGCTGGGCAATTTGATGTCGCGGATCCAACTCGTCGAGTCGGATGGGCTTTATAGCGGGCAGGCGACGCAGCGAAAGGCTTTTGGGTTTGCGGTGTTGAAATCGCGTCTCACCACACACTGGGGTCACTTTCTGCAAAATGGTTGTGGTAGGTCTTAGTAAGCGAGCTATTCCCGCGACCACGGCCACCCAAGTAAGCCAGCTATCCCCGCAAATGCAAGACACAAACGCTACGGGGTGCGTCAGGGTCGAGATGGCCTCTTGCAGTCGGGGCGCTGCAGGCTCACCAAGGCCAATTTGGTGGACAGCTGTCGCAGTGCGAAGTGACTACTGGGTGGGTGCTGGTATTTGCAGTGCAGGTGCAGGCACCGTTGTGGTTTGGTCGCGTACTCGCAGCCGTAAGATTAGCGACGGGTCACGGTGGTGGTTGGCTGTCGGTGAACAATGCGCTGAGCTCCAGGTGGTTAAACCCAATATGGCGCTATACCGCAACCGACACTGCCCGACGAACAGACCCGTCAAGGGGATGATGGCTCCTCTTCTCTAACCAACCTCTCCTGCTCCCCGTGATTCACCTGTCGCCCACGTCTGCAACTTCCGCCAACACGCCTTTCGCAGCAGCCTCGCCCTCGCGCTGATATAGGCGGCAGGCTCATCCGGCTGGCCGTCCTCGCTCCTTACCCTCCCTTTTCCACTACTTCTGCTTCCATTTGACGCCGCACGCCCCGACCGACACTTGACGTCGCACCACGACGCATCACATAATAACAACACAACCCACACGACCCATCTCATTCTACCATAACCCCGCCCCTTACGGCTTAATACAGCGACGCGCACAATGTCCGCCATGATGACGGCCGCGCCTTACGAGATACGGACGGGTGGTGACGGCAAGAGCAAGAAGCAGAGCATGGCCGAGCTCAAGCTGCGACGTCTCACCGAACTCAACCAGCGCCTACGAGAGGACCTCGAGCGACGCAGAATACCCGTGTCCGAGGCGGCATTAGAGTACGTCGACGGTGCCAAGTGGCAATGGGCACAGAAACAAGACGGCTAACGCGGACTCGCAGTCTCATTGCATTCACGGACAAGGAACCAAAAGACTGGATGGTTCCATCACGATGGGGGACGGTCAGTAGACGCGCTCCGACGTGTCCTTGTGCACTGCTAACGCACCCGACAGATTGACAAGCGCGACGACCCCTACGCGCCGCAACAGAGTAACGGCTGCTGCATCGTAATGTGAAGGATGAGAAAGATGCAGAAAGTCATGTCCATTACCGGCGTTCTGCGGCGCCCTTTTACACGGCAGGGACTGGTTTCTTTTTACTCTTTTGGACAAGGTTGATAATACCCCAAGGACCCCAAGTCGCGCACAGCAGTCCTGGGAGCGAAGCTATCGGACGGGTCATGTACTTCTTTTCAGCAATGTAAATTACCAGCGACGGCAGGGCTCGCTGCTGACTGATGGTTGCAGCGCAGCGGGGGATTTGTGTGTCTTCTTTTATATGCGGCCGGGGCGGCTTGCTAGTTTTTCAATTACGAGATAAAAGCGTTCTCAAATAATAATCTCATGTCCACTTCCATTTCCACATCGACTTGGACTTGTCCACTCGCACTCTGTTTCTGTCTCTGTCTCTGTCTCTGTCTCTGTGGTAACTACGGCACATCCCGATCCCGAGCTGTGCACCGGGCGGACGCTTGCTGGAAAGGGTAGGTCACCACCGAGTGGGCAAACGAGATTAACAGGGCGCGAAGGCTTGGCTAGTAGCATCAACAGCCGTAGTCAGTCGCATGGTAGCCAGTTGATGGCATGGCCGCCCAATGCGTCCGACGCAAACAAACAATGTCGTCGCCCTATCCAATGCAGCCAGGTCGAAAAAGCAAGCTTCTACCTCTAACCAAGGGGCTGGGCATGTCCAAGTACAGGCAGGTGGTGGTGTATGTAAGCGGAAGATGATTGCACGTGATCAGACTGCTGACCGGAGAGAAGAGGTACCGTCACCGTCGCTAACTTACCGTGTCGCTGGTCGCTGGAGGATCATCAATCGCCAACGTCTTGCGACATGGCGCCGGCCAAATGTCCCAAATGGCCACGACCGAGAGCGACGAACGAGTGGTATGCAGGCCGGCACTTCGCCTACGGTGACATGTAATTAGTTTAGGCGACGGCGCACTATTGGCCGACTAGTCGTGTGTCGACAGTGTGCCTTTTCGAGTCGCTGGGAGCCTGCAGCCCGCCGTCTTTGTTGATTGTTGCATCCCACGCGCACGAGTCAAGCCAGGTCGGAGACCCAAGTCGACCATGGCCACCAACATGACCGTCATTGCAGACGACATATCATCAAGCCATTAGGGCCGAACGTCATGGGGGTACTGCGCCTGAGCTGCGGCACATGGCAATAGGCTGAGGGCGCAAATGCCAGCTTTGCAAGCCACACACCCTCGAGATGCGCGGGCGACTCTCCCATTCTTATCAAATCGCCGTGGGGGCCTCAGCGCACCCGGCCTCTTCTCGTGCAGTGCCTCACAAGTTACAACCCTCAACCTGACCCTCTGACGACACTTGCCTCCGCTACGTACTGTAGAGGGCGAGGCCAGCGCCAGGTCCTTACACCGCTGCCAAAAGCGCAACAAGTTGTGTCACAAGTCCTACTGTATTGTCCATCCTCTATACGCATGTGAAGGAGCCGCACCGCTGGTCCCAATTCCGCGCCAACCCCACCCGTCCGTCACTGCGACCGCCAATTTTCTCTCCCCTCCGCCCGGGTTGCCGCTCAAGTCAAGTTATGAACAGCTCCACTGCACAGTCGTGGAACGCTGCTGAGCAGTTCGCCATGGACCAAAACCCCCAGGACTTCGCCGGCGCAGAATTCATCGACTTTGACAATCTGGATCTGCATTTCAACATTGATGGCTACAACCATGAGGCTCAGGCTTCGAATGGGAACCAGCTCGCCGATCTGTCCGACTCGCTCAACGTCCACCATCTCCAAGCCCAGTTTCCCCCGCAACTACCCCAGGACCACCGCGATGGCGCCAATCGTGGTCACCAGGTCCAAAATTTAGCAAATCATGGCATGTCGCAGTCCACGAATAGTTTCTTCGACTATGGCATGTCCCAGTACAGCCAGGCAGGGACACCGACATTTAGCCAGCCCCAAGACCAAATATATCGCCCACACCATGGTGTTCCACCAACGCCTAACAGCATAGAGATGCATGGCGACCCCACCCGCTATCTTCAGCAGTTGGACTCCCACCATGCCCTCTTCGACCAGAGATATCACATGCCCAAGGACGACGCGGTGCGTAGCATTTCACAGTGCCTATCAACTCCACAACTGACATACATAGACATTTACCCCCCTTGTCTCCCCCGCTGTTACACCCCATGATGCGCGCTTCCAGATCCCAGACTTTACCGTGCCGGGAGCCTACTTCAGCCCTCTGACGTCGCCCGCGCTGAACGCCCAGAGCCACCAGCATGCTCACCAGCAATCGCATAACACAACGTCGGGGAGCTCGACGGGACATTCACCAATTGATGTGGATATGGACATGCTGGGTGAGCCTGCCATCGTATCACAGGAACAGGTGAGGAGAAGTTCGCGGAGCACAAACAAAAGAACTCTGCCGCGGGCCAACGGGACCGGCCGCGTACGACAGTCTCCCATTGTGAAACCAAACAGGCGGAAAACAGCCATCTCTACACTGATCCCGTCAAAGGAAGTCAGCGAGCTCATGAAAGAGGTGCACTCGACACGACCATCGTCCAATGGCTTGGATGTGCATATGACACGTGAAAGCTCAGAGACCGACTCTATATCTCCTGAGCCCATGCTGTCTGAGATGCGCCCACCACCTAAGCCTGGCTCTTCGACAGCTTCTCCTGCCATAATTGCCCAGCGCAACAGCCATAACAGCACCCCGGCCACTCCAGCCTCTTTGATGCGCATACAACCCTCGCCCGAATTCAATGGCCACCAACAAGCACCGCCAATGCTAGAAGATCTCACTCTGCCCGAAGCGTCCTTAGACCGACCGGATTTGTCGAGAATAGACACTGCTATCCGGGACGAGGATCACGATACGCCTCGCATGTCCGCGCGGAAAACACCGAAGCTGAACCCTTTGAGCACACCTGGTGGATCCATTTCAGGCCGCCCCAGCCCAATGATGGACGCCATGTCCACACCGACAAGCCCGGCATTTGCTATGACCAACGGTAAGAAAAATGCCAAATCGGCACGCAACCCGAAGAAGAGAAACAGTGTGAGCACGAGTCTTGTCAGCCCTGCTTTGAGACCCAAGATCTCGCCGAGTATAAAGCCTCTACTACCTGACGGAGGAAGTGGTAAGTTGATCATTTGACATGGTTTATACAGCCTGTTCTAACTCGTAGTAGGTGGCGCAGACAGTACACACGCACTTTTGCTGGCATCCAAGTCAAATTACCAGAATATCCTCGATGGCACCACAGTCCCCGGCGTTGTCTACCCTACGTCCCTCTCTACCAATCTTACTTCAAAACGAACCTCGCACAAAATCGCCGAACAAGGACGCCGGAACCGTATCAATATGGCCCTCCAGGAAATGCAAGCTCTCTTACCCTCACCACAATTCGGCGCCACACCCGATGCCAAGAGCCCGGAATCGAACGCGCAAAACTCGAACAATTCCAAAGCAGCCAAAGTGGAGAGCGCCATTGAATACATCAAGCAGTTGAAGCAAGAAGTTTCTGAAAGAGACAATCTACTAACCCAGAAGGATCAAGAGATGGATGCACTGAGGAAGGAGCTGGCTGCGCTGAAGAGAAGTAGCTCTGAAGGTTCGGTATCTGAAGTTGAAGCAGCGTCACAGCCCAAAGCTGAACCCTATTCGAGCCCAAACACCGAAAACGAGACTTGAAGACTGATGGAACGGACGAGTTTTTAATCATCAACGCTTTATTTCCCGACGGAGACGTACAACCAGCAGTGTTTCTACGCGACCCTGCCGCATACCTTCCGAGCGACATCGACATGTCGATTCAGCTCTGACCGCACCTCACTACGGAAACTCTTGGGTCCACAGACAGTCTTGGAGGATGCGAAACTCACACACACAGTGTATCTGTGATGCCGCTGTTGAAAACAGTGTGCTTGCTATATTGGACTCCAAGCCCAAAATAAAATTGGCCAATACGTTATGTAATCAAGATGTAATAGAAGGAGTGGGGAAACGGGCCCAGGTAGAGAAAAAGGGACGTACAATGGGAAAGTCCTGTTTTTCTGCATCTGGTTTGGGCATTGTCGACTATGAGGGTCGGGCATGAATGACATGACACGAGGTTGGCCCATGATAGTAATGCATGGAAGGTTTCCAAACATCATGTTTGTTTTGGGATACATGTACCTGCTAGCTACAAAGGAAATACTTCAGAAGACGTTTGGTCAAACGCCTGTTTTGTTATTTGGTTAATGTTATGGTACCTTCAATGTATAGGCCTCGTGGCCATGTACAAATAGCTATCAGACCGACTGCTGACAATACATGTTCAAACAAAAGTAATCACCGAGTAAATAACCTTGTCACCAATTCAACACTGGCACATACAGCACCAAAGACATGTCAATAGTGTGGGAAATGGCACATATAAGGAAAACCGTGCATTTCTAAAGCAAGCATACTAAACACAATCACTCGCCCCGCCCGTCACCGTTCCCCTTTGAGCACAATGGTAGCAGCCTACATGTCCTTCTTCGTCCCCGGAAGCGGCCCCCTTGACGGAGATCCACCACCCATACACTAGCTGCCAACCAATTGCAACCCTTCGAGTCTACCAGCCAAGCTTCAGCTAAACAATCGTTTGCATTTACAATTTGTGTTCGTCCCCTGGTTAAGCTTTACCTCCCCACAAGCTGGCAGACATATCCGAAGGGGGGAAACTCAAGGAAATTACGTCAAAACCGCAAAAAGGACAAGGGGCAAGGGGGGATATTAATGCGAGGTGAAGCCGTAAAGCAAACAATGATCAGTGATCCACTGGAGAGCTGCCTAGTAACGTAGATGTGCAAGAAGCCCAAGATGATCCGTTGGCTCTAGTCGGTCAAGAGTTGTTGAATGTTGTCCGCCAGCCGAACTTTGTGCCAATTGAAGATATCGTTTAGGTCGAGCTCCCAGAGATACGAGATGGTCGTCAAGAAACCGTGGCCGTAGTGAATGCGACACAAAAGTGCCTCTCTAGTTCCGTACCAGGTGCCCGACGAATGGATCCCATGAACTGATCGATGAGGAGCGACGCCGTCCACAATGTTGCCAGGACGGCAATGCCGCATTTCCCATTCGTAGTACGCAGAACCGATTGCAAAGAAGCGGTTCCGCAAGAGTTGAGATGACGAATCAGAAGCCACATCAAGAATCAGTAGCCACCAGATGCATACTGGTCCCCACCACGCTTATTGGCCGAACGAAGCTGCCTGAAAAAAAAGAAGAAGGTTAGTAAGATCTGAATCTGACATCCCCCGCGCTAAGCGTTATCACACCAAACGCAAAGGAGAGGGTCCCTTACGAGGATCAGATATATCGAACTCACATTCCGGTGCCCTCCTGGCGTGCGTTGACCGGTCCACGCTTGGTGCCAGCTGCAGTACCAGCGTTAGCAGCAGCGGTGGTGGTTACGTGACGTCCGCGGCCCTTGTCGTCCTCTTCGCCCTGGCCCTGGTTGGCAGCCTGGGCGATGGCCTGGGCGTTCTTCTGGTACTTGTAGACGGTCCAGTCGAACACGTAGTCGTACTGGAAGCCTTCACGAACGAAGAGGTCGCGGAAGATCTTGCGCAGGTACGAGTAGTCGGGCTTGTCGTCGAAGCGAAGCGAGCGCGTGTAGTTGAGGTAGATGGCGAACTCGTTGGGGAAGCCACGGCAAAGGACCTCGGTGGGAGTCGTCATCTTCTTCTCCATGATGCGGTCGTATTTCTGCTTCTTGGTGGCCGCCTTAAGACCCTGCCAGGGGAGGGAGCCGCGGCAGAAGTAGAGCATGACGTAGCCCAAAGACTCCATGTCGTCACGGCGGGATTGTTCTGCGGACGTTAGCGTTTGGAAAGACAGATGGACTACGTGTACGTACCGACACCCAAGTGGGTGTTGATGCTGGCATAACGGGCGGTACCAGTCAAGTTCTTGTTCTCACGGTAAGGAATGTGGAAGTGAGTCTTGGGGTCACGGTACTTCTTGGCAAGACCGAAGTCGATGACGTTGACCTGGTTGCCGCGCTTGCCAATGCCCATGAGGAAGTTGTCGGGCTTGATATCACGGTGGATAAACGACTTAGCGTGGATGTACTCGATGCGGGAGATGAGCTGGTCGGCGAGCAGCAGGACGGTCTTGAGGGAGAACTTGCGGTTGCAGAAGTTAAACAGATCCTCAAGGGACGGGCCGAGCAGGTCCAGAACCATGGCGTTGTAATCGCACTCGGTGCCGAACCAGCGAACAAAGGGGATACCGACACCGCCGGCGAGCGACTTGTAGACGCGGGCCTCATATTCGAGCTGGGGGTGCTTGGCCTTGACGCTCTCGAGCTTGATGGCGATCTCCTCACCGGAGATGATATTGGTGCCTGTGGACGTCAGCTATGTTGGCGGGCAGCGGATAGCGGGCAGCAGCTACACACCGAGATAAATGTCACCGAAACTGCCGCTACCAATCTTGCGGCCAATTCTGTACTTGTTGCCGACACGGAGATCCTGCCACGGGTTAGCCTAAAACGTCCTACAGCGAGGTACTTGTGTCGTATCGGGACAACAAGCGGGGCGGGGGGACGTACCATTGTCGTCATGATTGCGGGAGGTTCAACCTTGAAGAGGTTGGCCTGTTGGGGAGGAGGTGGTAGTTGGGTGCGGGTCGAAAGTTGTGACGATGGGGCGGGATGGCGTTTTGAGGGTCAGGCTGCTGTGGGCGGACCGGTCAGTATGAGGCTTTTGCCAATAAGGCGGTGAGTAAGCGGAGCGGGCAGCCGAGGGACGCTAGTAGGAACAGTAAAAGAGAAGGAGAAAGAGGCTGGCGGACAAGGTGAAGGTGCAGGTGCAGGTGCAGGTGCAGGTGAATGCTCGGAGCGTGGTGGTGAGTGCTCAGCCAGGCCTCGGGTTGGAGGGCGGAACCGAATGATGAGCTGGGCAGGACTTACCTGTAGGGCGTGAATGAGCCCAACGAACAAAGGCGCCGACGTGCTTTTACGCGGAGCAGGGTTTGCACAATGTTAGTGCAAGTGCAGCGTATGGATGAAGCAGCTGCAGGCTACAGAGGAGCAGAGAAGGGCTCGGAGAAGTCGCACTGCAGCAAGGTGGTGGTGCTGTGTCAACGCGGATGGAGAGGACGGCGGCACAGAAGGAGCCAACTGCCTTGTATTCGGCTGGGCTGGGCAGCCCTGTCACGTGCAGCACTAATCCACCACTTTCACTGCGGCGGTGTATCAAGCCCAGCCCGCCTATCTGATGTGCTGATCCCTGGAGCCGGAAGAGAGGAGCCTGCCCACATTGGCAGGTCCGCTGCTTCTTGGGCGTGTATTTGTGTCCATGGCCAGGATGTGCCCGTCAAGACACCGTCTTACGTTTCAAATGCCGTCAACTGATGGCCACATCATGCATACAATCCACGCCGACTTCTCCAGATCTGCCCCTTTTATGCGCGCTGCAGCTCGCCAAACATGACGCTACATTTGATTGACTTCGACCAGAAACCATCTGCGGGCGCCGTCCCGCTGTCGGCGAGAAAAGCCATCGTAGCCGATGCTTTGGAAACCCGCGACCCGAACCAGTCTGCAGTTCGCTTCGCATCGGTTTCATGCCAGCCAGGTGGGTATGGGTAGAAATAGAAAACGCTGCGCTCGACCGCAGCAGCCCATGGCACATGTCACGACTTCCCAGACCCCATTTGCTGTGTATATGGCGCAATGTCTTCGGCACCCACGGTAATATAGCGCATGCAGCCAAATCTCCTAGCCACAGCCCTAGAAGCCTGTCACTCAAACTACTGCCTTCCGCCCAAATCGGCTGCACACATTTGCGCATGCAACAAGCACACAGCAAGGCACTTTTCGAACCGAGTACCATGACGCCGTTTTTGTTTGTAGCACTGCATTTACGACACCTGCCTACATTGGCTGAATCTCCTACCTCGACGAACCATCTTGTCACACGTATCCGAGGGGGCTGATGCTTGCACCTACATCTTGGACAGTACAAATGCACCCTGTCCTCATAGGAACGTTGCTGCAGCGATCGTGTAATTATCGTGCTGTCGTAGATGTGTAAACACCCGTTTCGACAAGGATGAGGGGTCAAGCTTAGTTCCCAAGGAACAGTCCAAATCGCCTGGGGATTGCTGTCAGTTGGCCATATTATGACGCATGGCCTTGACCGACTCTTAACCATGGCTTGGCCAGCCAGCGTCATCTCGTTTCTGCATCGGCTTGATGTATTTACGCCAACCATCAAAACAGATGCTTCACAATCTTGCCAGGTGCACGATATCATCGACCCTTCACTTTGAACTTGTGAATAGACTTTAGCACTCTTACACGACTGCACAAGGGGAATCGTTCATCTGAGAGCAACATTGCTTTTGCCAAAGTCTATACAGCCATCTCGGCTCGAGATCTCGATTGACCACGATTCATCGTGCTCCCACGGCTATTGTACACCGCCTCTCGTGACGCTTGTATGTCTCAAGACCCCTCCTGGCATGGCCCATTATCCGGCTTAGTGGTTTGGCGCCTGGTTCTTGACGGCCGGGTTTCGCGGGTCGTTCTTGTACTCCTCGCCTGTACTGGGTCAGCTTGCGAACATGCCAATTGAACCTGCACATGAAGCTGCGAAATAGAGAAGACGCACCTTGAGCCATGGCGTTCGCGGCAGAGTTGACACCGTAGAGGATGACGAGGCCTGGCCATACTTGTTAGTCCGGTTCTCTCACTCTAGACGTCCTCCGGTCTATAGCAACGCCCTGCTAATTCCGTCTCTTTCCAAAATTTCCCATTTTTACCAAGAACAAACAAGGCTGCGCAACGTACCGGAAATGTAGAAGGGCCACATGGGCTTGGCTGTGGTTCCCTTGTTAGCAATCTTTTCGAGCTTCATCCTTCACTTTTGTGGTCTGGCGTGACATACCGATTTGCGCCGGGAATTTCCTTCCGAGAAGAGGCATTTTGGCGTGTGTTGGAGGGGCAATGGATTGATTGGCGATTGCGATGGAGGATGGCGGTAATGGGGTGTAGAAGAAGCTGTTCTTCGGCTTCCTCATACTCTTGGCGTCGGCGCAAGGAAACACCGACCAGTAAACACCGCACCACTGCAACGACAACCCCGCGACATACCACATTACTTCAGTAGTATAGTAGTATTGAACGCCGCTGAACCTAAGAGTCCTTCGCCACGATCATGGCGTCGCCGTTAGAGGGATGTGTGGCCTCGTTGCGCAATAGCATGCAACTGCTGGATTCATCTATCAATATACTAGACGACGGCGTCAGTGACCTACCTCGATTGGCGAAAGTACTGCAGACAACCCGGGTATATACAACACAAGGAGACAGTAATCTCATATCCATTTGACTGACGTCTTCAACAGCACTTTGAGCTCATCTCCGAATCGGACCTTCAAACCGCACAGTCAGCCCTCCTCTCAGAGATCCGCCCAGAAGTCGATAATCTCCTAAAACGTGTCGAGAACTACTTAGACAAGCTTGAACGCCGCGAACAATCCCTGATCGCAAAGTGCGACTTGAATGACGGCAGACTTGGTCGAGATGGAACTGGCGGGTCAGGCTCAAGACCGGCCAGTAGGTCTGCGCCGAGGAGTGGGGGGAAAGCAGTCAGTGCACAACAAGAACTGCGAGTCAAGGCATTGAAGGCAAAGAAGGATAGGTTGAGCTATGCGGTGGAAACACTGGAATTGCAGGCAAAGCAACGGGAGAGACAACTGAGAATGAGCATGGCGGCTCCGCAGCAGCTTTATGATGATTAGTTCTTGCAAAGAGTTTGGTTTATTGTTGGGAATAGTCGATACGCAGTATGGCGCAGATTGGAAGCCTTATCGTATTCGGATGGGCGTTTTGCGATTAAGATACCCCATGATAGAAGAATTCACATATTTGACTCACTATTCTATACTGTAGACTATCGTGTCTATAATACCAAACTCTTGTCCGATTATATCATGTACCCGTTCATACAATTTGAGACATTGGGTGCACACACTCATCAGAATGCATAAGCCCTCTTATTGAATAGAAGCATTTAGACATGCCCTTTATACAATTCGGCTAGCCAAGTAAGTCGCTGTACAGAGTGATTGTCTAACTTGTAAAATAGGATGATATAATCTGATGAGGCGTGGATGCCGTTTGCGCTAACCGTTTTGGCGGTGCCTTGTCGGCGAATGCCGAGAAGTGCGCAGGCGAAGAACTCGATTCACATCACCTCCGCAGCAATTGCATCCTCCCCACCACCCCGTCCATCATGAGCTCTCTCCGTATCGCCCGAGCCGCCCTCCGCGCGAGGCCCGCTGCCATTGCCCGCCCCATCCAGCGAAGAGGCTACGCCGAGGTCGCCAACGACAAGATCAAGCTGTCCCTAGCTCTTCCGCATCAGGTACGCAACACCAGCAGGCGCAATTCGGAGAGTTGGAAACCTATAGATAGTCAAGGAGTAACCAAGGCTAACTATTAGTCTATAGTCCATCTACAAGTCCCAGGACGTGTACGTCTCTTGAAATGCCGACCAACACCATATCGAATGCGCGATTGCTGACATGAGGTTTCGTGCAGTGTCCAGGTCAATCTTCCCGCGGAAACCGGTGACATGGGTGTCTTGGCCAACCACGTTGCTTCAATCGAGCAGCTCAAGCCCGGCCTAGTCGAGATCATTGAGGAGTCTGGCGGCAGCAAGCAATTCTTCCTCTCCGGTGGATTCGCCGTTGTGCAGCCAAACTCTGTTCTTAGCATCAACGCCGTCGAGGGTTACCCATTGGAGGACTTCAGCGCCGAGGTAGGAATCAATCATAAGGAAATGGGAAAGTTGCGACTGACGTAGAGATAGGCTGTCAGGAACCAGATCGGCGAGGCACAGAAGATTGCCAGTGGAAGCGGCAGTGAGGCTGACATTGCCGAGGCCAAGATTGAGCTTGAGGTAGGTCTGATTCACACGTCTGATGAAGGGAAACTGATATGTTACAGGTTCTCGAGAGCCTCCAGGCTGCGTTGAAGTAAGCCTGTAAATAGCGTTTATTAGGCAGGTCGTATGCGGTATGTACAGTAACAGATGCCGCGTACTTTCCGTGCGCAAAGTGTAGAAGGAGCCCATGAGGCATCCCAAACATTGCAACAAACCCTCGCATTATCTTCACATAACACCTGAATTGAGTGACTTTGCACCCGTAATCAACCCTGCACAATCTAAAACACCATTCCTATCATCCTATTGTTTATCTCACTTCATACCAATTCTCTCGATACCTACTACAAGCAAACACCAATCCTCCCACGCCGCTCGGTAAAGCCGCTCATACGTCAATCGAGCGCCTTACAACACCTCAACAGTTACATATGCCCCCAGGCTTTGATCAGCCTACGTCAAGTTCCGCAGCCCGTACAAATAGTGCGGCACTTCGCGAGCAGGCACGTCAACTATCAACAGTGAGAACAAGACAGAGTCGGAGCGAAGCTCATGTGTCGCTACCGAGTACTGAGCAGCCAAACCGACCACGGTCGAGTTCATCCGAACCTAACACCAATAGCCCACCAAATTCGATCGTCCTGCTGCGATCAAGCGAGGCCCAACAGTCGTCTAATGTAGGACACAGGTATCATACCAACACATCACCGAATAAGCATACACATGCCCAGGTTCTGGATCGTATAGGGTACTCTTACCCAGAGCTAAGGGCAGCAGCTTCAGTGGGCAGAATCCCTTCCCCAGTTGGTGCCCGCAGTGAAGACCGTTCACTTGCTTCAAGCGCTGTCGAGCTCAAGAGGCGATCATCGATACCGGGCCCCGCATCTCATCTTAAAGGACAACCATGCCAATCTCAGGCTGTGCCACTGCCTTCGAGACAACCAAAGCTAGTCTCGGTACGGTCGGCAAAGAACTTTTTCGAGAACAAAGTCTCTCAGCCTTCATCAGCACCCCTTCTTCCCTCTTCAGCGACTGCTACTAGAACGGATTCTGCATCTCCGAAAACGCACTCATCGTTACCTTCTCGTAGCTCCTCTACTCGTGATCCCAGTCCAGATGTTCTCCATACTACGAAGAGACCCTTTTCGAGCGAAAAAGAGACTTCCGATACTGCGGACAACACATCGTCTATCAATGAGAAGGATACTTTTGATAATGTGGACGAGAACACGGCCTCTATCATGGAGGATGACTCTTCTCCCACTGGATTACCCTTACGAAGCCTGACAGAGCCAGGGGCTGTCGAAGCTGTGCAGTCTATGATCCCTTACTCTGATGTCGAAATTGGCGAGTCGGTTCCTGAAGTCATAATCAGAAGAGCTACTGTCGTGGCAGATATGGCCTTACAAGAGGCTAAATCAGAGGAGGCAGAAGAAGATGCAACGAAGCAGATACAGCCAACGACCGTGTTTTCGGATTCAACTCGTAATGCGAATCTTTTGGGCTTCGACAGACGTGTGGCAGATGATAGGCCAGCGCTACTTTCTGTCTCCAAACCACTCATTGTCGGTAAAGAGCCCCAGTCAAGAAATGATCAAGGGCCGTCCGATAGGCTTCTGAGGCGTTTATCTACCCGTAGGTCAATGCCAGCTATCGAGACCACGCAGGCTCAGACTCTGAATCGTCGACAATCGCTGCTAGGGAGTCAACGTGCGAGATCTTATCGCGATATTCGAACGGCTTTTGAAGAACACGGAGAGTCTGTTCCAAAACGGGCTGAATCACGCAGCACTCATATGCCTGAAAGCTTCAGTAACCCAGATGAGGTCGCTGATGGCCCCATCAGGAGAAGGTTCTCAAAGGCATCGAGCCCGAACTTTCAGTTGTTCCGTGATAGATTTGGCAAGCATGTGGATGTCCGCAAAAAGTCTGAGGTCAACATATCAAAGGATCGTCTCAGTTACGATGGATCGCATTCTCCCAATCTCTCGCGTCGCAACACCACTTCTGGTCCAGTCCCAGTCGTAAATACAGGCATCGGGGCACCACATCACAACAAAGAGGTCCCTGACGATGTGGACAATCGCCAAGGGTACGGGCGTCGCGTAAGAAACTTCACCGTTAGAACTTCACCAAAGACTTATACTGATGCATACCGATATCTAGATGACCCAAGATTTCGGCTTCCCCGGTGCACGTACCAAACCTGGTGGTACGACCAGATCGAGCAAAGCCCTACAGGACCCCGGCAGATGGGTCAAACGAGCATGCGGTCACTTTTCATACATGGGCAATACAGAGCATCGCGAGCATGCTCAGAAGAGAACGTGCCGACAGTGCTCTGCTCGGGCCAATCAGCCCGAACAACTACCAGTCCATCAACAGTGGACAGGAAAACGAGCTCTAACCCGATCCTCTACCTCCACATCCTCGTCAAGGAGAGTCAGAAAAGCTAGTGACCGTAATACAAGACGGCGCCAGCAGCATACTGAATGTGTGCCAGCAGACAGATGCGGTGACACATTCGCAGAAGATCTGGGTCAAATTATTGAATCTATTCTGAAAGATCACGCCAACACACTGCAAGATGTCATCGACAACATCAAAAGTAGTCAGCCAAGTCTTGCAAAGCTTCAAAGAGCATCTGGAGAACTTGTGCAACGGTGCCAAACCGCCAGCTGCTGTGTCTACTCTTGTAACGCCTCCGGTAAACTGCCATGCGAACACCAGACAGTAAATGAAGCATCTGACTCCGTCTCTGAGCCATGTTCCGAACAGCAGCAAATCACCTTGTATGATCCGCCTAAAGAAGCTAAGAAGCTAAACATTGGGTCGCCTGGGAGAGTTGGACCAAACATCAACGATCGTCATTCGAACCTGAACGAAGTTGTCAAGTCAATGCCTGATCTAGTGGACCTAGTCAAATCTGCAGCCGATGACTTTGGTGTTGATCTTGAACTGGTACCGAGTGCACAGGACGAGGAAATGTTCCTCAGTGCCCAATACGAAAGTACACCTTGCTACTCTTGTTCGTCATGCGGAGACGATCATCTAGCTACTGTAGGAGAGACGATCGTCGAAGATGAGGAGGATTTCTGGCTGCGACAAGCACGCCGGAGGTTGATGGAAATCTTGGAAACCCGCGAGCAACTCATTGGCGAGTTGGATTCAATAGCCGGAGATCTTGGTGTTCAGTTTGAAGATCATCAACATCCCAAAGCTGTCGCGGATTCCGCACAGAGCGTGCTTAGCGAAGTATCTACTGAGTCGTCAACGGAGCGTACACAGTCTGGAAAGAAGCCTGTAGACGCTGCCACAGAAAGAGCGCCTATAATCACCAACAAGGAAATCGACGAGAGAGAATCTGGTGGTACAGTCTCCCCTATCTCCGCTCATTCGGGGAAAAGGTCTGTTGTCATGAAAGACCTACAGCAGCTTGGAGAGATCCCACCTGAGGAGATTTAGGAGTGGCTTCAAGTGGCGCGGTCCGAGCTTTCAACTGCCATTGGTTCTGCTACTACCGACTCGAGTACGCTTCCAGCTTCAGATATTCAGTTCGGTTTTCAGCAAGGAGAGCGACCCAAATACGTCCAGAATTCTTCATCAACGTCTGAGTGGCAATGCGATCTACTGAATAAGGAAAACGACGTGGCACTACACAAGCCACAACTTAATGTGGCAGTAAAACACATTGGACATCATTCCGCAGGACCCTCTTGCCACATATACACAGAAACGATAGAGCACCTGCGGAATGTGACCGATGATCTTGAGAGACGTTTGGATCAAGAGCGGCAGAGGGTTTCCACGTTAGAGTATGGAAAAGAGACCCTCACCATCTCAGCGGAACATGCAGCTGATTCCAAGAGCGTTGGCGGCTCGCATTCAATGGGAAGAATGAAAGCAGAACGCCCAACAGAGGAGCACAAGAACACTCATACAACAGAATATCCAACTCGACAGTCAGAACTTCCCCAATCAAGTACGGTGGAAGATGAGACCGATTCCACGTTCACAAGTGATAATGAGAAAGTAATGAGCGGAGCTGGCATGTTTACGTTTCCGCAACCTCCGGAGGAGTCACCTGCAACCGAACGCATCATGACTCATCGCCGGTATTCGTTTATATCTCGTCAGCCAATGCGAGATCCTGAAAGAACGTTCTCATTCTCGTCGCCTACGTCTTGTTCTTCTGATGAACCCACCGTCAATCTTCAACCGAGCCCTGTAACGGAGACGGAACGGCCTTCAAATTTGCTCATAGATCAAGCAACATTCCCCGAGCCGTCTCTTTTGCAGCCTGTGACAAGCAATTCCGCTTCGTCACCATCTACCTTACCTGAACCAGACCATGTGCATAAAAATTCAACCAGAGGATCGGACTCAATTCGCTGTAGACAGCCCAATTCGAGGGAGCCAGAACGCATAAACACCTCTTTGCCACATCATTCTGCTTTTCATGAGCCACCTGAAGAGCCGTCCTTATTAGAGGTCAAGGAGCAGATGCCATCGCTCGTGAATTCCATTTCTACTGAGCCAGAGATGGAGCTTCTCGAACCTTTCGACAAACCTGAATACAACCCCTCCAAGGAACCCGACATGGAGGGTCCTGAGTGCTGCGAAGTTCTGCTGGAACCAGTGGAGTCGTCGCCTTTCGGCGAAGAAAGATCACCCACCCATTTTCTCATAGAACGCATCGGCCGATTACTCGGCTTTCCAAGAACCAGATACTCAACAGGCTCAGGCAAGTGCAGTTCTGCGTCCTCGGAATCATCCTGTTGTGTAGATATCGTAGAGGATCATCCAGCAGTCTACAGTGCTGCTGAAAAACAGGTTAAATGTGGAGACGACGCTACTGGCGCTCATACAGACTTGGAGCTTCCAACTATGACTCAAGCAGAGCGTCCACCAACTGATCCTATAGAGTCATTCGAGTGTAACTCTGGATCTTCAACGACTACCGGAACCATACAGCACATAGCTGAACGCCGCCATATCCTACCGGGAGAGGCAATAACGGAGGAGAAGCTCAAGAGGACATCTAAGACTGGCCTGTCTTGCAATTCTGAATCTTCCGGGGTTCACAAGTCTCAAGGGAATGTAGAAGAACTCCCTAGTGCATATCCCAACTTGGAAACATCAGAAACAATGGCACCACCCGAACTCCTTCAAAACATACCCAAGGTACCTAAGAGACCTCGGAATCGCAGGAAGAAAAGTGCAGCCCTCGGGATTGTAGCTCCCTCTGTAGAAACAACCCAGAAGGATTTTGTAGTCGCGATCCCGCCTTCAATTCCTGTCAAGAAGCCCAAGGAGCTTACGAACTACCCCCCTGATCAGCAATATGTTCCGGCTCCGTCTTACCCTCAACGACCGACTCCAGTATGTACCAAGCCAGATAACCAGAAGCCACCACCGAGGTTGAAGTCTGTAAGTCCGATCAGAAAAAGACGATGGTTTGGATGGGGTCCGAAATCAAAAGAGCAAACTCGACCACTGAGAATACTTGTGCCACAGCCGCAGCATCGAGTACATGCACCTCCCCAACGTCGCCAAGATCGTCAACATGCCGAACCCTTTCGAAAGGCGGCACCAGGACGAACAGCAAAGTCACCTGGGGGAACGCTACAAAGACAAAAGGACCATCTCAGCCAACCTGAACATCAGTGTCATGACCGAGGATCCAGTCTTCTCCCCGTTCCAACAGAAGAACAATTTCCAAGTCGATTCCAGCTTTACTCTCAGCAAGGCATGTACTGCCAAACACTCAACCCAATCTTCGAAGGCCGCAGCGATAAGTCTCCTTGTCCCCAGTCCTCATCTTTTCAAAGAGACATCTACATCAGTACATGGGCACAACCTCCAGTTCGCGGAAACTCGGCACCGCCAGCAAATAACTACTTTCCAGCGCCCAGTATTGCACCGGTTTGGAAGATATGTCCACAAGGAAGAGCTGGGATTAGACCCAAGATTACCTCTTGTGACGAATCTCGCCAGCCGCCCCTTTCTCGCTATTCGTCGGAGCCCCCTTTCTATCAATCTCAGGCGCGGAAGACTCCTCGTCACCAGAAGGAGGGCCCTGTGTGCTCCAAAGCGGCTCCATCTCAACGTAGGACGCAGAATCACTCGAAATCCACTTGCACGTGCCGAGCTACGCAGGATGAGGAATACCACCGGTTTGTTCCCAAAGAAGGCTTGTCAGTCTCCAAAGTCGCCCACATATCACAGCGTGGACAATCAGACGGAAGAAGCGGGCGTAAAGCCGTTGATAAGGCTATTCCAGAAGTGCAAGAGCAAGGTCTGGGCATACAATCAAAGGCCAAATCACGACCAAATCACAGTCACACCAAGTCTACCATCTCAAAAGGCGGAAAAGGAAGCTCTACCTGCTCTACACTCGAAACCTCAAGCCATACGACATCTCCCAACCCAGATGAAAGGATCATCTCCTCGCACGTGGCTTCATACTCGCCTACCCGTCGTCAAAGTAACACCAGAATCCACCCATCACCAAAGTCAAGACCAAGTACCCATCATAATCACGTCACTACAACGCGATCTTCTCAATCCCCCACGACATTCTACTCGGCGCCCCAGAAACCCAGAACCGCGACGAGTGCAGGCGTGAAAAGGCAAAATCTTAACCACTCCACTGCCGCGCAAGTGAGAGCAGCAGCAGAGACCCGGCGGCCATACACCATAGACGAGACTGTAGGCCCAAACTCAAAATTAGCACATGCCTTGCCCTCATCCTCATGTTCATCGAGTACTATACACGTCCCGCATCCTTTTCCCCTTCTCTACTCTTCTTCTTCTTCTACTTCGCCGCCGATGTCTCAAAGACGACAACAAGAAGGATATATTCTGCCACGTCGTGTAGTAGATGAGCGGGTGCTCGCACATCGACATACGTCGGTCACACTGTACGAATCGAGTTCTAGTTTCAGTGATTGGAATGGTGGTCCGAAGGCTGTGGCTTTGGAGCAATCAGTGAGCTTTCGGTCGAGATAGGAGGGGGTGGAAGCTGAGAAAAGAAGTGATGGTGCGGGTAAGGGAGTAGGAAGTGGGGGCTCCGGGGTTAGGCGATAAGCTGTCTGTGATGGACTTGTTTGATGCTTGGATTAAGTAGCAAGGGAGTACGTATACGGTGCGGTTATATGGTGTACCTTCACCCTATATCATTAGTAGAACAAACACAGATTGCAGCAATGATGAATCGGATAACTATGTTCTCCACGTAATTTTCAAGATGGTGAGCAAAAGGTTTCAATTTTCAATTCCTAGATGATCCATACCAATACTATCAATATCTACCTCGCAGCATCCAAGCCCTGCAACCCCATAGCCTCCTTGACCGCATCTGTCTTCTCCGCCTCACCCTTCTCCTTGAGCGCAACCTTCTCCACTTGATCAAACGCCTTGAGCGCCTCACCATACTGCTCAAAAACACCCTTTCTATAGCCCTCACATATCTTCTTAACAAAACCCTCTTCATTCCACCTCGCCTCAAGGAAATCTTCAAACTTTTCTTGCGGCGTCGCACGCTGTACACCCCACGCGGCCTTGTATGCTGCACCAAGGGCACACGCGTTGCCCCCGATTTCCAGCTTGTAGACGCCGTCGGAGCCGCCGAGGACTTGGCCGGCAAGTTCGGCAATGGCTGGGTTTACGGCACCGCCGCCGACCATGTAGATTCTACGTGGTTGGGCGGGGAGGGAGCCTTGTGGTTCAACAAGAGATTGGGAGCGCAGTCTTAGGGAGAGGAATTGGGATTCGAGGATGGCGCGGGCGTCGGCTTGGGGGATGGGCCACGATTTGTCTTCTGTCTTTGCTTGGGCTGCCTCTGGTGCTACGGGAGATAGATTGTTGTCCTTTGCGAGGAAGCGCCATGTTCCTGCTTTGACGTTCGGTACAATTTCGGGGCGGGGGAAGAAGAGGCCCAGACGCATGGGATCCGAAGGCTGAGCTTGACCGAGAACGGGTGTTGTGAGGGCTGTTTCGTTGAACTCGTCCCAGGACTTGTCTGATGAGCCAGCTGCTTTGTTGATGGCATCACGGATGTGTTCTCGAGCGAGACCACCGTTCTTGTAGCACAGCATGAACATGTAGAGACCGGCTGTTGTGGGGTGGTTCATGAAGTGGTACGAGGGGTCTGGTCTGTACGCTGGTGTTGACATGAGGAAAGTAGTGGATGTACCGAGCGAGACGATTGCATCTGAAGCACGGAGAGGGAGTGCGAGGATGGTGGATGGATTGTCACCGGTAAACGCGATGACCTGGGCTGACGAAGGGAAGCCATAGCGCTTGCTGAAGTATGGCGAGACAGTACCGAAGCTGGAACCACCATCCTCAGGCACGTTGCCGAGCTTCTTTCTGAGGTCTTCAACGCCTTCGCTCCCTCCAGCTGCGAGTGCGAGGAGATCCTCATGCCAGCGACCGTTCTTGATATCCCACAGATTCGCGCCAGTTACATCGCTGATATCAATGGGGGCTAACTTGCCCAGGAATATGGAAGCCAAGAAGGATGATACGAGGGAGATGCGAGCGGTCGCCTTGTAGGCTTCAGGGTACTTGTCATGAAATCTTAGAATTTGGGGGCCACTAAACCTCTGTCATACAAGTTAGGATTTTCAAACTTGTCGGAGATGAAGGAACCCACGTGGTGAGCACTGCTTCCAGTAGCGAGCGCAAGATTCCTCGGTTGTTGTAGCGTCTTATCAAAAGCCTCACACTGCTTCTGCGTACTCGCGTCCTGCCAATTCGGGCTGAATGGGTGGCTGAATGCGCCTTTCCGTTCTCCCTTTGCACCACCCTCTAGCTGCTCGAGCAATGTTTTGCCCCCATCCAGACTAGCAAGCAGCGTCTCAGCATCCTTGCTCCAGAAAACAGTTCCATGCTGCATGCCAGCACCCGATATACCCTGAATCTTGGAGAAATCGGCACCCTGCTCCTTCAATCGCTGCAGGACGAGATCAATGGCCTCGAGCCACAACGCGACTGGCGCAAATACTTCGCCTTCATCTGGGTTAGTAAGGACACCTTTCTCAATGCCGTATTTAGATAGGTCGGCATCGAAGTCGACCTTTGCCTCGTGGATGAGCTTAAGATCTGAGCCGACAATGATTCCTACAATCCGGGGTCACGTCAGTCTGCTTAGTGGGGTAGCTTCGGCGGGGTAAATGCACACCTTTGAGCTGCTGGGTGCTCAGGTCGAAGCCCAAGAATTGGTCAGCCATGGTCAGTATGTATGTACGATGGTAGTGAGATCAGAAATGGTTTGGGTGTTAGAAAAGACTTGGACATGGCTAAATAAGCAATCACGTCGCGTGGTGTTGAGGACCCTTTCCACGATACGGCAGACTTACGCAAGACCCACATTGACGACCAACGTGCATCATAGCATTTTGCCGGCGGTGCCTGCAGATGACCGGGATCAGTCATTGGGTAACGGATAAATTCAAACCGAAGCATCGTGACTACAGCTACGATTTTCTTGGGTTCCACATCAGTCTAACGCTCATGACAACTAGGTAAGTAACGTTAGCGTGGGGGTAAGATCTAGAATCATGCGTCGGTCAGAATGTCTGTAAAAAAGCTCTTTGGATATCCAAGCTTCTGAGGTATGCCGCACATTCAAATCAACCAACTCCAGAACGCCCAGCTATGCTTGTCTACATGTACATGAGGATCACTTTCTACGCCTTGCACTCCCATTCATGTCTTCGTGCTTGTGATCGTGATCGTGGTCGTGGCTATGCTCGGCCTCTGATGTTGAGTTTGACGTTAATGTAGGATCGCCTGGGATGAACTCATCTAAGAAATCTGGCTCCTCGGCTGAGTTTGTGACGAACCGTACGCGAACCTTCTTCACACCGCGTACGTTGGCGCCAATGCGTTCTCGAACTAGATTCTCCACGTTGCGTGTCTGATCGATAGTCCATGTACCCTGCACACCAAGCTCCACATCCATCAGGTAGTTCTGGCCCGCCTTGACACCCTGAATAGCGCGGACATTCACCGGCTCCGCCAATGTGGTAATTTCTTCCAACGCCTTGGTCGCCGCTTTCCGCACGTTGTCCTTCATTTCCTGGTCGACGCCAACATCAGCCAGTTCTAGCAATGCTTGTTTGGTGTTGCCCCAGCCAGCTTGAACAACCATGAGAGAGATAACCAGACCTCCGACAGGATCTAGCCATTGTGCATTGTTCAGTACGTTGGAGCCGCCAATAAGGAGGAGAGCGACGAAGGCGGTGAGCGAGTCTACGCGGTGGTGGTAGGCGTTTGAGGCGAGGACAGTCGACTTGCGTTCTGTTGCAATCTTGAGTGCTGGAGCAATGGTTAGCGGGCCTTATTGGAAGCTTATGGAGGAGACTGCATACTCGCACGATACAGCCACTCCTTGATGACGATGGAGCCAGCAGCGAGCCATATGGCATTGATATTAGGGCCTAGATTCTCAATGCCATGGTGATGATGATGCGGTAGAATTCCCCAGTGTTCAGCTATCTCGGCGGCGTCGGGGAAGAATTGCTGGGCGAGTGCTATTAGAGCTGTCCAGCCCATGAGAAAGCCGCCGCCCAGCAGGATGCCACTGACACCCAGCGAGCCCAGGCTCTCAACCTTTCCATAACCGCTGGGAAATCGATCGGTAGGCGGCTTCATAGACCAACCTACGGTCGCGAGCGTCATGATGTCGCTGACAAGGTCGGTAAGACTGTGAATGGCATCGGCAACAAGTGCTATCACGTGTCAGTGTATTCCTCGTCGAAAGCATGTCCGACCTTCACCCACCCTGACTATTGAAAACATAACCCCCGAAGCCCTTACTAATGGCCATGCCCAAGTTGACATACAGGCCAATTCTGGTAATGCGCACGCCGGCATCGTTTTTATTCTTGGATAGCAGAAAAGTGTTATCATGGTGGTGATGGTGGGAATGGCCGGCATGGCCCCGCGTCTGAGTACTGCACGTCATGGTGGTAGGAGATAGCTGTGGTTTGCGGTGTACCGTTGCAGACCAGTTGAGAAGGGGCGCAGTGCGCGACGGGAGGTCGAGATATTGAGCGCCTTTACTCTTGGTTTGCGTGCAAAGAACACGTAGTCTCGGCCGGCAAGTGGGTGGAAAGTACGGGTAACGTGGTCTGACAGGATACGGTCGCACTGAGGCTCGGGTCGAGTATGGTGACAGAGCACTGTGCAGGCCTCCTGGGAGCGACGGCGCATCGACGCATCGCTGGCTAAAGACTCGCAGGCCATTTCCTTCTCTGCAGGCGGTACGCAGTAACATGGGACGTGGTGGCAGCGGATGTGCGTCCTGATGCGGGGAGCCCAAATGCGACTGCGGCTGCTTCTGTACTCTGGATAATTTGGAGCCTCTTCTGCGGTCGCTGTCGGCGTTCCTGGCCCATGATTGCGCCTTTTGCATCAACTACCGCAATTGTGGGGCAGCTTCTCTTGCCCCGGCTTCATCCCACCTTTCTTGAGTTGCATCACAGCCGTCACACAACGTCATTCACGTCATAGGCATTCGAACAGGTGTGTATTGGTATTAACTCGACTCGACATCAAAGTCCTACAGCATCGTCATTCTCACAGGGCCATGGGCTGGAGATTCTCCGCGTTTTAAACTCGCGAACAAGACGCGCCTATCGACTCCGGCAGCGCTAATCGCCCTTTCAATGTAGTCCGCCGCCATCGCCTCGCCTGCTAGCCAGGCTGGAAAGCTTCTACTGTACATCACAGCCTTGGCTTCGCATCATGCTCGCCGACAGGGTCTGAGCGCGCCAAAATCCAGTTGGCAACATCCTCTCTGAACTTCTCTTTATCAGGACTAGGCTCGTCATGTACTGGCCTTGTTAGCTTGTATCCTCGACTTTCCATGACAGTATACTCACGACGATGGTAGTACCCCGCGTACGTTTGGAATTCCTTGTCCTTGACTTGCAAGGCGTCAAACAGTCGCTTGGAGGCTGGGTAGCTGGTGATGCCGTCCTTGTCCCCGTGTCCTATCCAGATCCTGGTCACTCCGCCTTCCCCGGCATTGTCAGGTATGATAATTTTTCCGCTAGACAAGGCATTGGTCCGGTCGAGCAATCCCGCGAGCCCCTCAAGCGTGCCGGTATCGTGGCAGAGCGGGTCTTCATCGAATTGCTTGCACACATCTGCGTTTCGCGAGATGAGGCTTGGGTCCAGCTTGTTAGTCAGCTGTCGCTTTGCGAGTACTTTTCCCGCAACTCTGCCGAAGAAAACTGTGAATGAGGATGGCTTCGACTTTGGATCAAAGTCTACAAAGGGCGACTCCAGGATGTAGCCGCGAATGTGCTTGCGGACCTCGTCCGGTCCTTGGGCAGCATAGCAGAGCGTTTCTCCGCCACCCATGGAATGGCCCATTAAGAACAGGGGTACTGGACTTGGAACAACAGACTTGAGAAAGGAGGTAATGTCATCAAGAACCTGCGCCGTTGGACCCGTGTCCCCTCGTTCAGAGGGCTTTGTCACAGAGCGGCCCCATCCTCTGTCAATCATTAGTGAGAAGTAGCCAGAATAGGGCGCATACGTACCTCTGGTCGAACGTGTAGACCTCGATCCCTTTGGAAGCTAGTCCTGGGAAGAAATCGCCATAGGCGTTCACTTTGGCGTATTAGATATTTTGCTGCGTGCGAGCGGAGCAGTAATAGTCTCACCATGCTACATGTCATGTCAATGTTAAACGTGCCATGTATGCGTTTGAGAGGGGCTCGTACGTCTGAGAAGCCGTGGATGAAGACGAGTCGTGCTTTTGCTGGCCCATCCGTCTGCATGCCAGATTAACGCCGATCACTTTAATATTGGCTCCACCGTACCCTGAAAGTCTTCGTGTAGAGTTGTTTCCCATCGGGCAAAGCAAACTCGCCTTCTTCGACAGACATGGTGGGTAATTGATATGCAAAGTTGATTAGGTGCAAGGGGATAGCAGGTAGTGTATTTATTCTGGAATAAACCCCGAGAGCGACAGTGATGCCCAAGTAGGAGCTGAGGGGGATTGGCAGGTAGCATCTGGTGTTGCAGCTGAGCAGCTGAGTTGGCGTTCCAAGGCTGACCACCATGTCCGAAGCCAGCCGCGGCTCCCGGATGCGTCCTAGCGCTAACGCCTATCAGTCGTCTCTCGTGAGCAGATAGCATCCGACTCAACCACACGACATGGAAACATGTCGTCTGCAATGCCACTCCGCGTCATTAGGAGGCGCTTTATGGCAAAGGACGCGCGCCTATATTTAGAGGCCGAAATGCAGCCGTCTTGGGCGAAAGGCTGAGGTCCGGTTAGCCGTCAACGGCGGCGTCCAAGCTCCCGCCCGATGGGATCAGCGTGCATACTTACGCATTGGACCCCTCCACCTGGTGTGTCCCCACTCACATTTTCCTCGTGGTAAGATACTTTCTTCTTGCTATGAGCATTCTTACCCGTCGACTCTTGTCCCATCCACCCCCCTCAAGACTCTTCTCTCCGCCGAGAAGGATGCAGGGCAGCATGCCACAGGCCCGCTCTGCAAAAGCGATCCTAAGCCACCAAGAGCGCACCGCGACGGAGCCCCGAGACAACGACCTATACACTGCTACGCTTGCCAAAGTGACACATGTCAACGATCGGATCAAGCGCTATAAATTCCAAATAGATGAAAAGAACGGCTTCAACGTATGACGACCTCCATCTCGCTCGCGACATGCGCTGATGGACAAGTCAGTTCCTCCCCGGCCAATGGCTTGATGTCTTTGTGCCTGATGTAGAAAAGCCGGGCGGATTCACAATAACCTCATCGCCGTCAGAAGCGCTCCCGCGATCGGATCCTGACCACGTACCGTTCTTTGAGCTAGCCGTCCAAAAGGCTCCTGAGAACCCACCAGCAGCATGGTTATGGAAACCGGTCGAGGAGATACTGGGCAAGCAGGTCACGGTGCGCGTCGGCGGTAGTTTTGTGTGGCCGCCGCCCTGTCTCGACATGAAGAAGATCAAGCGCGCCATCTTCATCGCAGGCGGCGTTGGTATCAAGTATGTCACGCTCCACCACAGGATTGCGTGATCCGGCGACTAATGCTTTGCAGCCCTATGATGTCAATGATGACTTATATAAACCAGAACTACCCGAACCTCGAAGTACGCTTCTTGTATTCCACCAAAGTCCCCTCGCGCGAAACAGACCCGAGCGAAGTTCTCTTCCTCCAAGATGTGCTTGACCTGTTCCGCATACCGCGCTTCAAAACCACAAAGGATAGACTAGAGCTCTTCTTTACCGGCACATGGGATGGATCCGAGATGGGCACAAATGAGGGCGATCTGATACATCCGCTGATGTCGTTGACGCTGCCGCAAATCGATTCGGCTACCGAAGTACCAGTCTGTGCATGGACCCATAGGATTGACGATATCGCGCTGTCGAGCGCGGTTGGTAACAGGAAGGAGGCGCAATCCACGGTTTTCTATGTATGCGGGCCTCCAGACATGACGGACGACATGGTCAAGTTTATCAAGGAGCAAGATAACGTCATACCGCAGAGAGTGCTGTACGAGAAGTGGTGGTAATAGAGCGGATCAAAACAGCGGAGGCTTGGCCAGTCAATGAATACTAGTTTTTTTGCGTCTACTCATCGCGTCGTTGCCGCAAGCGCTCTCGTATATGTACGATGCTCACACCATAGCCCGATTTTACGCGCCCACAAAGGCCGCAAAAACTGCCGCTCCCGTCTCCACTGCGGACCGTGGACCACCAACGGTCGAGGTGCTGCATGCGCCTGACTGAGTTATACTGTGTTTGCAAATGTTTTTGCGGCACAGCAAGCGATCGTCTACGCCGTACGTCCTCCGCGAGAACACCCTCCAGTTCATCCGTCCTCTTACCATGTCGCTCTATATTGGATTACCCGATGCGTTGCTATTAACCCACATTTCGCGGTACTGGATGCAGGGATAAGCGCAAGGAACAAGCCGCCTAGCTCCCGCTTACTGCACCCTTCTGCAAGTGTGATTCGCCATCACACTTAACAAGTTGTGTGATCGCGCAGCATGCGTGTGCCACTCAGCGCCTGCAATGGCTTTTCGCCCCTCACTTCACCTGCTGGCGTCGGCTAGGATGGGGGCTTACACGGCTGTTAAGAGCGGCCAACGCCCCGGGTGCGCCTGAACTCGAGCACGAACGACGAACTGCGTACGGCATGGCTTTCTTCATATCGCGATCATGGCGGTTACCCAAGATCATATGGTTTCTCATGATGTTTGAGCTACCGTTTACCGTCGCTAATCTTGCGCTTTTCGGCATCGCATCGCCAAACCTCTATCGCACCATCTTGTGGCGGGTCGGAGGGGAAATGGGCTTCAATTCCGACCCGAGCACCATCCTGTACGCATATGCAAACTACCGGCCAGTCAATATACCCTTGGTATGGAGCAGCTTGTGAGTATTTTCCCCGTTAACGTTAGCAACATGGCGCATGGACATGTGCTGATACTCCACAGCGCAACACAGTACCACCTTGTCATTGGCGTCGTGTGCATGTTCTTCTGGCTAGTCAAGGCTACCCTTTGGCTCCTCAAGGTCTTCTTTCCCATCCTATCGCTGCTACTCCACATCGGTCTTACGTGCCTTTGGGCATATGGCATCCACATCCAGACGTCGCCCGACACCATCGACCCGCGGCGCCAGAACAAGGGTGCGCCCTGGTATCTCACCAAGAACTGCAATATCGTGGAAGACAAACACATAAAAAGTTACTGTATGCAAGCGAAGAGTAGCTTTGCAGTCAGCATCATCATGATGTATGTAGCTCTCTCCACACACACACACACACACACACACACACACACACACACATGCGAACGGTGCTAACAAACCCCCACAGGTCTATTTACGCCGCGTTTGTGATTCTATCTATCTACTCTCTCATCCCCACTTCCGCACAAAGACAAGCCCACGCCGCCAAACAAGCCGAGAAGAAGGCCGAAAAGGAGAAATGGGCGTCGTCGCCATACGACAACGAGATGACAGCCGAGGAGCAATGGCAGCATATGTGGGAACTCCAACAACTACCGCGTACTCCAGGGACCATTGGTGGAATGAAGAGCCCTATGACGCCGCGCACACGAGCTTTCAGCGACCTGGGTGGCGAGGAGGCGGCACACGGGGGCTATTACAGTAATGTCCCAGCCGCAGGGAATGGGTGGTATGGTCCACCACACCATGGGGGCATCGCGGTGCAGACCGTTAGTCCAGTAATGGAGCAAGACGAATACCAGTACCATTACGGTCAGGAAGGAAAAGGAAAGGCGCCGGGTTGGAGTGGTAATGCATATTGATTGCGTCGTATCTAAATCGTCTTGCTTTTTGTTATGGGAACAGGCGTTTGAGCGTGTGACTTTTCGAGATACCAACTTGGGAACTAAGGGATTCACTCATTACTGGATCATGAGGAAACTGGGACATACCTACCAGGATATCTATATTATTATTGTATTACCTTTGTATTTGAGGAAATTCATGCCTGTGGTGCTATCCAGCCAGCTAATGCAATGTCCCACAATTTTGGCATGTGACTTCGTGCGAACGCGTAGTACGACACGCGACAGTTGACGTTAGTGGTAGCACTGGTGCTCCACATGTCAAACTTCGCACCCTCGACCATCGAGTTTCGCGCGCTACAAACGAAAACAGCTACCATGGCCAGAAATCCCATCATATGTGTGGGCGCAGTATATATCGACACCATCCTGACGTAGGTATCTACATAATCACAATGTTCGCATAATGATTGACTTGGACATGACCAAGTGTGCCGCACTTTCCCATCGAAGATGAGAAGCTCCGCGCAAGAGGGCTTTCACGGAGAAGGGGTGGCAACACAGCGAACAGCCTCGAGGTACTATCGCAACTACAAAATCAAGATCCAACGATAACGACTAAAACATCTGGTGCTGCTGCCTTGCACCTGTTAGCCGTACTTCCAGATGAGCACTCTGCCTCCGCAAAGTTTATCTGCGAATCCATTCCGGGCGTGAATACCGCCGGTGTGAGCTTGTTTCGACACGGATACGAGGAAGCTGCATCGAGCTACATTATCCAAAGCCAAGAGACGCGGTCGAGAACCATTGTCAGTATCAACCAACTACCCGAGATGAAATTTGAAGAGTTCAAGCAGCGGATTGAAGCTTTTGCTTTGCCTCTGTCTGCAGAAGAAAAGGTATGGGTTCACTTCGAAGGCCGCATCCCAGAAGTCACGTACCCGTGTGCTGAGTTCCTGCGCGATGCCCTTACAAGATTCCGTATCAGTGTCGAATGTGAGAAGCCTGAGCGGAAGGATATAGCAAAGGTAGCCAGATTCGCAGATGTCGTCTTCTACTCGAAACTTTGGGCAGAGAAAAATGGATTTGGAGATGCAAAGACGTTTCTTGAGGCACAGCGAGAAGGCACAAAAGAAGGGGCGATACTATGCTGTACTTGGGGTTCTGGTGGTGCTACCGCTTTGCAAAAGGGGGCTCAAGAGACGTGGGCTAATGTAAAAGCGTGGCATGTATCTGGAGAAGAGCAGGCACAGGTTGTGGACACGATTGGTGCCGGCGATACATTCATTGCTGGTATTTTGTTCTCAGTCAATAACCATGATGAGTGGGACCTGCAGAAGAAACTAGAGTTCGCAAACGAGCTCGCGGGTCGCAAGGTCTTGCAGGAAGGGTTTAGTGATTTGGGAAGGAAAATGTGGGTAGCCAGATAATCATGACCGCACTGTGGATTCTGTCAGTATAGTTCTTGTTTCTTATAACAGTAGTTCTTTTGAGGTATTCGACCTTTGAAATTTGATCAATGGAACGCCGCTTTTCACCCTTTCTGACATCCCACCCCATACTCTTGGAAGTAACAGTTCTCTTATAACCAATTCATTCATGCCGAGCTCTCTATGAGAGAGCCGAAGCCTATGAGGATACATAGGCACCTGCTTCCCCTAGCATCGCTGTAGCTATAGTGGCTCTGCATTTGTCAAGGGCTTGTTATGAAATCTTCTAATCATGTTGTAAATACTAACTTATATGCTACAGTTTGGTGTTCGAGATTGCGTCGCGGCTGCCGGTGGTCTTTGCGAATCTGATCGTGTAATGACTATATGAATAGGACGGCTACTTACAGTACTACCGATTAGAAAATCAAAAATTGCTTAGAACATGTTTATGAAATCTAAGAATTGTGTTATTGATAAAAACACTTTTGCCACTTACAGTAGCTTTTGCCTTCTGTAGCTAACCGCCAGATTTGAAGAAAGACTGAATAATCAAAATCCACCCACACAAACATTCTACGTTGAAAAGACGCCAATGTGACGGACACTAAGAAATGTTCAACACGCCCATCAAACAACTCTTTCAATACGCTTCTTGGGGTCTCCGTGACACTTATGTTACTAGTACAACGGGCTTCGACTATCTGCGTAGTCTAAGATGAAATTGTAATTTCCTTCATCCTTTCTCATCGGCCGCATGCTCCCGTCCAAGTTCTTCTCCGGTATATACAACTCCACTCTGAGCTCGTTCACTCTTTCGAGCGCCGCTTTCCGTCGCTCCAAGGGCATATTCATCCATTCTTTTCTTGTGCTCAGTCGCCCATTCTCGGTCGAGCTAGGGCTGGAAGGTGTTGCAGTTGTCGCACGAGATTGTGGTGTATATTGGCGCTCTTTCGGGCTTCTTGGTGGTGTTGGAGGTCCTTCGGTTGAAAAAGGGTCGGTCGACTGGTTCGTTTTGAGATATTGGAAAGTGGGGGTTTTGCTCGCTGAGAAGACCCTTTTCCAGAGTTCTGGTCGACTCTGCTCTTTAAGTGATGTGGGACTGTTAGATGGTGCTGGTGATGGCGGACTTCTGGCGAAGGTCCGCGAGTAGTTGACAACCATGAGCAAAGATGTTAATGTATTAGGTGTGATGGATTTGTTGTTATGAAGCCACTCTGAGGGAGGTCAGGGGCTTTGTGGCGACGGCAATGTATAAATTATCCTTTGCTCATGAGAACTAGCCAAGATGAAGGCTTAATGCATAATTTAATTATAAATCGAAAGCAGTACGCTAAAAGACGGATATACCCAAGGGTCGACGAGATAGATAGTGGACTGTATGGTAGCGA